AATTTTTATTTAACTGTTATAAAAAAATTAAAATAATATTTTTCATACATGCAGTATTGTATGTATTAACTTGCAGTACATAAATTTGATATACTCTAAAAATAAATTGGTAAATAGTGACAGTTTATCAATGATTTTCGTTATTTGATTTCCAACAGGTCAAATAATGAGGTTGTCTGTTCAATTGAATGAATGAACCAAAAGCATTTGAAATTGAAAACATAGATGCAAAGTAATTCGATTAGTGGTTATTAAATGATTATGTGTATTTGAAATGTAAGAAGGATAATAATAGTAATGAATAAAAATATAAAGACATTTATTGTAATTATTATATTAAATTAATTCATATTTGAGTTATTTTATTTCTTATTTAGTTTCGTATATAGGTAAAAAATTTTATTCTCCTTACCAAATAATATTGTCCGTCAATTAATAAACAAGTTATTAGATGATGATGAATAAAGACAAAAGGTATACTTGGAAAAGTAAGTCAATGTCTGATTACTTTCAGAGTCAACTGCGATGTGACAGAGCTTCCAAGCACACGATCAGTTTATATCCAAGTGAGAAACTAGCGGCGCGTCCCGCGGGAGATTCGTGGGGGGTAGATGGCGGCTTTATTTTACTTGGTGGTGGAAAACCAAGTTTCATAGTGATCAACACGATGGTTTCATCCCTTGCATTTATTTATGTAGTCACATACAAATAATATATTAAGTTAAAATTTACATCAATATTGTACTATTATTTGGGAGCCATTAAAAATAATTTGAAAAATTTTTTCGATATACTTTATATTTTAATATAGTAGAGAATAAAATAAAAATATGGCTACAACAATAAAAATACAAATTGATTACGTCTTATATAATAATTTCAGTTAATATACCGGGATATTGCGATAAATTTAACACGTAATAGAGAATGAAAGAAATGTCTTTTTTGATCGGTGGACATCCATACTAGAAAGTTATGTAATAAATAACTTTGATTTCTCATCTTGATACACATTAACTTTTGTATATTTGTGAATTTCGTTTACGACGATTATATTGCAAATTTTAGCACTATAAGTTTAATTATGTAATCAAAAGTACTTTTTAATTATTCATTTCAAATTTAAACTTCTAATTTAACAAGCTTTTGATCAATTATAAATATTATTAGAATAAATCAATCAATAAATTTAGTTTGATTAGTAAAAAAAATATAAACATTATGATAAAAAATAATTCTTTCGTTTTTTGTACAATTAAATTTTTCCCCTAGTAATGTTAATTTGACAAGAATCTTAATGAAAGAGGGTAAAATATGTACCAGTAAGGAACACAAGAGAGCATGAAAAATTTTCTAATAAAAATTCATTTTTTTATTTGCATGAAAGATATATTTTATTCAATGATTAACGTTTTGACGGAAATAAAAAAAAAATTTTGTTTCAGTGAAACAAATCAATGATATGTTGGTCTAATACATAAAGAGAATGACTCGTGCACAATTCAAGATTTAAAAGTAAAAATTTCACTTAGTAGGAGTGAATTATAAGTAAACTTAATTATTTACGAGATATACAGTAAAATAATTACTTATAATTAATTACTTACTACACAGATGCTCTTAATTTACTGGTAAATAAAAATGTTTGTACATATTCTACTCCTACTGAATATTCACTGATTTTACAGTGTATTTCATTTTTTTCCCTGTTTCATTTGTAGAGAGTACATCAGCTGTATCATCATCATTAATTCGTTACATTTATAAATATGCAATTGAATTCCTTTTTCTATACATAAATAACAATTATTTTTCTTTATTTTTTTAGTCACAATTATAACTTGTATGGCTAAAAAAATAAAAAAAATTTTTGTGATTATTATGTGAAATAATAATTTCAAACATGAGAAAAAAAAATAAATTGTAACCAATTTTTTTTCTGTTATTTTTTCCTTCCCTTATAGATATTTTATGTAAGTTTTATGTACACTTATTGTATTATTATATAAGATATGTATGTTGTTTTCATACAAAAAAAAAAAATGATATTTGAAGTAAAATACTTGCCTTAGAATAAAAATTGATAAACTCAACGTTGAATTTGATGATCAAAATAATAAGTGAATAATAAACATTTATCTAGATAATAAAGAACATTTATTGTTTCAACAAACAAATTAAGACATATTTATTATTTTGAAAGAATTTATTATATAAAGAATAAAATATCAATTATAATTTGGATCATTCGTTGTTACATTAATTAAATAATATAAAATAAGAAACAACAGTACCATATCATCTTCATTGGTATTTCATGTAGAAAAAATATGATCTTTAAAATTTACAAATGTCATACGGTTTTCTTTAAATGATAAGAAAATAACCCGAAAGTCAAAAGATATTAATGTCATCCAAATAAATGATGGGTCTTGTTTAGATGTATTAAAAAAGTACTTTTTTTAATGGTCTAGTCATTGGAATACAATTCGGTAATTAACAAGCTGGTTAACAAATGGCATAGCCTATCAATTAGGAATCTTATTTCACTATACTCCACAGTATTGGTGAAAATGGATTTAATTATCTGAAAATTACCAATGACTCGAATTTGTCAAAAATATTACTTTTAGTCAAAAAAGAGAAAATCGTGAAAAAATTCTAATACTTCAATACATCATAATTATTTTAAATATTTATAGTGTAATCATTTAAAATGTTTTTATTAAGTAAATAAGTTGATAAAATATTCGATTATCAAATGGGATACTAAACTTTACAAGAAGAAAAGAATATTAATAATTAATTTGAACAAATTAAATCCAAACATAAACTATATTTTTAGCTTGATATGTTACTTTTAAAAAAATTGTCAATTAGTTTGCTTTGAAAAATATATTTGTAAAGCGAAAGAAAGAAAGAAACAGAAAGTTGACATTTGATTTCATAAAAATTTCAAGTTAGTACTGTAATAACTCTTGAAATGACGTCGTTGACCATGATATTGTATATAGCACGATAGTGCGATTAGTCAACGGGTGGTTAAGTGCTACGTGAGAAGCCTTTATAGGGTTTAAGTCACCATGTAACTAAAGAATTATTTACCTGAATCCACTATTGTTCATCAAGTATTTAACTTATTTTATCGATGGAGATTTTGCATAGAAATTGATTTTTAATGTATTCTGTTTCTTGCAATATACATATTAAATTGTTCATTAAAGTGACTTTTTTAATAATTTTATTAAAATATTAAAAACATATGTATCCACAGACAAAATGCTTTTTTAAAAAAAAAACCCCACAATCATTTTAAGATTGTTAAATTATATTGATCGCTTTTTTTTGTAATTCACATGATGAAAATTAAAATTATTGTAAGAAATTAAAAAATAATCGATGAATAATCAGTGACTAAAAACAAAAAAAAAATGGTCGATTAAATTTTTTTAATACAACAAAATAAATATAAATGTAAACAAGAAATTTATGAACATTTGTAATAAAACTGTGGAAGAAATAAAAAAGATTATTATACAGCCAATAAAAATAAAAAGTTGTGTTCAATTTCTCTGTACCATATAACAATAATCTTGGAATCAACAAACCATAAAATTGTAACTCTTTTGATTGACTAGATCAATATGAGGATTAAGAAATTGATACGTAATATCTGTTAATTTGACTCAACAAACTAAAAAAAATTATATCAAATAATCAGCAAGGAAAATAAATAATATAAATTCTGGTCTGTAATTAAAAATTTTCGTTTAATTCAGTTTTTTGTTTTTAAGAAACACTCAATACTTGAGCTTGTCACGTAAATTTCGTGTTGAAAGTTTTAAATGATCGGAAAACTTGTCTATTTCGAAAGAAGTAAGGAAAGTCGTTTTTCTTACGACGAAATGCGAAAGATAATATATATTCATCACTAATTAATGTCGACAAATGAGCTTTTTCGACTTGTGAGTACAAAAAATTTTTTAATTAAATCGCGTCTTAGCTCTCACACTTATTATATCTATTCAATCTTTTCCATCATTATTAATTCTTATTCATCTATTCAAGATTCTATGTATTTTTACTCTTTTCATTGATTTATCATCACCTCTATATATTCTATTTTTACCTTAATTTAATAAAATGACAAATTTTGTCAATCAATTTGTGAAAATTCATTTATTAATTGAATAATTAAAGTTCTTATAAATTTTTTTATTTCTGCCAAAAGTGTATTAAATTTTGGATACTGTGTTAATTGACGTAAACGTCAAGAAAGTTCTTCCTGTAAAAAAGGTTAAGACGGAAGGAGGTTCGCTTCGTTTAATCTCCGTTTCTGTAATCTCAAATATATCGGAACATTATTGACATTATTGAATTAAATATTATGATATAAACTCATTAACATTTCAATATAAACATTATTATAAATAAATAATAATAATAATAATAATAATAAAAAGAAACATTGTACTTTCAATAATAATTTATCATTATTGTATTGTTATGAATAATTCTAAGAAAAATTAAAAAAAAAAAATGTACATTAAATAATAAAAATACAATCATATCAAAATAAAAATACATAAAATAATAAAAAAAAAAAGTATTACTAATAGGGAAAATTACAAAAAAGATAGCGCTTGCGCATAATTTCTCAAAGGTGTATGAGGAATCAAGTATATAACTTGGCGGTATTGTACCCCACGCGTCATTTCGAATATCAAGAATGCCAATGAAAGTTGTGATTAAACAATTAACTTCTTCTAAGAATCTGTTAAAAGATTGATTCATTAACCGAATAATATCTTAATATATGATTACTTCTAGAAGTCTTCTATTCAAATCAATTTTCATAGTCAATTTTAATTTTACTACAACAGCCATTTGGTATAAAATTGAATAAGGTGTTAAACAGTTAGTTTATTGTGTCAATAAATTTATTTTACAGAAAAGTTCATAAAATCTTTGAAAAAGTGTAATTTATTAAAAATTTTATTTTTCTCTCTAATCTGAATATTTATTTGTAATGGCTTCAAGATTTTTAACTATCTTTTTCATAACAATTTTTGTAATTACCACAACATTTGCGCGTGTGCTAAATCAAAGAGATATTTATAATGACAATATGGTTAGGTCTAATGAAGAGGATTATAATTATTTTGATTATGAAGAAAAGGATTCTGATTATCCAGTAAGTATGGTCTAACAACATAAATAATCCATTTATTTAAGTGAATAAATAAATGATTGTAAGTAATGATCATTAAAAGAAAAAAAAATAATTATTACATATGATAAAATTAACAATAAATAAATATACTAAACCTCCGCCTGAGGGATACAAAACTTTGAAATATTTATTATTTTATTACACAATAATCTAGATGTTGAAATAAAACTATTAATTCATTGTAATTATTTATTTATTTTATAAAAATATATAATAATACATTGAAATTATTTCTATAAATTGGAAATAAAATAATGTTATATTTTATTCTTGATCGCTATCACGTATAAATTAATTAACGTCCCTTCAACGGGTCAAACAGTGTATTTGGCAATCACTATTAATCTAATACCTCTTTAGTTGCCACAAATATAGATAGGAGGAAAAATTCGATTAATCTTGACCAATGTATATCATAATATCAAAGGTCATTTTGTTTATTGAACTTTATTCGACACTGATATAGAGTTGTATTAAATAATCAATTGTTTTGTCGATAGATATTTAAGTAATTGAAATGTAACCGACTGGGACATACCAGAAAAAACATTTATTTGTTTCAATATTTTTTTAATCGGAAATGTTTACACAGTTGTATACGATAGTTGAATATTCCCTTGGCACATCATCTACACTTTATTACAAAACAATAAAGGTAGATTTTATATACATGTTTATATCTCCATATCTTAGTTATGTGTTATATTTATTGTTACTAAGATTTATACTTTCTAATAAATTTTAATTATTTATTGTATTATAATATGATGATTGTAACAAAAAAAACTCAATAATCTATTATAATATTTTAATTTTGAATTCAATACTTGTTTCTCTGATGATTATTCATGATAACACAAGTTAATAGGTAACAAGAGTAGGTCAGTTTTCATCTAGTACGGTATCAATTTATCGGAGTTGTCTACGGATCCAATTCTATCTGTTTTTCAATCTTGAACATCTTCTTACTCTTCCACCAATTGTTACGTAACGCCATTAGTATTTATTTATGGAAATATAACAAGTAACGTTTATGCAGAATTCGATATCGATTGTACCAAATCTCCTATCAAAAAATGTATGCATTTTAAAAATTTTTTCCACAGAGTATAGTTACAGTATATGAATAAATAATAGAGAAAAAAATTAATTAAAATCATTTAATAATTATTTTTTTATTTTATAATAAAAAAATTAGATAACACAATGCACAGTTAATAATAATATGGGATAATAAAAATTTACTAAATTTATTATTGTTTTTAGAAAGTACCCACAAAGCCCGTTAACTTGTTTAATAAACTAATTCAAGTACTTCAAAAGGTTGCTAAAGAAGAACGAATGACGAACGATTTACAAGGAGAAAGAGAATTTATACTGGAGAACCCTCAAGTAGAAAAAATAAGTAAAAAAATTTCATCGAGAAGCTCTAGTCCAACGGTATTATGGTTTTCTATTGATAATTTTTACTAAAAAGGTTTAACAATTTTTTTCTCTAAAGATAATTAATGAACATAGAAGTCGATAATTGGAAAACACTTGTTGAATTCATTAATTTATAATTAATAACTAAATATTAAATAACTCAATGTTCACTTTTCAGGCCAAGCTTCAACGACGTGGACATGTAAATGGAAGTGTATATTGGCGATGTTATTTCAACGCTGTTACTTGTTTTAAAAGAAAGTAATTCAAAATATTAAATAACAATCAATAATTGACCAAGTATTAATTATTTGAAAATTTATGTTTAAATTATTTTTCAATATTTGAATAAAGCTTCAAATCAGTCAAGCATACTCTACTATTGGAATAGAAAAATAAAAATATTCTCATTTATCTTTAATTGTAACAATTGGTTCTGATTAATATATAATATAAATGTGAAAATTTATGCATCAAAATGTACCTGTATCATTCATTATAATATTACTTTAGTTAATTGCATTTATATGAATGAATAAACTATCCATACATTTATACATACGAAATAATGATTAATAAAAAATTTATTATAATTTTTATTAATATTTACTATCAATATTATTAATATATTTAACTGCTTGTATCATATTATATTTGTTATTTGCGTTACTATCAATGAAATACATTAATGAATAATTTAATTATTTATATGTAATAAATGAAAATGATAATTATTATTAATGGTAAAAATAAAAATAATTTATTAATATTATTATTATTATTATGGATAATTTAGTGCATTTTTTTCCAAAATTTAGATTTAAATAATACTTTTTATTGAATGGTATCCAAAATTTATTCATACACAAAAGGAATAAATTATTTTTCACATACAATGTTGGGAGAAATTTTATTTTTGATCATTCGCTTTCACAGACATTTCAAGTTTATGTTTCAATTCTTTTAATTTTTCAATAACATCAGTTTTATCCGTTAATTCATTTTGATAGTCAGTCAATTCAATAATATTTTGCCATTCGGTTATATGATCATACTCGTGATCATATTTGATACGATTAAGAAAATTAATATAATATATTAGAGTTGATGCAGTGATTCCTGTTTCTACATCTCTATATCCTTCAGCTTTGTAAAATGGTATAGCACTTTTTAATGCTGGGCTTATGTAAAATGCCATTGAATAAGACAGATCAACTGGTTTTGAAAAATATTTTGATGATTCATCCGATTTTAATGGTGTTAATGAACCACTATAGTTAAAAACATCATAAATAATTGGTATACCTATTTCCAAAGGTACATCAAATTTATATGCTTTAATATTAATTCTTGACTTCCACAATAAATTTGAAATAAATAATGGCAATTGAAGTGTTAATTCATCCAATAATGTAATAAAAATTGTAGTACTTATTACTTTCCATACTGGATACTTGTGAATCAAACGAGCAGTAATTAAAGCAGCGATAGCTTTAATTATTTTTCCACGATTAACATAACTTTCGTTAGATTCAATTGAAATTTGAAGTTTCAAATTATATTTATAACCATCATAATTTTTATATGGACATATAGTTGTCATAATGAATATTTAATTGTCTTACAATTTGACAATTTAATTTTTTTTTCTTATCAAACGTTAATGTATTCCCCAAAAACTTGAATTGAATGAAACTTGATATTTTGCACTACCACTACGACTTAGATAATACTCATAATCATCTATATTTTAGACTGAATTAAAATTTATAACACACTACTTTTATAACAAATGATGAAATGAAACAATTAGAGCGAGGGTATAATACTAGAATAGAATACGAATTAAATATCAGTCATTGTCTGAACGTTGAGTATAGGTGATCTAATAATATAATTCAATGTTAAAGTACTTTTTATAAATTGAAGGGCATTAAAAATAATTAATAGAATAAAAAAACAACAACAAATGATATTGTCAATGAGTTTTGATCATAGTAACAGTCGATAACAAAAAATACTGTAATCTAAATCTTTAAATAAAGACAAGTTTAATCAATATTATTGGGACTCAAATTATTTTTAGACTACTATCTATAAACCAGAGTCCGAAATTTCCAATATTATATGGTTCTCAAATTATCGAAAGTAATTGGCGTGTAACAATGAAATTTTAAAGACCATGCAGCATCAGCAGGTAGTTTTATATTATATTTTTTAGATTTATAGATATCTTATTATTGAAATATTATTATGTTATTTTTAAATTTTTTAAGTTTATTTTATCTTCATTTACTTGCAATTACTTTGACTAATGAGTAAATAATTAATCTTATTAATTGAATTTACTTTATTCACCTCGTTGGATATGTCTATATATATATTTTTTTTTTAATGTGTAATTTTAAAATTTCAGTAATGCGCAGAATCGTTTATTATATCGGATCGACTTAGAATTAATTTTTCTTTGTATACCGAGAGGTGATCAGTAAAATTGATAGTCGTTAGAAATGGAATATTATTTCATAGTAAATACTTTGATAAAAATTTTTTCAATTATTTTAACAATTTCTGGTAATGTAACAATGTAATAGTAATTACAATATATTCGTTTTATTAAAATGATCCTAATTATAATCTATTATAGAAAATGATGGAATAAAAATTACCAAGTTCAAATTACCAGAAGCTATCCATAATGGCACGGGTCCAGTTGAGTTAATTTGCGAATACAAAATAGAAAATAAAGAGAATGGTCTTGTAATAAAGTGGTATCATAATATGGAACAAATATACCAATGGATTCCACCAAGTTTGTGCATAAAAAAAAATTTTTAATAATTCATTAATCTATGTTATTTTAATAATTATAATTTAAATTTAATTTTAATTGTTCTAATGGTTAAATACAGTGATTCCTCAAGATATTGGAATAATATCCGGATTAACAGAGTATCCAATAGAAAATATAAATCAGCCATTATCTCGTTCAATCATTCGCTTAAAAAAGGTCAATCTTGCCATGACTGGTGATTATACATGCAGTGTAAGCACTTTTCATGAAGATGATTCTAAAGCCAAGACAATGACTGTTTATGGTAATTTATAATTATGTTTTTACTAATAAGTTATTTCAATAATTAAGTTGATAGAAATAACGTTTCATTTTTTTTCTTATTTTAATTTTTAGTTCCGGACGATGATCTTAATATTCAAGCTAATTTTTACAACAAATCTCATATAAATCTAACATGTATTGCTAAAGGTGCTCATCCTAGACCGAATTTAACTATTATTGTGGATAATCAACAATCCAAACGTGGTAGAGTTCATGTTGAAAAATTTCTTGACGAATATTATCGAGATTACAAAGATTATCCATGGATTAGACAAGAAGCATTACTACCTATATTTTTCAATCTTGCTATTATTCAATGTGAGATTAATATACCAGGAACGGGTTATCGAAAACGAGAAAAGCTTGTATATTATCCTGGTACGTACAACATTTATTTGAATATTTCTTTTAATAATTAATCACTCTGTAGTTAATTAACTACATGTATCGAAATATTTTTTTTTATTTAGATAAATATATCAATAGAAATTGTGCCTCTTCGAAGAAAAATTATTCAATAATATTCATACTTTTAATAATATTGATAGCGTGAATATTTGTACATGCGAATATGTGTTTATAAATAATATAAATATATCTGTTTTATTATAAAAAATTCATAGTTTAGTTAATTGTGATAGACAAAAATTTTTATTTATTTAAACAGTAATCATCACTGGATGAACAAGTTATTGAAAGAACCGATTAACTTGTAGGGTTGCTCAATCAGTCGTAAAAGCTTGACGCGCATTTCCGTTTCGCTAAACAGTTGATCACATTCATACAAGTATCGATCTTAATATTAACTTTCACTTTATGTACACATTACATATATTAAAGAAAAAAATACGATAATGTTTAAAATAAAAATTATAGTCTTTGTAAGTTTACCCTCAATATCACCAATTGTTATTTTATAGCAATGAATGAATGATTTACTTTTATATATTTAATCAATAACTATTAAATATACAAAAGATAAATCATTGAGGTATTACATATAAATCACCCCTTTTGAATAACATTAATGTAGATGCTCCGAATTTACTCATTTTCTTTGATATTTTTTCAACTTCTAAATTTCTCATTCCTTTACTGAATACATATGGACATTTTTTTTAAGGACATTAGTAATAGAAAAATGTTTGACGTTATTAAGAAGTTAGGAATTATTAAAATTCGAATTTTATATACATATTTATTAATTGATCATCAATCTTATTGTTCACGATTTTTTTAATTGGTTTTTTTCTATTTTGAAATTAATTAAGTAAAATGGAATTCTTGAAGGAAAAAATTATTCAGACAAAACTTTTCCAGTTTATGTAATCATAATGATATTGAATATTCTCTATAAATAATAACGCACCTTCGTACATATTTACAAAACATGTATTTTTTAAATTGTATATAAAAAGGTTTTTTTGTCTAAAAAAAAAGACAATTCATATTATTTGTAAAATGAAACGAAAATGGTTTAAGAATGAGTGATAAGTGTAGACTTGTTGCATATTTATTAAATAAATAAATATAACAAGTTCACCCTCATGAGAATGAAGATAAATTACTAGTTATGTACGTTGGGGATCATTTTCTTTTAAACTTATCGTGTCATAGAGATCGACCGGACATGAGTATCATGAATAAACGACTCGAATAGGTATACAATCTCTTGGATAGTGAATGCGCAAAATCACATAGTTAAACAACACAATCTCAGTGGCTGTATCATATAGATAGTTAACTGTAATCAAGTAGGGGATGAAAAGTTAAAAAGGAGTGGGGAGAATTTCAAGAAGAGGAGTCTTCATAAGGAGGCAACACAAGTTCTGGAGTCTCATCAGAGGTATCACTCGTTTGGTTGCTATATCTTTCTGTTAGGTAAGCTTTTAAAAGATCGTACTATGTAACATACTTGCATTTATTTTTATTGTTATTGTATTTTAATAATTATCAACTGTATAGTGAAAAAAGTTTATTTGTTCACTAGAGATTCTGCCAGAAATTTATCTATTTTTGTAAATTTGGACTATAACGACGTGATCATATCAGAGATGAATCGAATCAGCTTAATTATTTTTCTCACAGGTAATTAATTTTTATTAAATATTTTAAAAATGAGTTTTATATCGTTTATTTGAATATATGCATGTTTATTACACTTTATTAAAAATAATCATTCAAACATCACATCAAAAAATTTTCATCTTAAATTTCTGTGATGAGTTGATAAGATAATAAACGAAGATAATTTAAAAATAAGTGGATTTATTAAAAATATGTATTTTATTATTATAAAAATTTAATGTGTATTAATGTACATCAAAAAACAACATGAATTTAAGTTATTTTATTCTCAGTATTATCAAATATTAGATAGTTTTACTAAAGGCCTTACAAAATCTTGAAAAATTGCAACTATTGTTTGGAGATAAAATAAAAATATTTGATAGAAAATATTGATTTGTAAGAATGAACGTCAAGATAACTTTACCATTCATAATAATTTAATTACTTTCAATGGTTATTTTAATATATATTAGTGAAATTCTGTTATTTAAGTAGGAAAGAGGATTAAAAGTTTATCAAGTAATATGAAATAAGAAGGGGAATAACTTAGATGCGTGGCGCGAAAACTTAATGAAATTTATACAGCATTGACTGCCCACTAAGAAAACTTGTAATTACACAATTGACATTCATATACAGTTCTTGACTTTCGATATCTTATCCATAAATTTATTTTGAAACTAAACTTGCTATCCATTAAAGATCATATGAAAGGATTCATCAATTAAAAATATACTTTTAATTAAATATTAATAACATATTTAATTATTAAAAATAAAAAATATTTATTGTGAAAATAATAATTGTCATTATTAATATTAGGTATATGATCTTTTTATCATACAATAAAATGTCATCATAGTACTGTTTACAGTTTGTGCAGTCTGGACCGTAGGGGAAACACTCTCATGTGACCAATGTGGCCGAGAGTGCATTCCTATATGTGGAACTCGTCAATTTCGAGCATGCTGCTTCAATAACATGAAAAAACGTGTACCAAATACTGGATTAAAATTTTGGCTTATACCGTCGAATGAATATGAAAATTTACAAGTTTATGATTCATAATACACTGTTGTATTAATAATATTTGACATTTTACATTAGACTCCGAATTACAAAATATCTTATTATTGGTAAAGGAAAATACCTGTTGACATACATAAGTTTATTATTTATTTACATATAAAAATTATATACATATGTAACGAATTAACAAAACAAATTGATCATGTCAAATTAATATGCATTTTTGAAATATTTATTAATTTTAAATTCCTAATAATACCTTATATTATTTATTTATTTATTTAGAAATGGAAAAAAAAACATAACTAAATTTTATGTTCATTCATTTATGTACGAGTGCAGAATTTTATCCATTTTATTTAGAATAATCTTATGTTTTTTTATATCTGTGCTTTTACTGATTTTCATTAAATTTTTGCTTATAATTTTTTTCATTATTCTCCATCGTAACTTATCCATACCTGGATAATAATCAAGGGTCAGTAATTGGTGGAGATCATCCTTCGATTTAATATTTGTTATTATTAATTTTTCTGGCATCTCTGGAGATTCTATTGATTTAGAGATTAATGAGCCACGTGATATTGGTACTACAAAATTTTTAAAATATATTAATTATAATAATTATTAAATATAGTTTTGACTAAATTAAATTTTTTTTCAATAAATATTATATTATCACTTACCTCCAATATCATTACTGAGATCCATTATTGTTTCATTAATTATGTTATTTATCGATGTTTCTTCATTTTCGTTTTTGCTAATCTTTTCCGTTAAATTAGTTTCGTCGTTTAATGCATGTTGATGTTTTATTAAATCAAATATATCTACTGAATTTTTATTTGTGAATAAACTATAAAGGAAATAAATATCGTTTATGGCGAATCGACTAATGTTTTAAAGAATGTTTTTTTAAAGAATTTATCTATTACATACCTTTCAATAGGTTCTTCAATCCATGGAATTGAAAGCCAGTTTTTTAAATCAGATGGTAATCGATAATTTTCAGGTAACCAATCTATCCCAATTTGACTTAATTGTGATAAAAATGGAAACATTTGATTGTACCATATGCAACATTTTTGAATTAAATGTCTAGACCATATCCTGTTAACATTAATAATCAAAGTTTACTAGTTTATTTGTAAAAAAATTAAAATTGTTATGTTATAAATTGAAGAAAAACTTAACACTTATACTTGAGTTGTAAAATAATTAGTTTACCATATTCTTGATATTATGGAGTAGATGAAAGCAGAAAAAGTCCATGCCTGGCCTAATTGGATTCTTGTTTTAAAAAATTGTGCAGCTTCAATTGAAACTTTTTCTATTCTGTATAATAACATACAGTATCCTTGAGTACGAGTTAAAACATATTGTAACATTTGTCTCGTTGGTAATTTGGTTAACTTATTGTTTATAAGAGTGTTATCAATCAAATACTTGTATTCGTTTTCAAGAGATATATGCAAATAATTCAATAGAGCTCGATTTACTTTTTCAATACTTTTCAATCCCTTATCATGTCTAAATTTTTTCTTCATACGATATATAAAACGACTCAATACTGCTGCTTCTTTATGTATTATATCTTGGGAAGAAATTTCATTATAAATTTCATGAAGTAATTTCAAAAATGAATTTGCAGCTGTAACATAAATTCAATGTTGATTACCAGTATTACATAAATGTATAATAAAATCAAATTAAACACATTTTCAATATTTACAAAGGTTATCCGATGCTAAATAGCAAGTAGTAGTTGGAGGACGCTTTAAAATTAATTGATTCCATAAACTTTCCATCTTTATTTTAACAATCACTTATAAACAAATACTTTGTAAACAGTTTTTTTGTTAATGATTGATGACAATTAATACAAGGTACACTTGGCTATAAAATAAATATGTAAACATATCAAGAACTGTTTTTTCTAACTCGACTTCATTAATTTTAAGGTGTTCGCACATGGTTGCGACCGTGGTGTGCATGCAACAGTCGCCGGTAAAGTGCGCAACGCACACTGCGCAGGTTTTCTGTTGCATTAAATAATGCCGCCAAAATATTAATATTTCAAAATTTTCTAAACTAGATACTAATTCAAAACAATCATAATCCTACGAATGGGCTATTTTGGTTATTTTTTATATTTCAACGGATGTAAATTCATTAATAGCTGTTCAAGTTTATTTTTATTCATAATTATTTTCATATATCCGATTTACTTGGAATTTAATTCTCCACCTACGGTAAAGTAGTCAGATTAAGAATAAGTTCTGTGAATTTAAACTTATTCTGAATTCGCCATCGATTTAATATACTTAAAATTAATAATAATAATCGCAATTCTTTAAATTTACATTCAATTTGTACTAATTCATGTTTTCCAAATTATTCTAAGGAATTTATTTTACCATCGACTAACTTTACATATTAACTGTCGGTAATTTCTCACATGTTTTGAGGTTAAGTGTCGATTAGAAATTTTGTTGTATTACAACTTTTCTTAGATTTCGTAAAAAAAATTATAAAAATGAATTTTAGTAGCTTTATAGTTGTAAATATTAATTTCTTTAGTTATAATTTATTATAATATCGGAATAAGTTTGATTATTTCTGTTCATTTTCCTTTTTCATCATGATTTAAAATGTGATAATAGATTATTTTGGAAAAGTATAGATAACCTTAATGTTTAAAGAAGTTTTTTTTTATTTTATTAATATTTAAAATGGATTGTCGTGACTTTGACAATTGCTGTTTATAATAATAATGGATGGCATGATTTGTCGACATGTCGATTTCAAAGATAAAGATAATGTTAATTGGGATTTTGTAACGCCAAACAGCAAAAAGAATATTGTTTATGTTGATGCTATTACTTTACATGGGGGAGACTTCAACATGGATGGATATCCAGATTTATTAGCAACATTAAAATCAACAAAATCATTAAAAATGGAATCATTCTTACTATTAAATGTACCATGTACAACTTGTGAAAATATAAATCGTACTTTTGAAATACATTGGAATGCATTGAATCCATTTAGAAATCAAACAGTGATGGCTGTATTTTATGATTTTTATCAAGATTTCACCAGGAAGTTTGGGTAAAAAAAGAGAACTTATGGAACAAATTTACCAGGACCATCAATTGCTTATAAAACTACTACTCAAGATGGAAGTCCTAGAAGTGGTACTGCAGCCCAAATTCCACAAAGTGCACATTTTTCTCTAAATTTGCCTTATACTACATTTGGACTTGGTCGAACTCCTAATTTTATCGATATGCTTACAATTGGGGTTTGTAAAATGAAATTTTTCTTTTAGAGAATAATCTATTTTAAATATGCTGTTGTTTTAATTTTTTTTATTAATGAGTTACTTATTATTAGGTTGCAGGTAAGTCAAGAGAGTGGCCACAAATTATTCCAAACTCACAAATGGTCGTAATTCCAAATCCAATTACTGAATCGTCGAGATGGAAAGCCCAATTATTTGTGACACCAAGTAAACTAATATTGTTGAGTGCTGCTGCTCTTATGGGGACATGCGGTTTAATAACTACTATCATTATTGGTTTATATTGGAAAGAAAAACGCGAAGATAAAATAGAAAGATTACAAGAAGCACATAGATTTCATTTCGACGCTATGTGATGTTCTTTTACTAAGTTTTAAAAAAAAATGAATTTCATTATTATTATAATTATTTATTTATTTATTTATTTACATAGTACATAAATACTTAATATCCTACAAAGATTATATTATAAAATAACTTAATGAGAATCAATCGATAATTAATCGTAACATTCATAATTTCAATTAATCAAAAGGGTTTGAGGTTCAAGCTTTCTATGTAATAGTACATTTCACACCTAGGGAGGGAAAGTAGTCTAGCTCAAACCACGTGTAAAATAGTAAACACGTGGTTTAAGCTAGTCTAATTGTCTTCTCTAGGGCTGAATATGATTTTTCGTCATACCTGCGTGGAAAGTTCAACCCCTCTCCAATGGAAAAGTGAACTTTCCGTGCGGGTATGACGAAAAATATTTTTATTGTGACAAAAAGCTAATCCTCGTAGAAATCGATTTCCCAATTGAAATGGTTATAATTTTTTTACATAACTCTCATGTTAATTGAAAAAATGAAGTTCTACTGTACTTATTATAACTTAAGTAGAAATTTCCTTCCGTAAATTCATTCAATTTTTAAAAATTTTTCGCTTATTAAAATGTTTGTAATGTAAAATTACAAAAGAACATTTAAGATACAGAACTGATTCGATGAACAGATGATCCCATTTGATTTAAAACTTGATCTAGCCATTGTAGTGGTCCATTTAAATGAATTTCTATCCAACATGGTGTCGAAGTAACGTCCTGGCGTTGATATTCTGCTCCCCATCCTTTTACAAATGACATTCTAAAAAAAAATTTTTCGTATAAATATTTACATAATAAGTAATTAAATTATAAATAGTAATCAATTTTTATTGAAGTATTTTTAATAAAACTTTTATTATTTATGACTGAAAGATATCTACGTAAAATAATTTATGAAGAATTGTTTTATTTATTTCATCTGTATAATTGTCTAACAATAATTTGTTTTTGTCTTTCATGCATTATTCATTATTATATATATGAGCAACTTTGTTATTACCTTATCGTACACATCTTAGTAAGTTCATAAACTGCATCAAATCCGTGATGAACGCTTTGCCTCAACAGGTCTGCAAAATATTCAGTACTGAATATTTTCAAACTACATCCAGGTTGAATTTTGCAGACTGTAGTTGGATGGAAATTATTAAAATAATTGCAATTTCGTGATTGACTGAAAATGGCTGCTTCCGATAAACATTCAGCTATAAGTTCTCCGTTGTAATAATGTAATCCAAGCCCCTTGCCAATGTGTCTTCTAGTATTTTCAATGGTTATACTCCTTTTGACGTTTGACAACTTTCCTAAACAAAATCTTTCAGAATTTCCATGAGGATTTGTAAAGCCATCAACTATGATCGAAATAGGATCACATTGAAATATTTCACCAACTCTATTATTAAGTTCATAATAAGCAATGGAACCCCAAAATTTAGGCTCTATATAATTTATAGGCGTACTTGGTACATTTTGAGGTTGATTGTTCATTTGCATTGGTGGAAGAGCTGGTTGTATTGCATTTTGATAATCATAACAATTGTTTGCAGATTGTATTTGAGGTAGTGATTCTGGAAAATTGTTTACATTTTGTACATCCATTGAAGACATTCCATTTTGAGGAATTGCATTTGAATTATCCAATTGACCTAGAGATACAGCATTGTAATGATCGGGCTGAACATTATAAAAATTGCTTGCTGCATTACAATTTTCATTTGTGAAATATCCACTGTTAACATTACTCAGGTTGTTATATTCATTTCCGTAATTAATATTTCCAGCTGCATTATAATTACTTGCACAGTCCATCATGTAATTGTCCAAATTATCAATTTGATTATTGGCGTTAGGAAATTCATTATGAGTGCTTACTGGTTGGGCGTTATAATTCATCAATTGATTGTTGTAGACTTCATTATTTGGAATATTATTGTTGTAGACTTCATTATTAGGAATATTATAGTTGTAGACTTCATTATTAGGAATATTATTGTTGTAAACTTCATTATTTGGAATATTATTGTTGTAGACTTCATTATTAGGAATATTATTGTTGTAGACTTCATTATTTGGAATATTATTGTTGTAAACTTCATTATTTGGAATATTATTGTTGTAAACTTCATTATTTGGAATATTATTGTTGTAAACTTCATTATTTGGAATATTATTGTTGTAGACTTCATTATTTGGAATATTATTGTTGGAAACTTCATTATTTGGAATATTATTGTTGTAAACTTCATTATTTGGAATATTATTGTTGTAGACTTCATTATTGGGAATATTATTGTTGTAGACTTCATTATTTGGAATATTATTATGATTACTATATGTGGCGTTATCATTGCTATTATTAGGTGATGTTGAAAATCCATCTAAACCATAAGAAACATTGTATGGCAATCTTGGTTCCACAGGTTTTGGTGGTTGCGTAGGTGGTTGAACTACTTGATTTTCTGCCAGATGAGGTACTAGTATTGGAGTTGGAGAGCCCAAGCGTCGATAATGATAAGGATTAACACAAACTTCCGGACTTTTGTTAGAAAATGGATTTTCACACATATCAGTTGACATTAATTCATGATGTGACAAAAGACTCGACCATCTCCATATGCGACAATAAATAACATGCGGTAATTCTTTACGATGCATTACTTGAAGTCTTCCGTCTGAATTTTTAGTCATCATTACACATGCACTCGGACAGCCTGGATTACTTAAAGCATATTCTAAATTTTCCAAAGAATTTCTAGATTTTTTCAATCTTTTAAATAATGTTTCTACTGCTTTTGTTGCCCATCTTCTGTCTACTTCTTTTTGTTTCCACTTTAAAAGTTTTTTCACCATTGGATGGATAGGAATAAAGTATTTTCCAATTTTTGACATGATGTATACAATCACAAATTAACATATATATGAACACACAATTAATTAATATTCACACACTATTAATAAATTTAAAATAAAACAAAGAAAATTTCCACAGAAGTAACGAGAACTCTTTGAGCTGCTTTTAAAGAGACAGCAAGGAGACAACTGTCTTCTTACTTGTATGAAGCACCTTGAAGAACTGAAGCTCCTGGTGAAGTAAGCCCAACTTATATGTTTAAAATTTTTGGTACTGGATGGGGAGTTTTCAGGTAAGTGATGGGAAATATTTCAAATTCTATTGAATTGGCAATAAATCGTTCTTATATTTAGTTGAAATATTATCATATTTACCTTTAGTATTTGCACTAAAACCAGGGAAATGCAGGTCTTTCAGTTTTGCAGGTAGGTAAGAAGCTTATCCAGAGGTGATTTAAAAAAAATAAACTTCACTTATTAATAGTTTACAGCAGGAGTGTGCTATTGAGACTTTTCGAAATCTCTGTGACTAATTTCTTGGGGCCACTAGTGGGTAATTGCCTTCAGTTTATTGTAAAATTTTCATAAAATTTTATTCTGTAATGATTGTGGTATATTCATTATTTGCAGTATTAAAAGAACACGATTCCTGACTTTTGTTTATTGAAGAAAATTTAATTTTAGAATAAAATATTATTTAACATTATGGATAGAATTTAACATTTGCACAAAATGAATCTTACTAGCAAAGTAAACGAGATAAATTATATGGATTGTATACTAGGTTTTAATGAGGGTTCAAAATTTCTCCCATTTTCATTTACTCTTGTGCTAATAAAAGAAGCCATAAAGCTCGTGTCAAGGAAGACTCCGTTCTGACCTGATATAAAGAGAAATTTCTGACCTGCAAACTTAACTATTATTAAGGATTTAGGACATAAATTAGTGAAGCTTACAATGTATTGACTTTATGGCGAAACAAAGAATACAATGGTGTAAAACCTTGGAACTTGCATTAGCAAAAGGGTCAAAATGACACAATAGCTTTTCATAGTTTGAAATCTCATAGAATTGAGGTATAATTATTATACTTGGCCATATACAAGTAGTTAACAAACCGTAAAAATAGAAAATAAATGGTATTTAACATTAAATTTTACTGCAAAAAGAATTGGTGAGTAGTAACGAAAGAAAGAATGAATTAATATTTTCATTATTATTTATCAATTTCATTAGATTCAGATAAAATGTACTGCAGTAACGGAGAAAATTTAGAATGCTCCTTCTTTTAAATTTTTGAGTATTTTAAAAAGAAATTTTTATTCGCGCTCAAAGCACATAAATAGACATATTCGCATAGAGAGCGCGCGAATCGGATAAAACACTATCGCTGATGCAAACATGAAACCTGTGAATAAGGAAGAATTCACATGTAAAGACAACCGGAGACAAGGGTTGCTCTGATCGCGTGTTGATTTGAGACCTGTTCGACGTATTTTCAGTTCTATTATACATCGTAACATAAATACAACTCACGTGCATTGGTGCATTTCTTATTAATTTTGTGAGCTATTATAACAATCCGTTGGTGTTAAATTCGTTGATAGAATTGATATATTTTTTCAAGTTGATTAAGTCTGTAAGGAGGTTCAATACAGACCGTGTCTCAATCGTATGATCACGGGGCGAGGGTCTGGCAAACGGAACGGCGAGAGTAAAACTAAAAAATATTACAAATCGTCCGTCATGTCGATTATGCGGCGAAAACAATCTCGAGATATGATGAAAATGATGTGGAGTTGTGTACTGAGTAAAATTCGTCAGTAAAGTAAACAAGTCGCCGATGAGTTCAGATTTATGGCGGCGCGAGTGTTTTTGCTCGGCATCTTGTTTACGGAAGTGCTTGAGCCTATTTGCTGCACTGCAGGTGTGTTTTAATAAAAAAAAATTTTATTTTTATTATTACTTTTTGAATTAAATTTCTGTTAAACTCGAATTTTAAAAATTTCCCTTTGGAAAAAGATAATTTTGTGTGTATTATCGTTAAACTTCCCGCCTACACATGATATGAAATTTATTTTGAAGGCAGGTTATATTTTGCGTTATGTATTTACGATCGATAGTAGATATTATAGTGACAACCTGTCACTCAAACAATGGAAAACATTTTTTATGTATTAAAAAAAAAAATTCAAATAATATTGAATTACTGGTAATTGGTAAATGTATTTGTATTGACAATATCTGCAAATAATTATTTATTAATACGAATTATTATTTTATGTACAATATTTTCTTTATATTAATAAACTCTATTATATGTATTTATATATCTTTACATAATATATTCCATTGAAAGAGTGATATTTGAATTTCTTTGTTTCGTAAATATTTTGTGTAGAAAATCTTCTGTTTACAAATTCTAAAATTGACCACTGTATGTATTTTATTCATTAGGTGGTAGAGGAATTGTTAATAATTTGAACAACAAAAATGGATCTAAAAAAGACGGGTTAATGTTGAATTTGAGTAAAAATTCAATTCAAAGTTTACAAATAGAACCTGGAGGATATGCTGTACTTGGAAATCGGGGTATTACTCTTAAATGTCTGACTAATAATATTCACAATGTCACGTGGCTTTATAATAATCAACCGGCACCACCATGTGGAATTACACGATGTAATCGTCTTGACGATGATTCGATTCATCTTTATAAGGTTATTATTGTATAGTAGTTGATTATTCTCTGTGTAATATACTGCATTAAATTATATACCAAACGAATTAAATTTTCAATATTTATTATAATACATAGTAAATCTATCTTTGGTTAAAGAAAAATTCAATCTACTCAGTAACGTTTGTAAAATTATAGATACCAAGTATAAAATCGGCCTTGAAAATTAATAAATGGAATCAAACGAATTTTGATCAATTGGAGAAACATGAATATCGTTGCATTGGACAAACTTCTTCCGGTGGATATTTACGATCGGCACCGACTTATATTCAAATTGCAGGTATGAGAATAGATTTTATTTCATATAGTTTTTTATAAAAATGTAATAATTACAAAAAAAATTATATACACAACGTAAATATTTTTCAGAACTTGCACATGTCTTTAAACGTCCACCAATTGATGTCATTGTACATGAAGGCGATATTGCTAGATTATTTTGTCTTATTGATAGCGTACCATTCCCATCAAATATTAAATGGCATCATAATGGAAAACCTATATACTCTGATCGTAATAATACAAAGTAAAAAAATATCTAAATATTAAGATTTATGTTAAAAAAGAATTTAAGGTACTTGTAAAGATTTTTAAAATGACTATTTTTAATATTTTTATAGATATTTTATGGTACCACCAGGTGTTCTTTATATAACTGCAACAAAACAGTCTGACGCTGGTTTATATAGGTATAGACAATTATTTCAATTTTATCATCTGAACGATCTTTTTCAATAGAATGTTTGAACAAATAATTTCAGGTGTATAGCTACTAATAGTTTTATAAAAAAAACCAAAAAAAGTAAAGAAGCAAAACTCACTGTTACTTCAAGACTAACAGGCAATGAGACTAAAATTATTGCCTCATTACTCCCTCAGGTATCTTATAATTATACTTTAATCAAAGGATCGAATCTCACTCTCGTGTGTGCAGTATCTGGTTATCCATTATCAATTATTAAGTGGTTATTTATTTCTCAGCATAATAGTAAGTTGAAATTGTTCTATATATATAAATGATTTATTTATGTATTCTTAAGTCAGATATCATTCTAATGTTTTATTTGTCTTTAGATAAAGTTAGTTCAGCACAACCGCGAATTCTTCTTAATTCCACTACTGGTATCAGTATACTTACATTAAAAAATGTCAGCATTTTTCAAGCTGGCATTTATCTGTGTTCAACAGAAAACGCTGTGAATGGTGCTATGGAAATTCAAGTAAGCTTTTATGAAAGATAATTTTTATTGTTTTGGTATCATTTATATTAGCTGTTAATTTATAAGATGATTATAATTTTTTAAAAATTGCAAATTTTTTTATTTTATGTATATTTATAACTATTTCAGAATATTACTGTCAATGTAATTATTCCTCCAATATTTATCAAAAAGCCTATAGATCAAAATTGCCCGAATGGGAGAACTGCAAGATTTGAATGTCAAGCTCAAGGAATTCCCAATCCAAAAATTTATTGGCTAAAAGATGCTAAAAACATTACCATTAATGGTATGCAATTGAATTATTTTTCAATTACTATTATATTGATAATTTTATATTCATTAATGTCAATAAATAATTCAATTAAGGACGGAGAACAGTTTATTATAAAGAAAATAACAAAGTAGAACTAGCGATTGCGGCTACCGTGCCATCAGATTCAGGCGACTATCAGTGTGTTGCAATTAATCCTGCGGGCGAAATTTGGTCAGCCGCACGACTCCAAATTAATGCATCAAAAAATAGTCCACCAGTACCAACATCATTACGATGTTATGCTTCTTCACCCCTAAAAATTTCCATTTCTTGGTTGCCACCAAAATCTATGACACCTGGAAGTATTAAAGCCTATACCGTCCATTATAGTCCAGCAGGTACTGTTATAGAATATTTATTTACAATTATAAAATACGTAATATTTAATATTTCAAAAAATTTATTTACTTATAATATTAATATTTATATATCATACATATAACTAAAAAATTGGAATATATTCTGTATTTAAGAAGAAAATTTCATTATTATATTATATCTTTTGTTTTCTTTGTAAGAGGGTGGTAAAGAGGAGGTCTCACCAGAGCCAGGTAATTCTACGACCGTTGAAGTAACGAAACTTCTTGAGCCTTATACAAATTATTCTTTTTACGTACGTGTATGGAGTAGTCATGGAGCTAGCGATCAATCAGCAACGATAGTATGTGCAACAGCACCGAGTGGTAAGCTTGATGGACAATAATTTATTTGATGTTAAACTTTATGAGGAAAAAAAATCATTAAAAGTATTATACATTATCATTCATTTTATTAAATAATTTTTTTCAGTTCCAAAGACAGCACCAAAAGTTTACATTGACGTTTTAAGTAGTACAAAAATAAACATTACATGGCAACCTTTAACAAAAAAGGAAGCTAGAGGTGTTGTCGTTGAATACAAAATTCAATGGAGGCTTCATGATCATCCATCATCTCGAGTAGTTTTCGTTCCAGCAAATGTTGAACATCATGTGTTAGAAGGTCAATTTTAATTATAATTTTCTTTATAATTATAAGTAAATAATTTAATTTTATTAACGTAAATTTGAAAAAATTATAATATTATTTATAATCTCAACTTTAGATTTACTGCCGGGTGCCCAATATGATTTACGAGTTCTAGCAAGGACAGAGCAAGGATGGCCGAATATAACTGAAGGATATTTTGGATGGACTACCGTAGTTATGCCAACTAACGATTCAATAAATTATAATATTAGGAATAGTTTGGATATTGAGGTCATCAATATAAATGCATCTCACTTAAAGGTGTATATTCACAATTAAATTTTGTACAGGAAAAATTTAAAAATTGAATTCTAATATATTATTGATAAATGATTTTGTTTAAACATAGCATGTAAATTTAAAATTATATTTGTTTTTTATTTATAGATAAAATGGAAAATCAAAGAAAATGAAAATCATGAAATATTTAAATTCGATTCTTGGCAAATTTACTGTGAAAATTTAAACGGTAATAAATTATTTACCGTTTTACTAGACAAAAATTCGACAGAATATTTATTTTCCAATCTTGGTAAATAATTAGAAAAAAATTTTTTTTAACTAACGATTTCCATGGATTAAATTGTTTATACTACATCTTTTTTTAAATTTTAGAACCGAATATTTCGTATACTGTTGGCTTATGTATTGTCATAAATGGTATATCAAGTGATTGTATTTTAAAAATCGTAAAATCAAATCATTACAAATCAAGTAAGTATAAATTTATTTATTTTCCTTTAAGTGTTTTTAATGCATAAAAAATTTTGCAGCAAATAACATTCCCATGACTTTAGAAGCCATTCCATTGTCATCAACATCAATTCAAATAACTTGGGAAACGATTAATAAAACTAATTTTGATGTATTTCAAATATGTTACCAACCAGTTCATTATGTGAATAATAACGCTTCTACGTGTTTTTATACGTGAGTATATTAATTTAAATATCGCTTATATTAATATTCAAGTTATCTATTTTAACTGAAATGTAATATTTTCATAAATTTTAGTTTAATTGTAGTTTATATTCATTGATATTTTTATGTTTAGAAATGATACCAAAATAATTATTGGTAATTTGAAAGCTTTCACTTTGTACCGTTTTAAAATAAAATTATTTAAAAACAGTACTGATGTAAATAATGAAGCTTATGAAAGCATTGAATGTTACACAAGTGAAGATGGTACGTAATAAAAAATTTATTCAAGATATTAATTTACTTCAAATATAATTTTTTTTTTATCAATAAATTTTATTTTGTTTTTAGTGCCAGGACAACCAGAAGAAGTTGAAGGTTTTCAAGACGGTTCAAAAATACGGGTAGTGTGGAAAAAACCCAGTATAGTTAATGGTGTAATAATTACATATTTGGTATCTTATCATTCTTCCGATTTTATGGAATCAACTGTGACCTGGAATAATGTGACAGTACCAGGAAATAAAACTTTTGCTGTTTTACCTGAATTACCAGTGGGTAGACGATATTATATTAAAGTATATGCAGCAACAAGAGTTGGCTACGGACAACCCTCTGATCCAATTGTGGTTTTTACAAAAATTAATTTATCAAAATCATCTACATCATCCGATAAACAAGATCCACCGATCAAACCAAAACCAGATCAGAGTCTTGGTAAATTTCAAACTGTATTATTGTCTTTTTTGAAAATATTTCAAAATTGAATTACTTCAAATGATTTTTCAGGTATAATTTTGGGAGTTGGGATAAGTATTGGCTTTATAACCATTAGCTTATGTACTATATACTGTCGCAAGAAATGGGAGCATTTTAGATCATTAGGAGAAAGTGCACAACCATTTAAAATGCATATATTTTCAAGACAAAACAATACCTGTTTTGGTTATGAATCTTCTACATCAGCAAGTCAGCAAATCAATAATCCAATAAGTTGTAATGAAATTGAATTGGCTGTGTTGTGTCCTTCATCGCCGACATCAACAAATCCAACGTCCGATAGTAAAGTCAGTATTTATTTAAAATATATTCGTATATATAATCTAATATAATAAATTTGAAAAAAGAACAAAATTTTTTATTGCAGGGTGCGCTTTTTAATGGTATTGAATCCGGTGCTAAACAACCACTTTTAACATTTTCAAATTCAAATGTTAAACATAAAGACCAAAAAATGACGAAAAACATTCAGGTATTGATATTATTTTTTATATTATCATTTAAATAATAAAATTGAAAAAATAAATTTTTTTCAGTATAAAAAACAAGATGATTCTATTTTAAAGAAGCAATTAAAATTAGAAACTGATTTAAATAATACGAATTCAACATTGATAAATTGTACGTCAGTGCAAAGTACCAGCAGTTTGAATAACAATTTAGACTGTTCGTCTACACCAATAATAAGTTTACCAACAATACTTCCTGTTACAGAAATAAATGGTTAACATTAATGTGCAGCTCAATCAATTTAAAAAAAAGTATTTAAGGAAACACGGTATGTGAAAAATTATTTTATTTTAATTGATTTTTTAATTACTTCAAAAATGAATTATTTGAAACAGAAAATCACTAAGAATCATATTTTTTTAAACATAGAATGATAATTTCGTAACAAATAATCAATTCGATACAATGCGTATAAAGTATAATAGTTTTAAAAAAAAAACAAAAAGAGAAGGTAGAAAAAAATTATGTATTAAAATTAAAAATATTTCTTTTAAATTTGCTTATAGCTGTTATTATCCGTGTATATATTTGAATATTTTTGTCATTATAAAATTTTAATAACAGCGTTTACATATAAGAACAATTGACCATGCATGCAAGTGTTACGAGCAATGTGCCTCGAATTAATATAACAATTAACAAAGAAAATAATAATTTGCTCACGTTTTAGTATTTTGCCGTGATTGACTAATTATATATTGAGATAAAAGTAACATGATAAATAGAAATGAAGTAGTTACTCTAATGTGTATATAATATAAAATACTATAGACAATTGTCAATACGTGGACAAATTATTTTTTTTTAAATTTTTTTTACTAGTAAAAACTCAGATATTAATGAATTTTATATGAATATACATAGTGCAAAATCTATGTAACTATTAAATAATTGTATTATTTATTTATTTATTTTTGTGTTTAATTTAATAAGTTATCTGGGAGAAATGACATTCCATATATTTGATAATTATTTCTTTTGCTAAGAATTTTTTTGGTAAATTGTAGTGATAGAAATATTATGTGTATAAATTAGTCGTATTTTTTGTGTCTATTTAGGAACTAAATTAATTAATTTGCTGAATTATTAGAATTTTAATACATATATATTTTTATATACAATATTAATTCAAAATGTGTATTTCTCTAAATACTATAATAATTATTCATAAGTATAATATACATATATATATATATATACATAAACTTTGAACGAAAAGAATTAAAAATGAATAATCTTATATGATTTGCAAAAATTATTATCATTATTGTTAATAATTATGATGATATAAGAATAAGAATAATAATAATAATAATATCGAATGTACAAAATGTCACATAATAATTTCCATTATATCAAATAATGCAAGAAACAATTATAGAATATTTATCAAAATAATTATATCATTCTTTACGTTCATAGTTGAAAAAACTATTTATATTAGTTGAAGGCTATTATTTAATATCATTCCATTGAATAATAATAATTTCACCACTGTTTTTTTTTTCAATCAGAGTTAATTAGATTCGATTGATAAAGATTAAATAGTCAACAATTTGTAGCACATACCAGACTGGCAACCATGTTACCATGACAATTCCCAATTAATCCAATTCAGTACCTGATAGACTAAGTAATATTGTTCAAATGATTGTAATACCTTTCAAAGGTTTCAAGTTATAACCGTACCTTCAAAAATTGTTATATATGCATTACACATTCTACAAATTTTCCCAATTTTCTTAATTACTATACGAAATCTTAACCATGTTTTACAGTAGTTTTATTATTAATATTCCACTTATTTCAGATCATATTAAGAAAATTTATCATTTATATATAAAAATTATATAAAGTTATTACTACTTATATATGTGTTGGAATATAATTTTCATTTGAATGTAATAGGTATTTATTTATGCAGATAATTTTATTACAATTATGTCGTTATTCAAGATAGTTTCATTTTTTTCGTATCATTATTAATTAAATAGTGACTTGTTTATGGGTATTTTTGTTCATATGACTTTGAATATTATTATTATTATCTCCTTTCGGTTTGTCAAACGTGTCCGGCCAGAGATCCCAGGGCTTCGACCCACTTGGGGCCTGACCAACCGGGATTATCCTGCAAACACTCGACTCCCTCAGGTTTGAGGGTGATCCGGGGTTGCATCCATTTATTATTATTATTATTATTATTATTATTATTATTATTATTCTTATTATTATCAATCTTTACACATATATAAATAGTTGCAAACTACAAGATTATACAAAATTACAGTCACGAATATTTTTGTATATTAATTATTATTATCGATTGAATACAATTTAGTACTAAAATCAATAAACAATGTATGATAGTATTATCAGCAAGTCATATCGTTATAAAGTATAATTAAAATATTCCGTTTGAATTTATGAAACAGTTTTCCGGTACAATGTCAAAATGTTATGGCAATATAAAATACCTAAAACAAAAAAAGATACAAAATTTACTTACCATTTATATTTACAAACTGAAAATATTAATAACTCAAAGAAATGCTGCTAAAAATATTATGTTATTGTAATTTTAAAATCTTTACAATTAGTCGTGATAATTTTATGTCTTCTTATATATTTCATAATAATTTTATACATTATTAATAAATTACTATCATTATAATTATTTTATTAATATATATTTTTTTTTAGAAATTTAAAAGTTACATTTACGTCATGCTATTTTTTATTCCTTTAATAAATAACCGATATACTCGAAATGTTATTTTTAATATTTTTTAAACTGTTATTATATTCATCTGTGTGATATAATTTTACATAATAATCATTACAAAATGTGGTCCACTTTATTTAATGTAATTGAAAATTGTTTATCCACATCGAAAAAATTAAAAACTGCTAGTAGTAAAATCATAAAATTGCATAAATTTAATTTTACTACAACAGTTTTTTATCATACTAATTATAATTCTCAATAATAGTCATGATTTTTCAGTAGGTATATACAAATGGTAGTACCTATTTGAACATTCGACATACAACTCAGGTCATATTCTTTTTTTTCTAAAAAGTATATTTTATTATTGTTTTATGATAGAAAAATTTTTAGCAGTACTAATAAACTTATTAAAATATTATTTAAGTATATCTAAAAGTAATTATGTGATGAAATACTTATTAGTTTATATAATTTTTTAAAGCTTATTTGTAGAGTCGTCGTATTGTTTCAATATTTATAATTCATGTTCAAGCACAGAAATATTGTATTTTTAAAGGTACAAAGCAATAATAAAAATTGTGACTGCAGATATTCATATTTTTAATTCCTTAATACAGTTAAAAGTACTTATTTATTCATTAACATCATTTTAAACGATCAATATTTTATAGAATTTATTATAAAATATTAAAATTGTAATCAATAGTTTTATTAAATAGATTTTATACATTATTATTATTTTATAGATTATTAAATAATCTATTGGCAAATTTACTAGAAAATTTGACTAGTATGATTATTGTCATGTTTTTAATAATTGATCAAATTTCATCTAGCATATAATTTCATATTAAATGCACATGTAATAATGATTAAATTACAGCACTAATTTTATAGGAAAACAAAGAAAGCACGATATATTTTTATAAAATCAAATTACGTCATAAAGTTAAAGTTTCTTTCTTTATATTCAATACAAATAAATATAATATAATTATTTATCAATGTCATTTATTTGTCAATTTTTTCATATCAATTTTTTTATATAATAAATGTAATTAATCACAGTATTAGCCTTTAATTTTTCGACAAATCACCCATTGATTGCTCTCCACTCTGGTTGTAATCTAATAAATTTACCTTGGAAAAGTTTCAGATTTTATTATTATATTGTCTACTTAAAATTACAGAACTTAAAATATATTGCTTCTTGTAAATTTTATCATCTACGTGTGAAATTACAAAAAATTTTATTAACAGAGCATTTATTTTCATATATTTAGTTCATGCTTTATTGTCTAATATAATAAAATCATAAATTTTTTTAATAATATCATGAATACAATAATATTCATGATTGTATATATGCCAATAGTCTATGTAATATTAAATAGAATATATTATATGAAAAAACATACAGAAAAATCTTGAAAGAATATACATATAATGTATATTTAGAAAATTATATTCAATTGATTACATTTAATAATGTAATTTTTAAGAAAAAAATGAGTATAAAAAATAATGCATGTAAAAAATATTGTCTTACTACAACAAATTAGATGGATTACAGTCTGGCTAACTTTAGAGTCCAAGGAAGTCGAATTCGGCAATATAATTATACTATATAAATTTTACTTAAAAATTTTCGATTTCTCATCTTATTTATTAACGACATTTTTGTACCGTTTGACATTAAAAATGAATAGTTATATTGTATTGTAACGTGACAGAACAAATGTGAATTCATTTTATTTTTCTTCGATTCATCATCTTAATTGAATTAATTAAAAAATTTTTAATACTAGCTTCCAAATTTTACATAGAGACATTGTTTATCAATAATAAAACTGGCTATTTTTTTCTGAGAAAGTCAAAAATTACATTTCACAATTTTAAAACATAACTCAATTATTATATCGAAAATTACGAGGATCATAATTTTATGAAGTAATTTATCACAAAGATCTAAACCATCCGAATCGACTTATTATATGTAATTTTTGTACATACACCATATAATAAGATATTATTAAGAATTTTTCAAAACTCACATTTCATAATACTAATTGTATTAATTACTTTCTGCACGTTAGTTTTCGGAGTTTAGTATTTAACGTAGATTTAGTATTTCAAACGGCGCCAAATGATGTTTTAATATAATAATTTAAAAAAATTTATACACTGGAATAAAATTACTTGAACTCGCGACAAGTACCAAATATATTTTTATAATAATAATTTAATAAGCATCTTTTTTGGAACTTCAGCCATCACAATATGCAAATTAAAAACTTGTTAAAATAATGCATAAATAGTTTTATATTCAATTAATGTTCATTCCTCATTTATTAGTGTAGTTATTAAAATGAAAAAAATAATGTATATATTTAAGTACAAACGTGTTTGTAGATATCACATTATTATGATAGACTAAGAAATGTAAGTGTCATTACTTTCGATGTCATAAAGTCTTTTATCAGTATTTTGACTTATTAATATTACCTTTACTACATAGGCACAAAGTGATATTTTTATCTTATAACAGTTTTCAAGTTGGAATATTTTTAGATAATTGTTTTAATAACTTTTCAAAGAACTAAAGAATGTGGAAATATCTTCATTGTTACATAATCATCTAACATCTAGAACGTTTTAGTATAATTAATAAATAATAAAAAATTACAATAAACTGAAATAACTTACCTCTTTTAAAGCTTGTTTTGTTAATTTAGGATAACTGTAGGAAAATTCGGTACTGATCAATTTATTTGGATGTAGATATAGGTGTTTATTATACAACAATTCTTGATCAATATAAGGTGATAGTGGACTATTTTCAATGCCATCTTTGCTACATGCTTCAGCCCACGGTGCCATGTGCTTGTCATTTACCTCTTCTACCACTGCATTCATGTCAGTCTAAATGAACAATTAAATTGGAGTAAGTTTCATGATAAAATAAAATTGAATCAAGTATTTTTCAAAAATGAATAACCTTTGCAAAAGTAGAGAGAGTATTTCCCCAGTAATCATGATTAATATTAAATAATTCTGAAACTACAGCACTTATAGAGCCTTGTGTTGAATCACTTTCATCAACCACATTGTATATTTGACCGATAGTATCATCTCTATTTGTTACATGCCACATTGCTCGAACAACATCCATCACATGAACTGTGTTCATATGAAGATTTGGACCCCACAATAATTTCATCATTTCGCCTAAATGTTTGTAAACAGCACCAATCACAAGACGTGGAGCTACGAGAATTACAGATTACTTATTGTAATTTTTATATGGGAATGGTAAGTTTCGAATAATGTATATAATACAAAATTAAAATTTTTTTGATTATAATTAAATAAAAATAATTACCTAAACCGTTTTTATCACCAATTCCATATACTATTGCTGGACGAAGAATAGTATATTTAAGATTCGAAATGTTTTTGAGATCATTTTCCACTTGCAGTTTATGTTTTGCAATAAATGTCCATGGATCTGTTGGATCATCTTCTTTGTGAGGTAACTATAATCATTAAAAATTCGTTATAGAAAGTAAAACTTACAAGTACCATCATGAGAAATTTATAATTACTTTTTCAGACGAATACATATTACCCGATGATATTTCAATATATCGTTTTACTCCAATTTTTGCAGCATTTTGCGCACAGTTCATACTCAATTTATAAATACCTTCTCGGTATACGGGATCTGTTTGACAGCTCTTCGTTTCACCCGCACAATTGAATACAAAATCAATTGCATGATTGCAATTAAATGCATTTTGACAAGATACTAAAAAATTGATCATCAGTTTATCTATTTATCTACTTATCAAATAAAAATGAGTGAACTAAAATAAAATATATTTACCAGGATTTATTAAATTAGCACTTTTAAATTCAACCAGTGAATTTTCAAATATGTCTCGATGATATTTGTTTAACCAAGCTGTTTGTGGAGGTACTTTATCAACAAGTCTCACAAAAGATACCAATTCATTTTCGATTAAGTAAGCCGCAAGGTTCCGTCCAATAAATCCACACCCTAAAAAATGAAACAATAAATTAGGAATTTCGTGATACTTTATTATAAAAAAGTAATATTAGATAATATGATAATTAGCTAGGAAATATATTGATGAACTGATTACCTCCTAAAATTATTACTCCTGGTTTGCTTGTGTTTGTGGGAGTTGCCATGATGAATTATCAGTTTCAATTCAATATCAGTAGCTATTAACATACGATTGCAATTTCGTATTGATATAATAATTTTATAAATGTAATGATAACCTCTATGATCACATTTACTTTACACTCAGTAAAATTACAAGAATTTTACAAAAATTGATATTTTGTACAAAGTAAGTGAAATTGCATGTAAATTTTACTTGTATTACAATGAACTTTAACTTATTTGATATTAAACATGTATTAACTGTATATATTTGATATGTAAGTTTTTTCAGATTACTGGTACCATTCAATGACCACAAGTGGCCGCTTCAATCTTTTTAATGTTTATATATATGACATACATATGTACATATACATTGTAATGAATTTAATATAAAAATCGCGTATAAAATTAAAATGGAACATATATTAATATTTAATAAAATTAAACTCTTTATACATTTATGATAAACAAAAAAAATAACAACAAGAGTTATTTGTTACATTTATTTTAAATTATACTCTTTCGAAATCCATATAATTTATAAATTAATATTGTGGTTATTTATTTTGTTTATAATGGTAGAACTAGAGAAAAACGGTCTATACGAGAACTTAATTGCAAATAGTGCTATGGAAAATACTATCATCAGAGAAAATAGACCCGCATAGAAGTTCAATGCTGTGTTCAGTTTAGGGATCATCCTAGGCCACCCCAACTGTGTTAAACTCTTACCTGGCTCCATAAGAACCCATACTAAATTTTCGGAATACATCGGCCCATTTGAAATAAACTTCTCTTCTCTGCTATCATGTATATAACAGAGCATTTACATATGTACAAAAAATATGATTGTAGTGAAAACTTTATTGAACAAAAACTTGATTACTTGAAAAAAAAAATTGAAATGTGTTCCAATTAGAATACACTTATTGCGCCCTCTTAAAAATATTTTTAATGATAAAAGAATATTCTAGGTTATGAAGACATGATTTAGCATCGGATAAAGACATAAAATCACGGTATAGTATTGTTGCAAGAATACGCGTACACATAATTTAAAAAATAACCCTTTTTCAGTATTATAGACTCTTTCTTATGATAGTTTAATAAGAAAAATTGTACAAGACGTTAAAATTAAATCATTTTAAAAAATATAAACTTATATTCAATAATTTCTAAAATAAAATAGTGATTCGAAAGAAGCCGAGGTTAGGTTAATTTAATGCGATTTTTTCTATTTAACAAATCGTGTAATTACATTCACTTCAGTATAAACAAATAGAGACAAACATGTCTGGTATTGCCAGTGCTAGGCTTGCCGAAGAACGTAAAGCTTGGAGAAAAGATCATCCTTTTGTAAGAATTTGTGAAATTAATTTTTTAATAATAAGAAATGCCACCTTACTGAGTATTCTTATTAATTTTGACATCATTTAATTTAAGGGCTTTGTTGCCAGACCTACAAAAAATCCTGATGGTACACTTAATTTGATGAGCTGGGAATGTGCTATTCCGGGAAAAAAATCCGTAAGTTACATAAAATCCTTCTGATTAATGAAATATAACAATAAATAAGTAAAGTGGGTTCAATTTTATTTAAAAAAATGCTCACATGTGATAAGGTTTAGCGAAATCGGAATTTAAAAAATCAGATAAAAAATTTTTAATCATCGGTACATTAGCAGAGCAATTTAAACATATTTTATGATATAAATATAATATACTGTAAGTTATCATAAAAAAGAATAATTACTATTTTTATTTTTTACTTGATCGTTGAAGACTCCGTGGGAAGGAGGACTTTATAAACTAAGAATGATATTCAAGGACGATTATCCTTCCAGTCCTCCAAAATGCAAGTTTGAGCCACCGCTTTTTCATCCGAATGTTTATCCATCTGGAACAGTGTGTTTGTCACTTCTTGATGAAGAAAAAGATTGGAGACCAGCTATTACGATAAAACAAATTCTCCTAGGAATTCAAGATTTACTAAACGAACCAAATGTTAAAGATCCCGCACAAGCAGAAGCTTACACAATTTACTGGTAAGTTTTTTTTTCTATAATCTTCAATCATTCATTTATTATGCATTTTAAATTATTAAACTGACATTTTTTGCAGTCAAAACCGTTTGGAATATGAGAAACGCGTAAAAGTTCAAGCAAGAGCAATGGCACCTCAAGAGTAAGTTACTTAATTATATATTTTCTACAAATTTATAATTATTGTATAATATTTCATTTTAAAATCTAATTTACCTTTTTTATTTAGAGCTCAACTTTGAAGTTTTTCCTCAAGAATTTGGTTTTCGATTAATAACAATTCATAAAAAATGAATATTTACAATTTTAAACATCGATTATTTAGGTACATATTTGAAATGTCATAAATAAATAAATCATCTTATGAAAATATTGTAAACCTTTTTTTAATAACGAAAGATTATAAGTAAACTTTTTCTTATAATCGGTTTATCATTTCCGTATACTTGTCATTTTCATTTAAATAAAATTAATCTATATATATATAATCTTTGATACGTTACATCTACTTAATTATATATATATTATAATAATAGCTCAAGTGTGTATTTCTAATATAAATGTATATCATTAATTTCTTAACCACTATAAAATAAATGAATTTTCAATATTCCATCATATTTGAAGTTTAAAAAATAGTGTAACTATTATCCTTATTTAATTGACAGTGACGTATTGTTCATTAAAAGTTTTTTTTATGAGTGTTTATACATAAAAATATAAAAAATGCCGGAAAACCGATTAGACATATGTAGAGCGCATGCGTAATATCATCCATAATAAGAGAGTATATTCCATAACATAAAGATGCATTCTTTTTTTCACTTCATGTATATCAATAACGGTCTTTTGTATGAAATTTCTTTATACATTTTTCGATATTGAAAAATAAAATATAGTATTAACAAATTATAATGAGTGTAGTAACACGTGAGACTCTCAAACTTCACAGAGTCAATGCTGGAATAATTGTATCTTGTATTGTTGGATTATTTTTATCATATTACGCTTACATAGTGGAAACGTCAAAAGAACAAGATCCTGATTATGAAGCTATGTGTGATATTAGTGAAAATATAAGTTGTACAAAAGTTTTCATGTCAGAGTAGGTATAAATATATAGTGATAAATATATAAGTGTATAAATTAATTGAATTAAAATATTATTACAGATATGGTAAGGGATTTGGAGTCATATCTCAAAATTCAATATTTTACATGCCCAATAGCATTTATGGTTTAGGATTTTATGGTGTAATTTTTTTCTTAAGTAAGTTGGTAACTTCAAAAATATTTCAATACAATGTACTTAATATTATAATATATTATTATTAATAATTATAATGTACACAGGTATATTTAACAATTACGGTATCACATTTGGAGTGGTAAGTGTTGCATGTCTATCGAACATTAGTAGCATTTATCTCGGTTGGATCCTTTATCTGCTTAATGATATTTGTGTTGTTTGTATTGGTACATATATAGTCAATGCCATTCTTTTAATTCTTAATTATCGTAAATTGTGTATTTTGTCATTAATTAAATTGAAGAAAAATTAAATTTGAATTCTATATATTCAAATGTTATATAAAATTACATATTGTCATTTCAAAATATGATGTCACAGCACATAATGAGACATTCCAAATATTAAAGTTTTTATTGAATATTATATCAATCAAAAGGGATTTTTTTTTAATCTCTGTATGTAATGAAAATATTTCTCATTGTAAAAAGAAAATTCGTTGAAATTATAGATTTTTCTGATGCTATTTCGTACATACAATTTCTCAATATTGTCAATTGTAATGGGTAAGAGAAATATATTAAACTTTTATCAGTGTATTATTTAAGTGTTATGTATATAAAATAATATGGCGAATATATAAAGAATATATTTTTTATATACCTGGACTATTTTTACGAACTTAGTAATCTTGAAAAAACTAACAATACACTATTTGAAAATGTAAAGCTCTGAGTTATATAATGTAATATAATATTTTTATTTTATTTTGATTAATTTCATTCTTTAATACAGCAAACGGTTAATAAAATTAAATATGTGACATATTAAATAAAATATTTTATTTAATTGTGGATAAATGTACCTCTCAGTATTAAAAAATCACAGTAACTAGACAAAATTTTTTAATAAAATTGAATAACATTTTATGTAAGTTATACATTTTAGTTATAAAATTATCTGTAGTTTGTTAAAAAATAATATTTTAATAAAAACTTATATATATATTTCATTTTAGACATCGATAAAATATAGTATCATAATGTTACTTGATATAATTCAATCGATTTGAGCAATTGCGAATTTCTAAGTTTTTTTTTGTTTTTTTTTAAGTCTGAAAAATTGTGCATTACTAATAAATTATTTTTTTTTTCTATTATTCGTTAGTTAATGAAAATTATTAAATTATTTATTAATATTTATGTTTTAATTAGTAATCTTCTCTAAACAAATCTCTATTGCTACGATTAATGCTAGCAAGAATACTAGGACTTTTTAATGGTGGACTTTCATCAACAAGACGGTTAAGCTGGGTACTAGACTTATGAGGTATTTTATGAGAATAATAATTTCTAGTTCCATTCATTTGATTACTAGCTTCAAGTACATTGAAGCTTTTACTCCTTAATAATGATGATTTATAGGTGCGTTCAGGTTTTGTAGGTGCTACTTCTACAACAGAATCTTGGATTGGCATGGAAGGGCTTAAAGCATTTTTAATTGAAATATTGATCATACTACCATAATGACGCGATGATTGATTAGGCTTTAACGTAGAAATTAAAGGAATTTCATGATGCTTATTAGGATGAGTAATAATTGAAGTTGGCAGACGATTATTTCGGTTTAAAGTAGACTGCGATTGTGATTTAGGTAAATGATTAGTTGATAAATGGAGTTTTCGAGGTAATGTTTGGGTACTGGTAAACTGTTGATGAAGTTGACGATGATTTTGATGATAATAATCTTCTTGTTGATCGTAATGATTTGTTAATCGACTTGTAGACTTACTAAGTCGTCCCAGTGAAGCTGATTCAACGTTATTATAATCAATAACATCTCGTTCCGGTTTCCTAATTTTTCCATGCTTTCTATTTGTTCCATAATTATTAATTATTGAACGATTATGTAAATTTTTTCCCGAAACTGATTCTTCAATATAATATCTATGTACAGGTGTTATTGAATTGTTACGGCCATATTGATCATAATTAGCAACATGTCCATTTAATCTTGTAACTTTAATTGTTTTGGTAACTGGATTACTATTTGACATAATCGTATTTGACGAGTTTTTTGGAGATCTTGGAGGTCTTTCGGGTTGTTTAGTATTATTTAATTCATCTCTTTGTATTTCTGGGATGTTTTTATCAATAACATTATATTGAAGATACGAAGTTGAATTATTATCATCAGTTTGGGTCAGTTGAGATGTAGAACTAGCGCCACTTTTTTTATTATTTTTTCTTTCTGTAGATGCTGACCGTATTTTGTCGACAAATTTTTTAAATGACTCACTGATTTTTGATTTATTTGAACAATTTCGTACAGGTCGTGAACTTTTATCAGTTTTTTCATGGTAGTTCTTTTTCTCACGCTTTATAGTTGGTGTTAGGGAAATTTTTATTAATGGTGGTGGTGAAACTGTACGAAATTTTGTTGATGAATATTTCTGATGATTATCAGGGGATGATATATTACTTTCAATTCTTTCATGTTCTTGAATATCATGATTTCGGTTTTCCCAAGTTCTTTGAATTATTTGAACTGGACTACTGGATGTAAATGTATTTTTATCTTCTCGATTAGATGCCTAAATAAATAAGTGTTGATTATATAAGAGTATATAAAAAAATTGAATGTTTTTTCGTTTACCTGACGTGACTTGGTACGACGAATAGGAGGTGGAGGTGGTGAGCTTGAATTTTGCTTATATTCATGACGACGGCCAATTGTAGAAATTTCAAAAGATTTTATATGTTTTGTATCCTTAAAATTTTTTTGATCTTCCACACATTTTTCAAATGAGTTATTTTGTCTGGAATATCCGTTATTTTCATGTTTTTCTAATGGACAATTATTATTATTTTGTTTATCTACAAACAATAATTTATCGTTTATACATTTTTGAATTTTTGTTATCATGATAGTTACAATTATTATTATTAGTACTTACCAAGTGTTCCTCGATATCTTTCTGACCAATCACTAATTCCCTGAAAATATCCTCCATCAGAAAATTTGCTCGAACTTGAATTTCCTGTTGGTGTTTGGTTTTTGTGATATTGATAATGATAAGATGTTTGTTGTTGATGTAAATTATGATGATGACTATTATGTTGTTGCTTTAGCAATTCTTGTTCTTGCTGCTGTTGATAATTATTTTCTTGATACGTTTTATCTTGCTGTTGATTTTGATGATCGTGATGATTAGGAATATTATAACTCTTATATTTCCGATCTTTCGGAGTACATGATTTCATTGTGACATTTATAAAACTTGTATTAGCAGCAATTTGTTTGTTATTACTTGTTTTTTTAGAATCATCGTCGTGATCAAAAGTAATAGAACCATGTGAAGATCGTGATTCACTACCAAAATGATTTTCTAGCCACTTGGATGTTTCAAATTTCCTTGCCTCGTCTTCTTCTTCAAGATCTAAAGGCTTTTTGGTCAAAGCATCTTTCCTGTTTGTAGCATTATTTTCTCCTAAAAAATTTTTATTGCCATAAATTACGATTTCTACATTAAAATTAATTGGCTCTAATTATGTAAAATACTCAATGGACCTTATACATCTTTTAAACAGGGTAATTTACAATCATATTTACCTGTTGATTTTGGTAATCGAACTGTTTGATTATTCGATGATGGCCAATCACCTGTTTGATCTCCTTCTGTAGTCTCAGAGATGTAATATTTTTGACGAGCAATTCGTTCACCATTTAAAACGTAATCTACTATATCCTCTTCTCGTTTCTTAAGAAATTTTTTCGAACTTTCTTTTAATATTTCGGCAGGTTTATCTTCATAGTAATCATTATTATTGTTATTATTATTTTTATTACTATTATTATTATTATTATTGCTCGATCCTGAGTAATCAGGAATGTCTGAAATCTTTAAATAAATTTACTTTATTAATATTTTTGAAATATTCTCGAGATAATTCTAAAAGAAAGTTGAAACACACCTCTTCATGAGTTACACTTGTTTGTGTTTCTGTTACAATCGTACCATTTGGTTTTAATCCTTTACGTTCAAGTCTTTTTTCAGTATCGATGATTTTATTTGATTTTGTAGTGTGCTGTATTATTCGAGGTCCGATCTCAGAAATTTGTGAAGATTTGCCTAAGGATTCGGCTAATGCAAGCCTTAAGTCTTTTTGATGTTGATTTTGTATTGCTTGTTGATATGCCTTGAAAACATTTAAATATTATTAGTTAATTTATTATATAAAAATGTATAAATGTATAAAATTTATTTATTTACTTCGTCAGTTATATCACCAAATTGTCGTCGATCTTCAGTCTCTAGAAACTCTTCAACTTCTTCTCTACTTTTTACGACAGTTTCATTTAATTCTTTTTGTACAAATTGTTCTCCATTTTTCTGTTTCCATTCTATGTTTAGTTGATCATCATCACCACCACCATTTGTTCGTTTCTACAATTATTTATATTATAATATCAATATAAATAAGAATTTAATAATATTAGTACCGTCTTTGATCAAGAAAAGTTATTATAACAAAAAATTCTTTTTGGAACATATAAAAAAAAAAGGAAATGGCATACTTCCTGAGTTGTGTGCTCTTGTTGTTCGACGTCTTCGGTGGTATTGGTAGTAACAAGTGGTCCGGAATCCTTGATGACCTCGCCGTCCTCCAAAACTACCTGACGTTTTACTCTTGTCTCAATCTGACGTGTTGTCGTTATTTCTTTTTTCTTACGTGTTTCCCATTCCTCTGTACAAATCAAAATTATTAAATAAATTTACATATAATAAAAAATTTTTTTTTTAAATATTAGTAAGAAATTTAGCAAATTTTTAATTTCGTGAACACAAGTAAATACTTACTTCTAAGTTATTTATTCAATCGAGTATTCAATTTTTAGAGAATTGAATATTTATTCATCAAAGTAAAAAATTAATTTTATATTAGGAAAATAAAATTTTATGTGTTTACCCTTTATCACTGTTGCAATTGAGTTGTCTGGATCAATCTGTAATCAAGAGTTTATTATAATTATTAGTAATTAAAATTTTTATTTTTCTATCATAAAATTTTTTGGTTATTACTAATTAAATTTGATTTCGTGATAAAAAGATGAATATTTTAGTATTACCATGTCATTAGTATGCGTGACGATGTTGGTTGTTGGCTTCACCGCCTCATATTTACGCGTTGAAATCACTTCCATGATGACAGTGTAATTTTTAATTCACACGATTTAGCGTTTTTGTTACAATTAAATCACAAATATATATATTTTGTAGTACCTAAAAAAATACAATTCCCAAATATATATCATGACTAATTATATTTACAATATTTAGCCAAATAAAAAGCATTATTTATCAAATATATAACAAAATATATAGAAACAAATTGAAGGACATGTACGCGACATGGTTCCTAATATGGTAGTACATCGTGTGTAATACCTACGTGGACCTGATTATTGTTGATTCTTTGTCGCACCCACACATCAAAATGATAAATTATAAATAAACTTACCAAGTATTAATATCATAAAATTATAATTTTTATGTATCATTATCGAAATGTTAAAAATTAAAATGATTACAATATATTGATTTAAAATTGATAAACGTGATAAAAATGGAAACAATTTTATGTAAAAATATAAAAATTATTCATTGATGATAGTATATGATATTAGTACCTTATGATGTCAATTTTGTAGGCGTAAATTTTGATTTTTTTTTTAACATGTACCATTGACGGAATTATATTCACGCATTTTAAAAACTATTACTGCTATAGGTGCATCAATCACAGATGATAATATTAATGTACATGTTATGATATTTATGACAGATATGCCTTATATTTATAAGCATTTTTCAATAAATAAACTATATTAACGATGTATGCACACATATAAGTATACATTCTTAAAGGGTCCGCATAAACTTTCCAATTTCCTTAGGCGATGACAGACAACCAGTTTGCCGTGGCTACGTAAGTGTAAGTCAATGTATGTAGTAAAATTTCACGAATTTTGTAAGTTTGAATTATACATAAGTTGAAAAGTTAATCACTTTGGAGACAAATTAAAAAAAAAAAATAAAATTCTTAATGAAGATTTTAAAAATATTTGAAAATATGAATAGCATTAATTTCTGATTTCGTAGAGAGTTTAATGCATGGATAAGCAGTATAGTCATAATCAAAAAAAAGAATATGACTAAAAGAGATTTTTTTTTCGTAAATAAAGAACTTTGATCTTTCGAGTTTCCAATAATTGATCATAAATTGAATTAAATTTTCATGTATGTATTGATGTAAACTAATAATTTATTCTTTGCCCAAAAATAGAATCAAAGAATTTTAAATTATACTTTTAATTTTCTGATTGATTAAAGTAACTTCTTGTTAATTCCATCCCCGTTATAATTAGTATTTACGGAGTATTTTTAACTAATTTTTGTTGTAAGTTACTTTACATTGAGAATTTGCTTTATTTACTTTATTCTTTAGATGTAAGTATATAATATAATGATTTAAACTTCTTAAATGTAAGCCATTTTATGGATAAATGGATTCACAATGCAAAGAGTTTAGTTGTCACATTTTAGTTGGTGCAATCAACCACGTGACCTCTTCAAGGACATCGCCATTTTGTTTAAAAATAGACAAAGAGCGCGGTAAATTCGATAAATAACTTTAAGTATTAATGTTTTATTTTGTTTGTTTGTTTTTTCTTTTTATAAAAGAATACTACTCCAAAATCTGCTTGATAGTATTTTAAGAATTTACACAATAAATATGTTTATTATGAATTGTAATTATAATTATGTGAACATTTAAAACTAAGTTATCATATCTGAGTTTATTATATTCTTACGAGACTTTTCTCTTTACGTAATATTATGAACAGGGATAAAATGGTACAACAAGTTTTTGCTTTTTGAAATCTATTATTAGAATATATAATAATAATTGTTTTTACTTACTGTTAAATTTTATCAAATAATCCTAATTGATGTTTTGTCAGTGTAAAAAATACTTTACTATTCAAAAGGCGTATACATTTGTAGACATAATGTTTACAAGGTCATATGAAAAAAGAGAAAATGAACAATTTAGATCATCACTTAATACAACAATAGTGATGCTGATGACGGTAATGATGATGATGATGATAAATACAATGTCTTATTAGTGATTTTTTTGCTTACGACTAACATGAGGATGGCATTTCTGACAGTTTACGCGAACACAACGACTAAACACAGAGAGTTGCACGGAGATACTATACACTGTGCAGTAAGTAGTACGTTGTTGTATGGGATCTCGAATAAGGTAAAAGAAAAGGTAGACAGATGAAGAAGGGGAAGAGGAAAGCTACGTCAGATCAGCGAATACCAAATCTCGTAACCTGATATTACCTATAATCTGTGGTCCGCGATCATTCTGTTAAAGAATTTATACAATTACTGACACCATTCTATCCTAGAAGGATTCATAATTATTCAAATTTATTATACATACTAATTTGGATTTTTTATCAAAGTAATTTCATTAATTTTATTAATTAAAGTTTCAAAATTATTTTAAATATAAATATGTATATGCATTTTTGTGTAATGCTGGAAATGAATTATTGATAACATTAGACAGTACTTGAAAAAAAAAATAATTCAAAAATTTATTTCTTCAACAAAATATGGGAAAAATGATGTCATCTCGATTTGTCAGTACATATTCAAGTAAAGGAAATGCCGCGCCCACACTATTATGTATACGTGTGTATATGTAGATATAAGTATAATAGTATAGGCGCTCCGTTTAGAAGAAGGCCCTTTCTCTCTTTAAAGATATCTCTATAAATAATAGGAGTGGGAGAAAGAGTAAAAGGAAAGTATTTGAGCAATATAACATCAGGTGTTTCATGCAGGTCTTTGAATAATAGTTACAATAAGTTAATATTATTTTGAAGAATACAATATTTTATAAAAAGAAAAAACTTCATCATGTAAATTGTAAATTTTCCTCCATTTCTTATTCAGTTGTTTAATTATATCTACAAATTGACTGTTACAGAATAATTTTATTTCTGCTACAAAACAATATTGTGACTATCATAGAAAAGTTTTGTTACAAACACTCAAATAAGACTGGTATGGTCTTTTACTTTATTATATGGTAATTTTTGTTATAAATTTATTGATTTTTCAAAAACAAAAAAATACTACAGTAAATGAATAATATCAAACCTTTTGTTTATGATTAACTTTTTTTGTTTATCGTAAAATAATTTTACATTATTTATATAATCACTAGATTTTTAAAAACCACAGTTTTTTAAAATATAAGAATATATGATATTTGTCTAAAATTTTTTTAAATCCATAAATAAAATTTTTAGTATTTATTTTACATTAAATTGGATATTTACATAGTGATTCTATCACTTGATTATGTCTTTATTTCAAGTCAGACTTATCATTATTATTATAATAATTATTTTAAATTCGATAATTGACTAAAACAATCATCAAAATTTATTATTTTGCGATTATTGACTTAATCCAAGCAATATTCGAAGAAACTTTGTCATAAAGACGTGGCCTTTCAATTGCATTCCTAGAGCATGCAATTCTCCAACTACTAACGCCTGTTAAAGCCCATTTTTTTTTATCTGACAAAAGACACAACATAGGACTTCCTGCGAGTTCTTCTTCCTAAAAAAAATTAATACAAAAAATTTATATAAAATACTGTCATTGTTTTCGTATGAATTTTTAAAAATTGTTAATAGAATAACTTACGCTGCAATCATCAGTTGAATAAACTGCCTCTGTACAAATGCTATTGATTGAAGTTATACTGATGTTTTCACATTTATCCATTACACTGTACTTTAATTGAACACGCTGTAAAAGATCACGATTTCTTGTCCATCCAAGAGTATTACAATATGAAGAATTGATTTGTATAATTTCTTCACGAGATGGTAAACAGATTGGTCTCACAAAGTCTGAATAGGTAATCGTTGGTTGATCTAATTTTAAAAGAACCATTGTACTTCCTTCTACTGGAGATTTAATCATACCAATGATTCTTCTTTCTTGTTGCCATGGTGCTGTACTAGACAATCTTACAGTTCCCAACCGAGCTGTCCATTCTGCTTTCGGTTGTCCTTGGAAACAAGATGCTGTTGTAAGAAGCCAGCTAGACGATACTAATGTTGCATCGCATACATGAGTATCTTCTTTGAAAAGAGCTACATGCCATGGCCAATCACCAGGCTCTGCCATTTTATTCAACACTTTTGTATTGCTTTTTATTTTTAAAGCTTGAATTCCACACTCTGTAAGTAATTGTAAAATTTAAATCGGTCTAAACGAATCATGAAATTTCTACATAAATATTGGAAAATAAAATTTGAAAAGTCAAGAAACAATACCTAATTCTCCACATCGAACATACATCACTTGTTTGTTAGGACATGGAGCACGGACGAAAGATATTTTAGATGCTAAAGGATCTTCCATATGAACATATTGAACGTTGGCTTCGTTATCAGTTCTAATTTCAACAGAACTCATTCCATTGTATGTTAAAAGAGTACATAAAGAAGCTGCTGCTGTTTGAAGTACAGTATTCATTTCTGTAAGTGGTAAAGTAACATTGAGATTTTCTACACAAAGCTTTCCAACAGTCCCTTTTTCATTAAATAACACATATCCTTCAGGTATATACTTGGCAGAAAGTGGAGTATCGATTGGCTGATTTTGTACAAAATTTGTACTTGTTGCTAAAAACACTAAAAAAATTTTCTTTTAATTATTCAGTTATTAATTGTTTAGTCGTTGACTTTACACATTCAGTATAATACACGTACACAGTGTTTTCTTTCAATACTACCATTACATATATTTATTTTAATCATTGTTTTATAATAATAATAAAAGAATATATATATATATTTTTTTATATATATTAGTGGTATTAAAAGAAAACTATGTACATAGAAAATGCTAACTTTATGTATAATTTTTAATATTTTATGATGATTATATTTACAACAATCTTTTTCATCATTTCCATTCGGACAATCGATTTTTCCATCACATCTTTTTGTACTTGGAATACAAGCTTTCCCTAAACCACAGTGCATAAGACCATTAGAGCAATAAGCGCAATTATTCTCATCAGATAAATCAGGACAATCAATAATACCATCACAAATTCTAGATGATAAAGCTTTATTTTGTAAATCTTGAACACAACCTAAATCGTAAATAAACATATCAATTTCAATACATTATTTAAATAATTGTTATTTGAATAAATGAGATATAAATGGAAATTAAAATGAACTTAATACCTGGTTCGGCCCAGCAACTTCCATAATCAGCATATTCAGGGAAGTGCGAACAATCAAGTGCACTTTTAATTCTATCTGAAAGTCGATTGCCACATCCTAACCAAAATTCTTTACAAAAACTACGACAAGGAAGTTTTATTGTTACATCAGATATACCAGGTAAACATGTTGGTTGTAATACTTGGCATATAAAATCGTAAGCAAACTGATAACATTCTGCATCAACAAGTTCCCTGTAAGAAAAATGCTTATTTTATTTAAGTCATTCGAAATATTTACAAATAAAAAATGGTATGTATTAATTTAATAATAACCTGAAAGCTATCACATCATTTTCTACTTCTTCAATTGAATGATGACCAAAGATATTAGGATATGAAGTTATATTATAGGTTAAATGTTTACAATAAGAAAGTTTCAATTCGCTACAAATTCTTGGAGGAAGAGGTGGAGTAGCAATTGTCGTAGATGAAATTGTTGAAAGAATTGTTGGCATTGATACTTGTGAATTTAAAACCGCTATGTTTTCTTGTACCTCAAGACTTTTTGGATCAATAGTTAAATTTAACAAATACTTGGCCGTTTTTGGTGCTATTTCCTTAGATAATACATTAATAACATTATCTACAGTGACTGTTTGATACCGAGGATCGAATCGTAATTCAAAGTGAACCACCAAATCATTATTTTCCACACTATAATAAAAAAAACATTCCATAAGTATCATTAGAAATTTATTTTTGATTAAAATAATTTATTACTTAATTTAAATTACATATGATTAATGGATTTATCATAAATTATTCATTATTTACTTGCAATAAATGCACAATACATATGCATATATAATTGAATCAAAAGTAGATTTTTAGGTCGTAATACTTACCCATCGAGTGCAAGAATCTCTGAAGAGATAAAAGAAATTCTAAGATTACTACGACGAAAAGCAAGATTAAGTCTGTCACGATATTCTCGTGCTCGTATTCTAAAAGCTTCAGTTGATGGATCTGCTAAATCAATGGTGAAAGAATCTCCATCAGTTACTCGAAACGTTGCAAGAAAAACTTGATCACCAGGAGGATCAGATATCAAAAGTGTATCTAAAAATATATAGACATATTTGTTTCATTCTGATAACTAATATTTTTAAATAAAAAATTAAATAAGATGTGTAACAGGTAAAATACTGAAAAATTTAAATATAAAATAAATAAACAATACCGGTAAAGAAATTTGTAAAATACAATTAGGTCTAGTGTTCGTACAGAACCAAAAAAAAAATGAATTCTTAGCATTTTATTTCACCTAAATATATAAATTAAACAGAACAGAAATGAAATTGTAATTGAATGTACGACAAGGCCATATTTTTCTACTTCAAAGGTCGATTGTTGGGTAAATGGTCGTAAGAGATCGTAGGCTGGTGAGTTTCAGTAACTCGGACGAACCGTTAGCTTGATGATATCATCAGTTCTTTTACAGGATCAATGCTCTTACTCAAAGCATCTTTTGTTTATATTAGTAACAATTTATGGTTAAATTTTAAAATTAGTTCATCTCATTGATTAAATTCCAAATAATACATGATAAATAAGAAAAAAATACAGGACTTGTAATTGATAATTATTTTATTCTTTGTGTATACATCAGTATGCACTTACGCTTGAATAAATAGGTAATCGATGAACGAGTTCAAGTCAAAAACTCGGTCAAACCGTTAGTTATATGTATTTTAAGACCTCAATAACTTTATATTAGTTACATTTACTTGCTTTGTATGATTTTTGTATTAATAATGAAACTTACAACCGAGATAAATAGAGACTCCAGAAAATAGGAGAAAGAGTAGAAAAGCTGCTAGTACACAACATCCACATCTATATTGGCCACCAAACTTTCTTGTGAAACGTATATCACTATCTGATGATAAAATGGATGACGGTGTTCCTGTTCGACTGAATCTTCTAGTACTAACTGTGCTAACAGAAATCTGAAAATAAGGTAATTATGATAAATAAAGTTATTATAAAGTATATTTTTTAAATTATTATACTTTTCATTTCGGTATTCAAGTGGTTTTTTTCTTTGCTGTTACTTGCGAAAGAAAGATTGGCAAAATGTTATTAAATTGAAGGTAGATAAAAAGTGGGTGTTGCCCTGCAATTTAATAGAATAGTTTTCTCCACACAACAAAACACGTGATTACCCGTTTAAATATTTTCTTGCTTCTCTATCTTAGTGATTCTTTTGAGAACGGCAAGAAATTTCTAAATTAATTTAAAGGAAAAAATAAAGAACAACAATGATTGAGTAAGTTCTTAATTCAAAAGCATAATAGTTACAGTATTTATGAAATTTATAAAATATATACGATATACATATATATTTTGTTTTATTTATTTAAACATTAATAGATGAGTTTAACAAATAAAGTTACAAACAATGTAAATAAATCCACACCCTTGTTCAAATGTTACGTTTGGCTCACGCTCAAAAGACTAGAATGATTGCACTTTTCATGCACTATTAATAAAATTATTTGAATGAAGACGTGCATTTCTCAAAGGTTACTATCATATTCATTAGTAATAGAAACATTCTGAGAAAGTTCACATGTATATTCGTTCATAAAATGAAATATGTATTGATAATAATATGAGCAATTAAAAAATAGAAATCAAACGAAAACATAGTATAATAAGAAAAACAAATACATCAATGATATGTATAACAATCTTTTCTATACTCATTTTTACATATTAGTAAAGTACATTTTAAAAATACCCTAATTTATTTATAATTTAATGGGTGTTATTTATTTAATATAAATATAACGAAAGTGTAGCGGGTGATTGAATATGTATCATTATTGTAATACTAAAACCGTGACGGAAGCAGAACCGTTGATCCTACAGAAAAAAAAATATTAGTACGACAAAGTAGTCTTTTTGTCTGTCTAAGTAACAAGACAAGAAATATAACGTTGAATGAATAAAATGTAACGGTATTATAAACATGGTCATATGTTGAGAGCTTAACTTTACACTGTTATTCAACCTATATGTAAGTAATCAATGTCTATTAATTAAAATCAATGTATTGTTATAGTTTTCAACTAATTATTTAACTTGACAATATGAAATTTAACAAATCTTAAATTCAAGTAGAAAAAATCTTTTTATTAGAAGGAAACCAATTGAATGAATTGTTGAATTTGTGTTACTTTATTATCATTTTGATCATAAACAGAAATTAATCGTTTATACGTATACTTTATTAGTTAAGACTTATAACTAGTATACGTATATTGTTGAATATGATTTATCTCGATAACAATAAAGAATTGAATACCACAATGAGAGAAAAATTCATTAGAAATATTGTTTTTATAAAAAAAAAAAAAACTTTCAATTTGTAAGAAATGATATAATTTGTGTTTATGTTTGTAATAAAATATTTTTGTTTGTAATATAATATCTAAAATATATAGTACTACTGCATACCTTAGAAATAAATAGAAGCTTCACTTTCACTAGTGTAATTGAGTATATATATATATGCATTTTAAAGGGTGGGTAAGATTGACAATTTAATAAACAATTTAACGTGTTTTTTTTACGTGCTATGAAATATATTATTAAATAATATAGAAATTTAAATCATAATTATCAATAAGTGATAAAAAAATTACAACATTAATAACAAACGTGACACAAAAATATTATGTTACAAAATTTCATGACGTAGTAAAAATGTTGAATATTGCAAATTCCATCATTACGAAATCTATAATATGCAAAAAAATTGTTATTTAAAAATCGGTTTGTCTTGAAGTATAATATCTCCAATGAATTTTTCATCAATTATTAATATTGTAACTATGAAAAACAAAGAAAAATTACCTTTGAATCCCATGAAGTTTTTCGTTTGTGCTCCATTGAAACTGTCATATTTTAATTCTTTGCTGAGATATAATTATTTTACATATATTATAATACACTTTTTTATATAATACACATAATGTTACATTTTAATTAATGTAAATGGATGAAGAAAATTTAAATATTTATAATAATCACTTTTTACGTATAATAAAATAACACTAAACACTGATCATGATTTTTAAAACTATCATGATTATTTTAACTTTGTACTATAATAAAAAAATATTGACGTGTATAAAATAGAAACAGTAGAATGCTTTACAAAACTTTTTACTTTAAATACCGTTATGCCGAAATTAATGCTCTTAAATATCGGTATAACGATGTTTCTATCAATACAAAATACTTGTTACATTTGATTCTAAATAATAAAAATGAATGTTTTAATTTTAAAAATAAAATTTGTTAAATACAAATATTGTAAATAATATTCTAATGTGCACAATAATTTTTTATGTTCATTTAGTAAACAATGTATTTCAGGTAATAAGTTATCTCAAGAACGTTCCTTTTAATTCCAAATAATTATTATTAGAAGAAAAAAAAAAATTAATAACAAAGATGATATGTAGAACTCTCTCGACGAACGATCTGTTCAGCACCTCGAACAGATTACTACTCTGATTGCCCGGCAACTTTACGAAACGACGAGCAATTTCTCTTGTGAGCACGCGAGAGGTACGCCACGAGGTAGGTAAACCAAGAAAACGGGGATTGTCGCGGCCTTAGAGATAGGAATTGAGTTAAAATGTATAGAGACTAGCTGTATACGTGTAGCAGATAAACTTTCACGTATTAAGAGTTCAGTTCCTAGTGCATTTTTTTATCCTTAATAAATACAATGAATTGATAAAAATTCATCTTATTGAAAATAATTTAGTAACAATTTATTTTTATGCCGTTATTGAAGCGTAATTATTTATAAAACTGGAATATTTAAAAATTTTAAATCATAATTTTTTTTTGTCTATTATATTCACATTATTGGCAAGTTGCTTATGTAATGTCATTTACACGTACAAAATTAAATTATAATTGAATCATCTGTATTGTTTATATTTATTTTTAGTTTTTTCACCACAGTAAAAAATATTATTTACAAACATAAATGTAATAAAATTTTACATCATCGATGTATTAAACAAGTATTCATTGCATTAATCATTATTATTATTATTTATCATAAGTATAATTCAAAGTTTTCATTGATTAAATTTATTTTAAATTATTTTCAATGAGTCAAATATGAACTGAGTATATCAGTAAGTACGAATATGATCTGAACGTATCATATGTACGGTTTTAATTTCAAATATCGATCGTATTGTCTATTAATTATTATTATAATTTGAATGCAAAAGTGAAGAAACTATTTAATAACACCAAATCTTTGAAATGTGAGTGGAAATTGCGAAAAACATACACATAACACTGTAATTAAATAGAACCTTTGGATATGTTTTTTTTAAAACATCATTTACATTTGATGTTTATAGTAATGGTGAAAGAATTTTAAAATTGTCACAACAAAAATAATCATAATAATAATAAGATACTCATTTGTATTTGAAAAAGACATTTATTTATAAAATACTTCAGATTAGTTCACTTAGAATTGTTTTAAAAAATAACAGTAGTAATAGAAAAATGATGATATTATTCGAATAATATAATTAAGCAATCATTTTTATAAGTAAAAGATTAAAATATTTTATTGTCATGGAACAATAAAAAAAATATGGCTGATAAATAGTTGAATTAAAAAAACATAGAGATTTATATAAATTATTTTACAAATTGATAATGGAAATTTTACTTAAAGAAACATATTTACTTTTTTTTATCAGAATAATACATAAATATAAGAAATTAAATTGTTCATACTTTAGGATATCTGTATTTATTAACAAAAGAGAAGGAAAATGGAATTTTAAAGAAGTAATCAAGATAGTTGATAAAAATGATGACATTATGGTTAAAGAAATTAAATACATACGTTTATATGAATTACATATTTTTTCATTGAATCCAATATATTGATAATGCACAATTTAATGATAAACCAGCAGTGCATTTTTCTACAATTATTGATAAATGAAATAAAGTTATATATAATTTGCCCCTTACTACCCTGTAAAATGTATAATTCTAAAATGATTATTATCTCTAAAATTATGATTGCAACGTACGTCGTCGAGTTGCACTAATATTTCAGGGACAATTATTATTATGTTAATAGTTTTATAAGATTAATAGATATTCTGTAACATGAAAAAACATTCAGTAACTTAGTGTAATGTTTTATTAGTAATAATAATCTTATATTATTATGCAAAAAATTAAAATCATTTATAAATAGAAACTGACAATAATTCGCATGAAAATAGCAGTACCATGCCCTTATTTATGGCTTAATATAACGTAAACAAATATTAAATTAAACATTCTTATAATTTTTAATGCGTTTTTTTTTTCCTTGTATTTTTTATTGATTTAGAAAATAAATTGCTTATCATAATAAAAAATATTTTAATAATTATAAAAATTATAAATCTTTCGAGCGATATTCTTTAACAGTAATGGTGATCTTCCGGTTCTGAAAGTCATATATAAATATATAGATATGGATATGACAGCTAATTAAGAGTGAATAATTGATTGTACTAAAAACTAAATTACGTCAAATCAATATAAATGGTTATTCAATTAATTTTCAAATATTTAATTAATTGATAAATAAATTGCATATTTTTTATGCAACTATTTAAATATGATTGTATAAACCAACTTCTCAAATACACTCCATGTAAAATTGATTCATTTAATTTCGATTTATTTACTTATTTTTGTGACGTAAATATTTAATTACATGCATTAATTATTTTTAATTTAAAAAAAACAAAAGTTCATTCTTAAAATTGAGTTGCCGATCAGAATCTTTTAGTGGAGTGAATTATTTTAATTAACGTAAGATTCAATGCATTTTAATAACATTTTTTTCTCTTGTTTCTTTTTCGATATAAATATTTCACTATTTTCAATTTGAATTCAATGGATAATGATATTTTATTCATCAACTGCACGTTAAATTTATGCGATAGCGCCATTACGGTACAATACTATTAATTTATTTAATACTTGACCTGGTCATTATTTATTTAAGACGTTCTCAGGTTTTAAAGATCGGTATCGTACCAAGCAGCTACTTGATTATTATCCTGTGGTGGTGCAGGCAACTCATCTAGATGATCAAAGCTAAGGTCTCCCTCATGTGCAACATCCATTCCATCCATACCACCGTATGTTGATCCTCCACCTATCTCTAACCCCTGCATTGAGTCTATTGGAATTTGGTCATAGCTTGCTGTAAAAATTTCACAAGAAACAAAATTATTAAATGTTCCCACGTTTTAATGGAAAGTAATAAATGTAATATAATTATAAATAAATTGAAAAAATTTCAGTATTACATAAAAAAATTTTTATATAAATTAATTAATGATAATTTGAAAAAAAAAATTAAAAAATATTGTTTTTATAGTTTATATAAACATCTTGGAATAAAAGATAAAAGGCTACGGAATATACAACATTACATAAAACTTTTCTAATTTACCTAAAGTGCGTTTAATCAGAAAATTATTGCTGTTTTTTATTTGTTATTGTAAATATTAAAAAAAAAAAACTCTTTCTAGTTATTGTTGCATTACAATTATAAATATTGTCATTAGTGAATTTTACATATACATGCATTAAAAAGAAGAAGAGATTGTGATTTCAGTTACAAAATATGATAGCACTACAAAATGTTTGGTTCAATGTGAAATTATTCACAAATAAGCCGTGCAAGCATAAAATATTGATAGAAATTACGTACAATGTTTTATCAAACAATGAAAATCATTTAGATATAAAATTTCACCTATGCGTTATACTGCGACATTTTGAAGATTGCTTTTACTTAAAATTAAATCCATTGGTTATGCTGCTGTCGAAAAATTTTGTGTTAGATTGAAAAAGAGTCAGGATGATAATGAAAGCGTTAATCAGATAATTAATAAATTGAACGTTGGCATGTTTGTAAAATTCGATACGTTTAATTTGTAGAATTTGTTAAATTCATCATAATATTGTTTCATATAGAGAAAATATGTATAATATTGAACATACCTTGGGGCTGATAATTCCGGCCTCCATGACTGCTGTGAACACTAGGAGGTCCCTGGCCATACATACCGTCATATCCTTGTTCAGGTCCAAGCATGTCCTAAAGATTACGTACCAAGAGTCAAGACATTAATTTTTTATAAGATATGCAATTAAATTGATTAATAATCAAATTTTAGTAAAGTAATCGTAATTAAATTATTATCAAAATAAATAACTATACAGGGAAAAAAAGGAATTGTTGTAAAATAATAAAATAATGATATTACTGTGAATCAAAGTAATTAATAAACTCTGTTATACTTGATGTAATTATAAATACCTTTTTTTAACCATTGTATAGCTGATTGAATGATAAATAACAATAACTGTACTGTAATCTACAGGCATTGCGATTCATTACAAACTACACTAACAACATCGATCACATCAATAGCACATTTACAAAAACAATGAAATTATAGTAGTAATAGTTTTTAACAGAATATAAAGATAAAGATTATTATAGAATAATAATTTTTAAATTTAATGATTAAGAAAAAAAAATGCATCATACTTGTAAATCTGGACTCATTATTCCAAAGTCTGGATTATTCCACATATTTGTATCTTCACGTAATAAAGAATTAGTGAGCTCCATTGAAATTCGTTTTTTATAATCTGAATGTTTATCATCACTCATATGAAATAGAACAGCAGCAGCATAAGTTGCAACACCTTCATTTCGTGAATGCAATAATTCTGTAAGTGGAGCAGTTGCACCTTCCTGTTCAATCATCTCTGCACCTTCTTTTTCATGTGCAAGTTCACAAAGTACTCCGGCAGCGACGCGTTGAATATTTTCAATTTCATTGAATAATAACTGTTTGATAAAAAGGAAATGTTATTAATATTTTTTTTAAATCTTTTTTTTCATTATAAGAAAAATTGTTATTTACTTGAACAAAAATAGGAATGACATTTTGAGATCGTATGATTGCTCTATTATGTGATTCTCGAGCAAGAATGTGTAATGCACCAACAGTTCCTTCTACAATTTCTTCCATACGTACTCCATCTGTGTAAGCTTGTTGACTTCCTATTCCAGTAACCGAAGCTCTTTGCTTTAAATTAAGAATGAAAGATAAACTTTATTGAAAAATACATGATATATAATACAAATCACTTACTCTTTCTATATCTTGGAATGCTCGCATTAAAAGTCTAACGAGATGATGAATAGCACCATGCTCCCGTAATGGTGCAAAGTTAGCTTGACAATGAGCTAAATTTCGAATCAATCCAACAACTGCTTTGATCAATGGCCAACGGGATGGTGGATGAAGTAATTTCACTATTACTTGAATTCCGTAATTTAAACGAACTGAATTTTGAGCCATTTCTGCTTCTGGATGACGAGAAGTTAGATGACGTAAAGCACAAACGGCTGGTTCTGTAATTTCTTCGCGATCTCCAGCATTAACAATTGTACGAACAAGAGCATCAATACCACCAACTTGACACACCGTTATCTATAAAATTATTAACATTCTTTATCAAGTAATAATTTAAGAGTTATACGTGTAAACGAATAGAAATTGATTTGGTAATTTACCTTATTACGTTGATTGTTGCATGTAAGATTTGAAAGAATACCAGCTGCACAAGTAACAACATTGACATCACTAGAAGCAAGAACTTGAACTAAACCTTGTAAAAGTCCTTCAAGACCATCGACTTTTGTTCCAGCATCAGAAAGATTTCGTAGGGTCCATAAGCAATTTTGAACAAGTCTTTGACTTGGATTTCCCAAATGCATTGCAAGTGCTTGCATTCCACCAGCTTCAACGATGGCTGGTTTATTACTTGAGCACACTGATAAAACTGTAATCAATGGTTAAATCATCAATAACTTAAATATGTATTATAATTTTATATATTTCATTAACAACAAATGGTACCTTTTAAAACACGAGATGTGGTCCAAAGAAGCTTCTCATAATCATAAGAGCGCATGATACGCACTAATTCAATTGGTCCTTGTGATGCCAATATGATTAATTTACTTTCTTGATTTCCATAAGCAAGAATTTGTAGACAATCGGTAACGATAGCTAAAAATTTAACGTTGTTCCGTTGAAGAAGAGCAACCATTTTTTGAAGTCCCCCAGCAAGACGTACAGCCATTTTTGAACCATCTTGATGAAGTAGAAGATTATGTAATGTTGTGATGGCATAAAATAATACTGATTCTACGCCTGAACTAAGTAATTTAACCAAAGCTGGAATTCCTCCACTCTTGAAGATAGCCAAAAGACCTTGTCTATGATGTGACAAATTGTGTAATGTTCCAACAGCAGCCTTAGTTGATTCTAAATCTTCACTATTTGAAATTGCACGAACTAAAGCTGCTACCATTTGTGTACTATTCATAATAGCATGACGAGCTGCTTCTTTTTTTGATAGTTGATGAACCATCATAGCAGCTTGAGAGACAACTACTTGATCTTCATCATTGAGTAATTTTATTAATTCGGGAATTGCTCGTGTTGCAAGATCAGCATCATCTTGATAATTAATCAAGTTAACGACAGCATGTTTCAACATTTGACTGGGTTCAGCTAATCGTTGGACTGCTGTAGGTTGCGCTGGATCAAACTGGGTTGAAGGAATTTCAATTCCTTCTTCTAAAGTTTCTGGAAACATTGCTGCTCGTACTCGTTGTGAACGCGTATGGCTTAGTTGTTGATTCATTTCTAATGATAAAAAAAAGATAGAAATTGGCCAAATTTATTCGAAATGATGAGCAATTTATTTTAACATACCATCAACTTGATCTTGAGTAAAACCTTGGGCAAAACCTTGATCTAAATCAAACATTAATTGATCTCCCTCCATTTCATCGTCTTCTTTGCCTGATAATGATGGTGCTTGCGTGGCAGCACCTGAGTGAATTCCAGAATCACCCATATATGAATTTTGTTGCCACATAAGGGTTTGTTCCTTTGCCGTTCCCATTGGTAAATCTCCTGGCCCTTGATAATTACCATGAGAAACTGAAATATTCATATATTAGTACAATAAAATTATGAAACGTTTTGATGAACAATTAATTATTATAGTATCTTTACCGGATCTCATTTGATTGGAACTCATAGCTCCAGGGGAAGCTTCGTTTTTCCACACCTGTAAAAAATTTAATAAGAAATATAGTAAATGATGTTTATTGTTCGAATTAAATAAAATAAATGCAATTACTAAAAGTAGAGTACTACATGACATTTACGTTGTCGAACGATTTTCATTGCCTATATTATGAAATACACAAGCAATGAATCCATTTTATTTTTTAAATGAGTAATTATAATTTTTGAAATTAGTGATTTATTTTACAGCATATAATAAAAAAAAAATCTGTAAATTTTTTATATACAAAACTTCAATATTATTGAATGAGACGGAAAGTGACGTTAGTATAAACTTATAAAACGTTATGCTAAAACACAGTAGTATTATAACAAAGGATTCTGAAATGCAATGTATCACCATATTCCGTCACAACCCCTGCGCTGGCGTCGAAGCTTATGGGGAAAAAATGCAGCACATAATCATAATAAAAAAGAAACAATAAGGAGAAAAGTTATATGCACTTGAAAATAATAGATGAGTACGTCAATGAAAAAAGAAAGAGATCTTTTAAAAAAAGTATAGAACTAGAAAGTATTTAAAATACTTTGACACACCCTAGGTAAACACTGTATTTAAAAAAAAAAATTATGATTCATAAAAAATATAATATTGTGAAATGCTTACCGTTGTTAACAAATTGGAAAATACACAAATTAATGGCTCGGATTTGACTTGTTTACCACTGATTCACCACACATTAACATACACTTTACTAATTATTTGCCAATATTCTTGTGGTGTACACGATGTCGATGGCGGTGATCAGTCAACTATAAGATGGCGATGAGTAAGATACGCGCAGGGACGCTTAAAGATAGTTTTTTAGAAAAAAAAGGTGTATGTGTATGTATATCACTTCCAATCTCGCAATGCATTGTGGAAGACGTGGAAGATATTTGCGCCATCTTTACGTGGTTTGGAGTAATATTAAATGTGGTGTGTTGACAGATGTATAGTTTCGTTGATTTTACCCAAAAATGTAATTTCTTTAGCTACAGCGGCTAAACAATGTACAATATGTGCTACTATTGTACATATATTGTATGTATAATACCAGATATAAGTGCTGTGTGATTTTCTATAGAAGGGTATAGGGAAATCGTGTGTATAACCTCCAAAAAATTCCACAGCGTTTTTGTCGGGTACTGTACGAAAATTAGTTCAGAAGACAACGACCATTCCCTCTGCAGGATAAATTCTGTACTTGTAAAAATCGAATTTAAATGTAATTATGACATAATAATACATAATCCTTGATGTAAAATAATTATAAACATTCCAATAACTCCATGTTAGCTACATGAAACTTTATAGCTTCTAAAAGCTCAAAGATAAAAAATTTTTAATAATCTAAGATGCACGGTTTAAATATCTTATAAATGAGTCATTTTAAATATTTTTTTATAACCAAAAAATTTAATAAAACTAACAATTTATTTCGATATATCCGTTTGTTTTGGTGCGTCCAATATTCCATAAAAATGAACTAATAAATGTTTTTCTATACATCTAAACTATTCTTTCAAACTTTCTTTCAAACAGATCTTTTCAGGAGATCAATAAAAATTTTATGCTTGTTGCAACAATAACATTAAAGTATAGTGGTATGTATCTAAACATTAGCCAAATTATAAGAAATACTTGCTAATGTTTGTTATTTGTATGCTACTAGTTTTTAATAACTATAATTTTGTTTCAGATTGTGGCAACTTTTTCAAACTTCCGGAACATTCTCTTAAGTTATGACATTTTAGCAATATATTCTTCAATTGATTATACTCGTATATAGATTTACGAGTTTACTTTGTTACCTCAGGCGAATGACTTTAAAAGTAGTCAAGTATTATAGTGGCAACCAATTACATGAGACCAACCTCAGGGTCTATAAAGAAGTCTCTGAGACTCTGCTAGCTGATTTCTTCAACAAAACTTGTCGCACATTGATGGCATATTATTTGAGTCACACTATGATTATTTCAGTGAGTTATTTCTTTTAATTACTTATTTTTAATTCATTTACAAATTGACATCATCTCATCATTGTTGTGAAAAATTTTCTATTGTTTTAGTGACAACTTTTTTTCTCTAATGAAGTGAATCTGTTTAGTGTCAGTAAAGATTCTCAGATGAAAGTGAAAGTGTTCCATGAATTAAAATTTTTTGCATAATTCATTTGACATGATATCAATAATCAAATTGTCTAACACAATTATTTATAACAGAAGGATTTTTTTTAAATGATATTCAGGAATTTTTTCCAGTTGATTAGTTGTGAGAAATAATTATCTTAAAATATTCACAGTATAAAAATAATCATCCTAGAATGTGAAGATGCACTCAAGGATGCATTTAGATAGTACATACGTACATATATACTTCTAAGCATCATTAAATTCTCTTGGTTACATCATCAATGCTTAACCTTTCGAATAACACTTTGTCTTCTTCAAGGTATTCCTCTTGGTTGCTGTCTCCTACAACTTTAACTTGGTTGTTGCTGAAGATAAACATCGATGGAATCGTGCTCTACAACAAAGACAGATTCAATATGAAACACCTGATGGTAAGAAAAAGATAAAACATTAAGAAAAATCGGATAAATTTAATTGTTTTCTATATATTTATTTTTTCATTAAAAAAAAACTTGACCTCAACTGCAATTTATTTTAATGACTGATTTTTTTTAAGGTTCAAAAGTCAATGGCAAATTTTACTCGCCCAACACTCAATGGTATTCTGAGCAAGAATCGAATCAACGACCTGCAAGACAGGAAGCGCAAAAAAAAATTTCTGTACCTGTAGCTCCTCCTCAACAGCCGGAAACAGAGCCATCATATCAATATAAACCTTTCTCTGCTGTTCCAGAGCACATCAAACAATTAATTTATCAAGTTTACACACCTCAAGTTCCTTACGTCAACCCTTATGCATTCTTTTATGACGTAAATCCTTCTCCAGTGTCTCAAGATATCTTGGAGCACTCGACCACCCCACAACCTTTTGTCGATCCAACACCCAAACAAGCTGCTCTTTCTTATCGTACGAATTACCCCTCAAGGAGTCACACAATTGCTGAAGTGAATAAAGCACCAAAACAAGGTGGAATTAAGTACAAAGAGGATTCAAGAAACTCTGGATATCATTTTGGTGATCGCAATCAACTGTATTCTCGTCAACAAGATCAAAGTAAAAGATCACTTGAAAAAGATATTGGCAGTCATGAACAAGTGTATCAAAGCTATCAGCAAAAAACACCCAATGAAATCCAACAACTTCTACATTTCCAATCACAAATTCCATACAATGTTCTAGCTAATCATATTGGCTTTCAATTTGAGAAACCTTTCGTACCAAAACCTCTGCCAGATGAGTTGTTGAAATCATCCAGCTATCCTACTAAAGTTTATTACATTAAACCTTCCGGAGAAATAGTTGATGCTGCTTCTGTTAGAGACGTACCTGGAAGAGATATTAAATACTCCAATGTTTAAATAAACATAACATCAAGTTCACGGTGATTATGCTGAGAAAGTGGAATGAATTACATGATAATGGATTCATGAGTTATATGTTGGTAAGGAAACTTGAGAATTACTCAAGCATTTCTGATATAAATGGAACTCAAGCATCAGTTGTTAACAGTAAAAAAAATTGAGGAAAAAATTCATCCATATTTTAAATTTCGAATAATTTTTTTATATGATTATTAATAAATTAATTACACTTTTAACCATAGAAATCTTTTTTTGTTCGAAAGAGAAATTATTTTAATAATAAAATTTTTGAAACAAAATAATTTTCAATTAATTAACTGTCAAGTTTGATTTTGTATTAAAAACTTATAACTGTACTTTATCTGGATTTAGTTCATAAGAAGACAGGGGAGTTATTTTATTGGATTTCACTTTACTTAACAAGATAGCTTTTCTCCGGATCAGGAAGACTGGACTATGAGCGATCCACTTTCGTGGCCTTCACGCTATACTGCCTTCATTCCATTAGATGTTCCTTTCGTTTCTGCATACTATTATTTATCCTGGTACACATACGTGTTTTTAGAACATTATTTTATAAATTAATTAGCTTGCGGAATTAGAATAAACAAAAAATTTTAATAAAAGCGGAAATAAGAAGAATAAGGAAATATTTTATTTGTAAAGATCTTGATAAAAAAGTTTTCTAAAAATTCAACCACTCTCTTCATATCAATTTTTATTGACTAGCAAATCATCACCAATACTTGAAAAACATGAATATATTTCATTAGAAATATTGAATTAACCTTAATAATTATGGTAGAAGGTCCAACAGAAGTGGTGATTGGAAGCAGTTCATTAGCCTCGAGATGAAAGCTAATTAAATAAATTAGTGTATTAATTTCTAAATTTATTATTGTAGAGAAATTAATTAAAAATATGTTTAAAAAACATTTACAACTAGTTTATAAGCCATTTTTGTACTTCCGTTTGAAATTCATCTCATTTAGCTAGACTTCGAGGAATTCAGAATAACGGCGACTTTAATTGGAAACTAACAAGTCAACTTGGTGCTAAATATTTCTTTCTCAATTGAAAAAATATTTGAATTATGTTACATAATGATCGTTAACCTATATCACTGTGGAAAATTTTATTCGGAGTAATGATCAGTAAAAATAAGCGATAGACTAGTTTGAGAAGTCAACGCAGAAAGCGTTGGACCATAGTCACTGATGGAAATGGAATGGAGGTGGGTTTCACGAGTCACATCCCCTCGCCTATAAAGTGGTTTCTAGAAGCGCGCGCCCGCCTCAGATACACTCCACCCTTGAACATGTCCGGGCATTGCCTCCTCGGTATGGCAAGATTGCAAGTAAGTTGAAAACAATTTATTTCCCTTTATTATATTTATTGTTCATACATTCATCATTTATTATATTTCTTACCATTTTCTTACTAACTGTCCTTTCTTTATCCTGCCTGATTGTCATTTCGCAACTAGCATGCCATTTGTTTAAAAAAACCGCTTTTTGTTGCTCGAGTGTAATTTTCATGTGATAATTAATTAAGACTCTTTGAAAGTTGAGTTATGTGTAAAAATTAGTAATGGGGATAAATTTTTTAATGATGTTATTTTTGGAGTAATAATTTTGGTTGTTGGTTGAATTAATCCATTTTTAAGTATCTGAATATGTCATTATGGGATCAATAACTTTTTGTAGATAACATGTATGAGGAAAGGCAAAGACACTTACTCTATATTTCACTTTCTATTCGCATGCTTACCAGAGCAATGACACTCCTATCGCTATCGATCTTGGTACTTGATCAATAGGATATATGTGTTCAATTACTTTTTTTTTGTTGCAAATTATATAAATTATTATTTTATTAACACAGCATTAAATATTATTTGTCAATAATAATTGAATACTTATTTTCCAATTAAAATTGATCAATTAATTTTTTTTTATTAAACAAAAGTCAAGTGAAAAGCTTATTCAAAAATGAGTCTGGGAATTCTTTTATTAAAATCAATCATTTTGTCATCTTCTATCTTTTTTTGTTTATAACGAATTGCTATTCCGATTAATATGCTTTAAAATGTAAAGATGTGATAAAATTACGAATTTTAGAAATCGACCCTGTCACAATAACTTCTCAATGAGAAGTTAACGAGTAAAAAATTTTTTTCTTTAGTATTGCCTACATTTCTTAGAGATTTATTCTAAGACAATGACAATATTTAATTAAAATGGTGTTTTGTAACAATCTAATGTTAAGTCAAAGGCCAAGACTCATCTGCATTGCTTCATTTACAAGTTACAATCCTAGTATATCTTAGATTTAAAAAAATATAAAATTATACTAACGTTTGTCTGCTTGTGAACACTAGCAACTTTCCCTTCAACTTGTTAATGCAGATATGGTAATTCTCCTGGGAAAACTCTACGGTTCATTGCCTCGACATGAGCTTGAGATTAATTTGCTTTACTTTATATAAATAAAAATAAATAATAAAATATGTACATTCATTAATACTTACAACTTTCTTTATTCTCTAACACATTTTATCTATTTTTACATACAAGTTTATTAAACTTTCAATAAAATGTTTCAGATATTATTATTAGTGGCAGTGCCACTGTGTGCAGCACAATTTAGAATTCAGGGTCCTAGTGATGGAAATCGACGAGCCCAAGGATTGCAGTATGATCGAGAGAAAGGAATTCAGTACGATGACCAGAGAGGTAAATAGCATAGAAAGAAGGGAAAGTATAGGAAAGAGAATTTTATCAGACTATTAATTTCGAATTTGACAGAGAAAAAATGAAAATAGAAAATGAACATTGATTTTTTAAATTAATAATTACTCTATTATTGAACTAGACAATGAATTTTTTTTTAATTCCTCTCCATTTATCCTCAGCTTCTTTGGGTACTGGTGATTTCACTATTCAAGGTGCCAGTGATGGGAATAGCAACTTTAAAATCCAAGGTGCAACTGATGGAAACTCTGATCTACAAATTTACGGTGCAACTGATGGAAGTGCTCAGTCTTACATTCGAGGTCCAACTGATGCCAATGCACAGTTTCAAATTCAAGGAGCTACAGATGGACATTCTAACTTCCAAATACAAGGTGCTACTGATGGTCATAGCCAGAGCTCTATTCAAGGTCCTTACGATGCCAATCAAGGAGGAGCTACTGCTTTACAATATAAAGATCCATCTGGTAAGAATAGGTTTGATGTTTGAAATATTTTATATGACGTTTATTTAATTCTTTGGTATCATTAATCAGGTTTAAATGTCAACTGGAAATCATATCAACATTCACAAAGAGCACAACCTCAAGCTCAACCTCAATATGTATCTGCTCCTGCTCCAAGTCCACGAAGAAGGACTAAACAAAAACAACAATACTTGCATACTGAAGCTCATATTCCTCAAGCAGCTCCAGTACAACAAGCTGTAGCACCAGCGAAAAATCCATATTACAAAGTGTATGATAAAGCTCCTCCTCAAATTGCGCAGTTGTTACAGTATCAGCAACAAATTCCTTACTTGAATATCATTCCTGAACAGTTTAGGTATGAGTCAGAAATGCAATTTATTTGTGTACCTCACGTGAATTAGTATAAGATAGTTAATTGTATATTTTAATTTTAGATACAACTTTGATAGTGCACTCAATGCACCTGTTGGTCAAGCACAACAACAGGTACAACATCAAGCACCAGCTGAACAAGCCTCAGAAGCTGCTGCTGCTGAACCTCCTCAACGACCTCAATATCGTGGACGAGCTCGCTTACATTCACGGCAAAAACGTCAAGCTCAACATCAACGACAAGCACAAAAAGTAACCCAGCCACCACCCGAACCACAACCACAATATCAACATAATGTTCCATCTCGTATTCAAGAGTTAATTAAATTTCAAGCACAAATTCCTTACATAAATCACATTCCAGAAAAATGGAGGTAGCTGTTATATATATTTCTTATTTTATTCTTCACTTTAAAAAATTTGTAAGAAGTATTTTTGTAATAATTTGTATATTTTTAGATATGAAGCTTTATTGGCTCAACAAGGTAGTGATTTAAAAGCTCAATATCAACGTCAACCAGAACCAGAACCTGTTAGACACAGTCAACGTGTACGACAGAGACGTGAAGCTCAGTCAGATCAAGTAGATCTTTCTAAATATCAAAGAATTTCTAAACCACCTGAAGATCCACAACCTCATTACAACACTAATCTTCCTGCTAATCTTCAACAATTGTTAAAATTCCAATCTCAAACTCCTTACACCAGTGTTATTCCAGAACAATTCAGGTACGTTTAATAATTTATTTTCCAATGTTCAAATCGAATATTTATTTTAATTTTTTTTTATTTAGTTATGAAAAACTGTTAGCTGCTCAACAACAGCAACAAGGTCACCGTCAAAAGCGACAAGCTCCTCAATACCAACAACAGCAGCAGCAGCAGCAACCAGATCTTTCTCAATATCAAAGAATATCTCAGCCACCAGCGGAAGCTACTCCTCAATATTCCACTAATCTACCAAGCTCCATTCAACAATTATTACAATTCCAATCTCAAGTTCCCTACGACATTATTGCAAACAGAATTACTGCTCGTTTAGATAAACCTTACGTTCCACAACCGATTTCATCACCACCTGCCAATCAATATCAATCGCAACCTCAACCACAGCAACTTGCACAACCTCAGCCACAATATCAACAACAGCAACCGTTGCAGAGTCCAGCTTTTCAACCTCAGTATCAACAACCACAACAACCATCAAATCCAGGCTATCAACAGTCTGAACTGATTCGTCCGCAGTTCCATCCGAATGAAATTCCTCAGTATCAATCACCACAATATAATCTACCACAATATAATTCACCTCAGAACAATATTCGACCTGTCACTGAAAACCAGTATTAAGTTCAATTATCATGCTATTATATATAATTTTGCAATCGTGATAACGTAATATATTAAGAGTTGTATCCATTTTTTTATTTTGTTGCAATAGATTTAAAATATTTTTCTAGAATAAATGTTGAAACTTTTGTAACTTTCAAAATATTATCTAGTGAATTCACTTAAGTGTTTGAAATAATTACTCTAAAGTCAATATTGATGTATAATACCTAATCAAACGGTGGTGAATATAAGTCTAAAAGTTAAATTTGATTCCATGAATAATTGCTTTGATATCAACAGTAAAGAAAGCACGACAGTTTATTAATATTTAATGATCGATGAGAAATAATTTGAATGATAAAAATAACAATAAAATACACTTTTGGACTTACATGAGACTTTAATTAGTAAATTACAGTTTCTGAAGAATGCCTACTACTATCGAACATCATGTATTATAGACGTAAAGACGACGCCGATGTTTCTGAGGAATTTCCATGGAAAGGAAAAGTTATGAAAGCATATACGCTTAAATGCACCCTTGAAGGTAAAATATCGAAGAATTGCATATCTAAACGCGAATTATGCATATATATTAGCATCAATGCGCGTGCAACGCACCTCTGAATGACAGGGTAAGGTATTTCCTACATGAAGGGAAATGGATAAAAGCCCAAGAGAGTGAGCTTATGTTTTTGCTATTGGAATCATATCACGCAAGTATTAATACAAGGGGAAAAAGAAGACATATAGAGACAAAAAGAAGCAAACGACAGCAAAGGAGGCGTATTCAACAACTTATTGTATTTGAATATTTTATAGAGGGTTAAAGTCTATGTTTTAACACATGCGCAAGCTTTTCAACCCCCAAATGCACTTTTTCTTCTTTACGCCTTCATTTCTTGCATATAATAAATTTATTCTTTTTTATTTAGCCCGTGGAGTCTCGATAAAAATTATAAAACTAACCGCGTATGTAAAATTTCAATGTAATTATTGGCTTGAAGATAAATAGTTTATGAGAATTATTAGTAACACTTATAATCAAATATCAATTGTTATAATTACCAGACGTTGGTCGTTTTTTATTCTAAACTTTCTTCTTGAACTCACGAAAAATGTCCTGTCTGTAGACCTAAATCCTAAAATTATATCCCCATGTCACATGCGGTTTTGCTCTTCTTATTTTTGGTATCACTGCAAGTAACGTATTTTATAACCTTTTTGTCGAAAAGTCTAGACAACGTTTAAAACTATAGAAAAATTACCTTTGCTTCGTATGGATAGTTGATCTAAATTGCTGATACAATAAATCATTTAAAATATAAATATTATTCTTGTGAAGAGTGTTGAAAATAATTAGAACTGAGTTTTTTTTATAGGAAGATAAATTGCTAAAATTTATCTCAAGATACCTAACCTAATAACAAAGATAAGTCTGAAAAGGTAGATTTAATTCCATTCTAAAAAACTTGTTTTGATCTCAACAATGAAGTAAACACGGCAGTTTATTACTATTTAATCATCGATGAAGAATGACTTGAGTACTCCAAAGTCGATGTTTTTATTTCCAACGTTAATTTGATGTCTACACCAAGTCAATAGACTTGATTGTCACCAATATTGACAGTTATACATCTAATCCCTATCTTATGTGAATTAGCAGCCATGTGGCATTTAAATTAATAATGATGATACATTTAAAAAAATGTTAAAAGTCCATGAGAAAATAACGGCAGATGGTGAAAGATAATTTTTAAAGTGAGAGCGAGTCAAATCACTATTTAACAGGTTGCAGTGGGTGGATAAAAAGCGTCATTTGGTCAGCAATCAGTGCTAATAACTACCACCAATTGCAATAATAAAACAATGACGTTATTAGAGGGTGTATGGAGATAGTAGCAGAAGAAGCGACGAGGGGTTTGATGTCAGACACGCCGATTCATCCACCCCTAGTATATAGCCGTTTTACGATGAGCTTGAACAGATGACGGTCAACACGCGCGACCCCCCTCGAACTTGATGCATCGTGACTGCACGATTCTTGCAGTATATATGAACACATGACGGAAAATTCCCATGCTCCAACGGAGATAATCAGCACACCTGATTATCCATGAAGTGAATTATAATTACATTAATCATGCTATCGTTAAAAAAATTCTCATAGAATTTAGCAATTCATTTTATTCAGGTGAAAATGGTTTTAATAAATTTTTTATCTTATTGGAGTTGTTATTTCATTTTTTTATAATAACACTTGGGGGATTAAAATCAATAAATTTATCAAATCTATCATTTTTACCGTTACAATAAGTGATTAAATAAAAAATAAAATGTTAGCCAAATTACTTCCATGTTTTAACAATATAAAAAATGACATCCAATTATTTTATTCATAATGATTTAGTATAACGTTTGTTGCAGTTGGAATGAACAAACTGGTTCATGTGACAATGTGATAGTATAAAGGAAAGCTTGGAATAGAAATATCCTTCAAAATAGTAAGAGGTCGTAGATATATGAAATATCTACGTAAGCATTTTTACGTTTTTTTTGCAATGTAATTGTCTAATAAATGTGTTTTTTTTTATATACAAATATATTAATTACACGAGTTAATTTTATTTATTCATGTGCATGACTGTGACAGATATGTCAGTATATTATACTCACTTAGTAACAGGAAATACGATAATGAACACTCTTATAAAACAGGCGTGTAGTTACGTGAATACAAGTTGCATATCTAGTAGTAGGATCTTATATCTATCTATTTTAGCACCTCAGAAATGAGAGTTCAATAACTTTGAAAACATGTCTGGGGCATATTAATTTCAAAAAGACTAGTTTTTTAAATTGATTCATGTATTAAAAGGTAACTGATTAATTATATCACCCTAGTAGACTAGATTGTTCAATTACAGATCAAATAAAACGTTCACTAACATTAATATATTTTCACAACTTTTTTTTTTTATAAATTATTTAATCTTGACCTAGTTTAAGGTGATCAATCAAAATTTTTACAAGCCTATGGCAATAATTTATATAAGAATTATATTGTGGTGTAGTTGTTTTGAAAATTCTGCTGATAAAATTGAAGTTTTAAAACTATTGATGGCATAAATAAAGAATTTTTTTAATCTGGACACCCTCGATCACTTCCTGATACCTATATGAACTGCCTAATGGGCGCCAAGTAAGGTTGTAAGTTATTGCGTGAGCAGTGGAGATATGTAGTAGTGTTTAAAAATTGGTGACCAACGAAGCATAAAAGCTGGTGGTGGCCACAGCCACCCTGGGTAACAGCAGCCCATATAGAAGTGCGTCGCCAAGTCGTTGTCAGTCTGTATTGATTCTGCTTCCAAATCTACATTATCTAAGAGCAGATTAGCATATTCTTGACTCACACTTCTGCAATTATGAAGTCTCTCGTGAGTTTTTTAATCAAATTATTCCATCTTTCTATCACTTTTTATATTTCTTATTTAATATATTTTTTTATTTATTATAGATCTTTTTAACTTTGATGATTCTGCTGGGTTTGACTCACGGAGTTGAACATTGGAATGGTAAGTTTTTGATAAAGTTTTTATCTAATCAATCAACATCAAGTTACTGAAACAGAAGATTTTTTATTATTATTTTTTTGTTTGGTATTCTTCAGTTCGTGAACGTAGAGCAGCTCAACAACAAAATTATCAACAGCCTCAACAAAACTACAGACCTTATTCTCAAGCTCCAGCTAACATCAAGCAATTGTTACAACTCCAACAAGCTCGTGAACCTTTAGTTCATCTTCCACCACAACCACCACCAAATCTAGGACCAGCTAATCCAGCTCAACCTGTCCAAGTGTCTCAAGGACAAGCTGGTGGATACCAACCTCAAGTTCAATTTGGTCAAGCTCCACAGCAACCTAATTACAAAAATCAAGCTGCTGCTTTTGCAGCTCAATACAGACCACAAAATCAGCAACAACAACAACAATATCAGGGATAAGTAAATAGAGATTCATTTGAATATTAAATTAAATTCAATGATTGAATTAATTGTTTTTACTTCTATCACTTAGAAGATTAACTTCTGTTTCTTATTTTGCCAATTATTATTCATAGTTACAAGTTTTCTCACTAATCTACTCATGTTCATCTTTTCATTTTATTTTCTGTGATTGTATTGCATATGTCATTACTGTAAAGCTTTTCATAACAAATAAAAATTCACAAAATATAAAAATAATTATTTGAAGTTTTTTTTTATAATATTGTTAGATGTATTTACAGATTATATCAGTGAAATAGAAACCAAGCACAATTATCGTTTCGTTTCACTGACCCAATGAATCTATCATGTTTCCTGGGTCGTTTCTCTTGCACTATTGCTTTCACTCGAACTTGTTCTAGCGGAAGGAGAAAAATAGAGTAATTCTGTTTAGTGTAGTATCTCGTAAACCAGCAGCATGTTCCGTCCTAATTATAGGTCTGATGGACATCCACGCAACTCTGTTGCTGGTTACCATCATCATTTTCATAGTCATAAAATAAAAAATATTCTTTATACTGTATCCAATCTTATTGTCGATATATAAAAAATAATTGACTTCAAAAAACTTCTTTTAATAAATAAACTTAAATGACTTTTGATGATTTTAAATAATTATTTTCATTATAAAAGAGGTTATAAAATTTTTGTCATTAACTTTTGATGAATTTCCAATAATATCTTTCTGATATTCAATCTTATGATTTGTCTTCAGGTAAATAATTGGTGTACAAACTATAAAAAAGTCTATGGGTGAGGGTGCCTGACTCGTCACTTGAGAAATCAAGGTATCATCGCACTAGTGGTTGCACACAAGGGGCGTATCTTGAATACATGATGCGCTTTGACGTCTCTCTTTCTCTTTCTTTCACTATTATTCGTTAGGTTCGCCTTTCTGCTTAGCATCCCCCCATCATCCTTTCAGCGCAACGATTACGCGTCGACAGACTTGGTGCGTGCGGCAAATTCATCCCTCCATTTATGACACGCAGTCACCCCTGCAGCCCTACATTGACACACATATTCAGTGATTTTGTACCTCGTCGAATCCCTACTATAGATAGGTACACAAGATGCCCTCACCGACAAACAGGCAAGAGGATTAGCAAGTCCATTAAAGTCGCGGACTCTATTATCTAGAGGGCACAACCATAGTGACATTAACTGTCTACCATTGGCGCAGGCATTTTTTGCTTTCAATTTACAAAGACGTTTGATATGTACAATATTCTAATACCTTTCACTACATTTTTCAATTTTTTTCAATAATTTAAATTGGAATAGAATATAATGTTTTCTTAAAGTTCATTCATGATTATTATTATCTATTTGAAAATGTTATAACCTCAACACTCTATTCGCTAATAATAATTATCAATTTCATCACCGATTAATTTATTGGAAAGAAGTTATATAATAAAATCAATTTATCTACATACTTATTAACAGAACGTGGTAATAATCCATTAATTTACATTAAACTTAACATCATTTAGCATTTGCTATTTAAAAGAACATTAAAAATACATTTCAGCATTGAATTCATCGATAAATTATTAGTTAAACCTCACTATTTGTCCAATTATTTAAAAACATTAAAAAATTATTAATCTGCATCAATTTAAAGCTGTTTTATTTTTACTTCTATGGTATATAACCTATTAAAGCTATTAAGCTGAGTGTCTAGTAAAATCAATATTGTCTGTCAATCCTGAAGTGATAAAAAATAATAGACTGCTTTTTTTTCAAGATAAATGTCTGAAGTACCCCATAGGACTCCGCGCCATTGGCCAGGGGGGTCATGGAAGCAAATTACAAAGGAAGGATTACCGGCAGCTGGGCTACCAGGCAACCATCTCTTCTGCTCTCGTTGTCGTTCTCGCGAGAGCAAAATATCCAAGCTCTCGCTTCAAGAGTTCTTTGTCCTCCGATGCATTGGTAACATAATTATCGGAGTTATAACAAGCCAGACCCTGATCACGTCTAAAAGGATTAGATGCTAGATCGTTCGTGATGAGCGAATGACAAGCAGTTTAACATCAATTTCTGGCTTCCAGAATATTGAAAAAATTATTTCTAACAAAGAACAACAAATCTGTAGTAAGTATATTTTATCTGATTATAAAAATTATCATTAGGTAGTTTAATTAGTGAAAGCATCTAGGGGTTCTAGGTTTGACTCAAGATCTCAGGAATCATACATTTGTTTTTTTTTTTTATCAAATAAATTTCTACAAGTTGTGGACAATTACCTTATTACTCTAATCAGTTTGTACTGGATTCAATTACAATCTGGTTCTTGAAGTAATTATTATGTAACCAGCCTATCTGATTGCTCTTTAATATTATATTTCATTATTAGATTAGTGGTAAATACCTAATGTTACGTTGGTCTAGTTTGATATAATTTTTTCACTATTATTTGACATTAATCATGAACACCATTAATCTAAAAGGTATCCAATCTCATTTTAAAACAAGATTAATTTTTTCCGAATGAGTAAAAAATATTATTTTTCTACCTTAAAATTGGAACTGGTTGAATTTATTGATAAAAATAATAATGTTCAGTTTTGGTTAATTAATCATGATCTTACAGACTCTTTAATTGATGCTAAAATTGAAAAAAAATAAGGGCAATTAAGAAAAATTAATTAAGAAGTTTTTGATATTAGTTAAATAAAAAAAAATGTAATTAAAATATTTTTTCCTCATTCCAGTTATAAAAATAATCGTCACAGTCAACATTTCTATTTGGAGCAGATAAAAAGTTGGTGGAAAGTAGCGTGTGAATCATGTTGCGGTTTACAGCACAATTTCAATAATTACGCTTAATCCAGAGGGTTGTTGTACACGCGTCTGGCCAGTAGTGAATGACATCCCTTTAACCCTCTCCTACATTCGACTCTCAACTTTCCCGTTCTTTATATCTCATGTCTCATTATACCTCAAACACTTGAACACTGTACGTTCGAATTACATTAACACCAACCCACCGTTCAGGATTTGTTTCATCACCAGCTAGAAGACGAGTGGCAAAAACTCAATATTTATCTAAACCTACCTCTTCTATCTAAATCAGTATCAGACTCTGAAGAGATTGAAAACCAATAGACAATTTAAATTGAATAAAAAGTAGAAAGGGTGAGATATGAGTTTATGGTTCATGATCGACACAAATTGTTGTTATAAAAAAGTCAAGAAAAATAATCGGTAAGATAAAAAAAAAACACCCACGAGTGTTTTGAGCAACGGTCCTGAATCTAGGGGAGATGATCCCTGATTTCTTAGAGCGTATTTCGATCTATTGTAGAGAGAAGCTAGACCGGAAAAATTCAGCATGGCTGACATTGGCTGATGGCCAATCAGGATTCTCTTGATGACAGCTGTACATCCCTCAGGACTTAAAATCTCCCCTACTTCTATATACTGAGGCCCTAAGAAAGCTATACTAGTCCCTAACTTTATGATTTTTGCCTTCATGAAGTCAGCCATTATAAAAAAGACCCGGTTTTTTATGAATAACATACAGCTTCTTTGACTTTAATTTGCAGTATTTTTAAAACAAGTTTTTACCCTTTGGCTTTAAATACTTTTATTTTTTATCTTCATTAATGAATAAAAAGAATCCTCTTCAAGCTATTAATATTCAAAATCTATTCAAACATACCTAATTGTTGGTTTTTTGCCATAGGGTGGCTTTTAGAGTTGGTATTTTTGTGGTTCTCATTACCTAAAATATTAAAATGTAATGTTATACAGCAAGAATATACTTATTATAAAATAATTTTTACTACTTACATAACGAAATTAATCTCAACTAAAAAGTGTTGTTTTAATTATTAAACAATTCTATTTGTGTAAAATATTTTGAGATGTTTATTAGGTTATGCACTCAAGAAAATAATAAATAATAAATTTTAACCAACAGTGTTATTGTTCATCAATTTCAGCTGTTTATTTAACGATTAACACATTACATTAGCACAATTCCAGCTCGTGCCAATAGAATGTTGATAATCTATAAGAAAAACAAGATTAAAGGCGTCATGGTTTCTGGGAAGAAATCACTAATGACTAGATCAGTAGATCTATAGTTGGAAAAGAATATATTTGCCTAAATAGACAAGCTCAGACCAGAGAAGTACTTGATGCTTCTTTTCAACAGCGGGAGGTTAATCTCTAGAAGACTTGAATTAAAACAATTAAAGTCAGCATTATCGTAACACAGATTAGTAGAGTACTACTTGTTCAGAGATACCTTTAGAAAAGCTACTTATTGCCCATGAAAACAGATCCAAGTTTGCAAATTAAAGAAAACACGCCTAGTCTGAGAAGTACCATTAGTTCTCTACCTCCAGATTTTTCTAGAAAGTAAAAGCAGTTAATCTGTAAAAATCACAACCCTCAAAGTCGGAATGATCGACCCCTTTGATCGAGTTTTTCTTCAGCATTAGAAGAAAAGATGAAGGTAAGGTACTCACCTTTATGGTGAAGAAAATGCTTGACAGGTTCAGATGACAGATGAGGTCTGTCTACTTATAGTTATTCCTGTAATATGCTAAGTATCTCAGTGGATATATAATCCGATGCTGATAGATCTCTAGCGATCAACAACATCGTTAGTCTAGTTGCGGTGGTAGCTGACCAGTTAACTACTGTGGTTGATGAAACAATAAGGCTTAAGATCACTTTTGTCGACTCACTTAGATCATTTTGATCAGTTGAAAAAATATTCAACTATTTGCTCTTCTATTAACTAGCAGCTTCTGTTGATGGCAATTAAACTAAAACGACCAATTTATTTTGAAAATTATTCCACCATGTAAAGCAGAAACTGGTTGAACACATTCTTCATGTTCGTCAATACCTTATAGGACAACGGGTGTGCCCACTCGATAATTTATTCGGACAATATATAAAACGTAATGTCTTTTTTTCATCAGCTCCCTCAGGGAGGCAGCATCAATGTCATGACAGCGATGAGCCCCTCAATGACAGCAACCAACATAATCTGTTCCCATCAACCTAGACATAATGGATGCATCAACGGGAGCCAACAATGGGAGCATTTTGCCAGAGTGCGGCTGGAACTCGAAAAGCCCCGCGTTTTACTTCAGGGAGCCATTTCGGGGTGGTGTATATAAGGATCATGAAAACAAGATAGTAGATATATATTTAAAAAGTATGTATGTATATACGTATACATATAATGTTTATGTATTATTCACTCGCCCACCTCAGCCGTGAATTTGGATTTGCTTTATTAAATTCCTGACACGAGCCACGTCGCACGTGCAAATATTTCGCGGAGGGTCCCTACTATTTCACTGCTTGGGGATGACTTAAGAAACCTGGTGATTCGTTCTCAACTGTAAAAAAGCAAAAAAAAAAACAATTTCATTACTTTCATTTACTCACTGGAATTTATTGTTAAGATTTTGCAGTTACTAAATTCTTACTGCATAACTCTATTATATTACACGTCATATTATTTTTAGAATACATAAATAATATCATTAATTAAATTTTTTTTTTTATAAAATTAAATCATTTCAAAAATTTATTAACCCCAAGTGTCATTTTTAATTTTACTTTGAACATTTCAATTTAACCTAAATTCTTCTAACCTAAAATTTTTTCTACATTTTATGAGGAGTTTACATATCATAGTAAGAATAGAATCGATAAAAAAATGTTTTTTAATAAAGTTTTTAATTTAATTTTATCATATACTATTCAGTTGTGAATAAAAGATTAAGAGTTTTTTAAAAATGACACAACAATAACGAGAAGTTTTAATGTTTAAATAGAAACTTAATCAATTGGAAGATTTGATATCGACACTCGAATTGATCGCAGATGATTGAACAATAACCAAGCAACTTTAATGTCCATCTAGTAGCTGGTATAACCAGCGACCACCCCACACGTTTACTAATTGACTACAATACATTAGTTCAGAGTCCGGGTTCATACACATGGAGCACACTTTTTTCTGTTTTGTTACCTCAAAACAAAGACGACAATACGCCGATTCTCAAGTGGCAAGTTTGAACGCGCATGTATTGGAACTGTGGCTGTGTATACCAAGGGAATTGGGCGACGAATCGATGTAACATAGTCGAGGGTTCTTCATTGCATCCCTAGGTGCAATTACGTCGAAGCATCTATTGTAACCATGGCATCGATAATGTTTTGTTACTGTTACTCTCGGGTATTTCTTTGAATTTTCGTCTACCTCGCCCCTCTAGCGACCTCTTCAGCTCCCGCGCCTTACCCTTGCCCACTCGCGATCACCCCTCTAGTTATTGCAACAACGTGGAGGCAAGGTGTAACATCACCCGGTGGGAACCACTTGTCGTATGGACGCATGCATGTACACTTATGAGCCCCGCATTTCTCTTTATTTCAACTGACGGAATTTCTTACATCACCAGCGGTCCTGATGCCACAATGGCTTTGGGCGAGAGCAACAGAAGTAACAAATAGGGTATGGACTAGTGAGAGAAGTGATGAGGATTATTATTCATTCGTCCGGAAACGCTACAGTATTATTGTTAGTTCAAGTATCATACTAGCACTTTGAGATGAAGCTCAGCTTTCGTCCAACATAAATCGCCAACATACGGCTGCTGTTTCTCAAGTGTTTCATTAAATCGAGACATTTAATTGCTTCGAAATAATCGTCGCTGTGATTTTATGCATGGAGATCATTTCTATGGGAGGAATGGTTCAGCTAATCAACTGTCCAGTTTCTCAGGAAAGAAAGTCTGAATAATTCCAGCTGAATCTGGATATCCAACACCAGTAAATGTTTCTCGAAATGTTTAATTGATCATCATTGATTGTAAGTAATTAAAAAAAACTTGATAATTATTTTTACATTATTAATTGATAAAAATATATTTTTCTAGGTTAGAACTGATTGATAGAATAAATAAAATAAAATTAATGGAGTGGCGATGACATGGAATAGAAAAGATGTCATGTAGAGGTGGTAATATCCTGATGTAGATTCTTATACATTGACATTTCTGATGGGCGGACTGTTTACGAGAGCAATTTGTCAGTATATAATACATCGAATGGCAAATCCCTAGGGTGGTACAGCCACAGTGACCATAAGAATCCACAGGCGGTCGCTTCTTAGTTGGACTTTGAATCCAAAAATATGGAGATACTCTATGAAATCGATATTATAAAAGCACAAGAGTTTATCTAATTTTTTTCACAACAAGTATTAATTCCAGCAATCAATGGATGTGCCAACATCTCATTAAAAGGAATAAAAATATTATTTGATTGATAGTTAATTGAAAGGTTGGTATTATTTTGTCTATACAATTTTAAATAAAATAATTTTTTATTCATTGGCAATTGAAGATAACGAGTATTTGCCGTAAACACGTTACGTGACGATTAAGGGGATACCACGGGGTGCCGTGTTGTATATGAGTGGCGCAACATTTCAAAAGCCAGTCATGCGGACAATAAGAGTCACTTAAACCATTAGAATGATCGCTGTTCTTTCTCCATCCCGCATCATTCGCTAAGAACATTCATTCTGCTCAAGAATTCGTGAGAATATTTTCTAAACGGTCTAAGCAAAGAGCTTACAACCCCTAAGCACTTCTTTCTCTTTCGATTATTAAAAAAATAAATAAATAAAAATACCTGAACAACAGTATTCTCCACGGTAATTATAAAAAATAGAAATATATTCCAATAATGCATCTTTTTTCTTTGATTTCAGAGTAATTGTTATCATGGATATAAAAGCAAGATTTGGTCTACTTATATTTTTTTTAGAAATAAATTCCAAGAAGAGTTTTCAACGCAGATATTGATAGATAATGTATAAAGATTTATTTCTTTTTATTAAGATATTCACAATATTGACTAGAGATCATCACTAGAAAAAATAAAATTGATTTTTCAAGAAGCGTGACAAATGTTGACAAAAACCCTAGCAAACCCAGCAGCTTTGGATCAATCTCTTCTTTGTTACTTGTATTTTGCTCTGTCGGTCTCTTCCGCTTTCATGACAATGTTCTGAAGTAAAGCACAGCCCCAGACGAAACGAATCTTTCTTCGTCGGAACCTTATGTAGGCCGAAGAGGCGATTATTTACCTGTATCTTCAGTGATTACACGTTGCTGGACTATAAGAGTAAAGAATGGTTGTAAATGAAGACAGTGTGCTGACAAGCTAGTTCGACTGCGGGATAGCCTTTGTAGTGCGATTAGCGGTCAAATCACCGTGAAATGCTCGTGAAACTCATGGCATTGTCATGAGTGAGTTGCAGGTAAAATTTTTACATTTCTCTTAAGTTTTTTTCGACTTTTTTTCTCAAATCACAGTCAAAATAATATTTGAAAACAGGACAAAGATTTCTTGAAATAGATAATAAACATTTTAAAGTATAGAAGTTAAAGAATAAGACAAAATTAATTGTTTCAATAATTATCATTATATTTATTATTAATATATTTAACATTTTATTTACAGGTTTATAGAGCATGCGATTAATCAAATCGCCAAATAAAGTTTCATGTAAGAAAACAAAAGTTTCATTTCTGTACAATGATCTTAAGCTGATTTATACATATCACATATGATTCTTTCAATAGGAATGATTCCAATAGTCCTTCTGAAGAACAATTCTTCAATGGCATGTGTTGAAACGGATCGCAGAGTTGGTAAAAGTAACAAAAGCTTACCAAATCTTAAAGCGCCAAATGATGCACCGCTGAGTCTTTGACCAAGTGCCAGTTGGGCGCCATCTCGAAGTCTTGCAACAGAAGCAGGATCTCTGAGCCGACTTCCGGTGCTTGGTGATGTTGAGCCATTACTACTTCGACTGCTAGGCACACCTTCACTGTCTAATCCAGCCTTGAAGAGGACGATTGCACGTATACAAGCAAACTCATGTGGATCCAAGTTCATAGAATGGAAACCTGTAAGTGTCTCCCGAAATCTGGTGACCTCCACAGCTAACGGTAAACTTTGTGGTCCAGGCGGTAATAGTGGTGAAGGATCAAGTGTCGGCAACATCTGAGCAGCCGCGAGAAGGAAGAGTTCTCGCCAGGAGGCCTCCAGCAACGTCAGTTGATCCTCCATAGCAAGACCCGTGCCGGCTGCCAAATCTCGCGCCCAACGAACATTCAAAAAGAGTAGTCGTGCCGCCTGTTCACACATTGACTCAATGTTGATTGTCGGCAGAATGGGAATTGTCGGCAATCCTGCTAGTGTCAGAGGAACCTGGAATTGAAGTTTTAGAAGTTGAATATTTAATTTTTTTCTTTAGAATCAAAATGGTGCATCATTTTTTTCCTTTACATCAAGGGAATGTTTAGAATAAAAGCACCAGTATTATAATTAAAATTTCATACTGGAATAATATCAGAACTAAATAATTTCTATTGAATGACAACTTGATGTATACCAGTTAATCACGACTTTCAAATGCTATGCTAAATCAACTAGGAAAGCTTTCAAGATTGAACAATTATTGATCACCAACTGAAGAAGTTAAAATAATTTACCTTGGCCATTGTCATGCTGTTGCAGTAAATTGGATGAGGTATGGCATGATGAGGCGCAGGAGCTGCAATAGATACTCTAGTTTCCGATGGCGGTTTTGGTAAAGCCAAGTCCAAGGCAGCACTTGGTGACGATACAATATTGCTCATGATTTCGGGCTCTTTAAAATACAAAGCCATTTGTCTTCGAAGTGTTGAATTTCTTGGACCTCTTTCATGCTGTACAGCTGTAATTAGAACAAATGTTTTTCAACATTAATTAATTTATTCAATCATTGATTATTTTATTCAATTGATCAAAATACTGATAAAAATGAACTGTTACTTACCATCTTTGTTCATGCCAGCCCGAATACATTTAGCTAGTCGACAAGCTCTGCACTGATTCCGATGAGTTTTATCAACCATACAACCACCTTCAGACTTAGCTTTGCAAACATACTGTCGATTTCGCCTGATTGATCTTTTGAAGAATCCTGCGCATCCATCACAGGCGAATATACCATAATGCTTTCCTGAAGAATGATCTCTGCAGACTTTGCAAGGTATGTCATACAAAATGCGACCTAGAACAGAAAGAAGTCAATTTTTTAAAAATCTTTTTAGAATTAAATCATGGTGAAAGTGCAATTTATTGATTTTTTGCTCTTTTATTCATTATACACCTTGTCCACCTTACAGTGTAGGTAAAAAGAAGGGGTGGAGGACTAGAAAAGAAAGAAAAAGTAGTTCTATTTGTCTCAAAAGCACATACTGCCGTCATCACTACTTAAATGGGCGTTTAAATAGGAATAAAGAGCCCAAGAATTGATTGGGAGATCGCGATACGATGGAGTGTCGTGTTTCTTGTTGCTCACTTAACTATTGAATACGCCAGCAGCCACATCCGGTCCATTCAGTGCTATTCAACAGTTCTTTTTCCAACATCTACACTACTACCACAATGAATAGTATATGAAGGCGGAGCCCTCGCGAAATGACAGAGAAATATTCTATTATTAATAAAAGAAAAGAGTGAAACCATCAACCTCGTGTACATCGTTTATTTATATATATACACTTCTTGCACCTCTTGTGCATTTTGGAACACACTCCGACAGGTATGCTGAGTTATATACTAACTTGACGACAAATCAATTCAATCGAACCTTGATGCATTCATCCAGATATTTGTGTTTTCCCTCGTAAACGGGTTCACACCCAAAATACTCGTCAAATTTTAACGGCTTTTCGAGGTTTTGTGACAATGATGACGTGACGTCCGTCACCTTTATCCAGTTCTTTAGATGTCTGACTAAAGGAAAATATTTTCTTTCTACTAAAATTGAAAATGTATGTCATGGAAATGATTGTAGTCAACATCCTCGTCATCTTATTGATACTTTGACTCTCCCACAGGCGTTCAACTTGTGAGAACAACTATTAAAATATAATACCAACCACTTCAGGATTAGGTGGAGAGAAAGAATGGATGTAAATTTGATGAAATGAATCATTGATGACCATTCTGCTATATGATGCTGAAATATAAATGTATGAAATGCTCATGTGGATTCTTGAAAGAGTCTTGAAGTTGAGTAACATAAAACACGTTTATAAATAACTGAATAACAAATATCAGTGGTCAACAGAAAGGGTATGTTCTAACTTCCTGGTGATGGACTTGATGGCAAGAGTTAGAGTTAAGGTGGTCAATCCATAGACAATATCAAGCAGAAACCCTTTTTCTATTATTAGAATGAATATTCTCTGTTCTTTAGAGAAAAGTTATTCTGTCAAAAAGTATTTGTTTATCTTGGAAATTTGGAAATCTAAATATGATTATCTCTTGCTCTCATGCTATTTTTGTTTGTTGATATTAGTCTTAACTAGAACGTTAATCAAGTCAGTTGTCTAATCCACTGACTTTTGTAATATTTCCTGATTTAGTTAGTCATCAATAAATTGAATATAACATCTCACTTTTGACACCAATGTTATAAAAGTCAGCTCGTTAGACAACTGATTTGGTTAGCATTTAGACCAAGACTGATATAAACAAACAAAAAGAGTTGACAGAAAGAGAGAGATAGTTTTATATTATCTGTCGAAAGTCAAATCCTTAAATCACAATTACATTTATTATGCTGCAGACAAAGTTTATAGAAAATATTTTATTGGAACTAAAATATTGTTTTTATTTTACAGGTCAACTCTTTCCTACAAAATAATGAAAAATGATGTTACTTTGTCATCCAATTAACTTGATGGAATAAGAAAAAATTGTACAGTGAAATTTTTAATCAACATTTGATCAACAATTATTGTTTCTGAAGAATTTCCATAGGAGAGAAAAGTTATGAAAACATATACACTTAAAAGCACTTGTGGAGCAAAAATATCGAAGAATTGCATATCTAAACGCGAATAAAGCTGTTATATATCAGCATCAATGTGCGTGCGACGTACCTCTGAATGACAGGGTGAAATACTTTCTACATGAAGGGAAATGGATGAATAAATAAATAATTTTGGTAAAAAATGAACAGAAACTTACTTGAAGAGGGCTGCATTTTTGGCTGTGAAACTGGCATATGGCTAATTGTTGTCTCTGGAGTTGCGATTGAGTTCATATCTTTTATAATACATATAGTTCAATGTGCACAAACTTCACTTAAAAAATAACACCGAGATATAAGCACTTTTTTATCAATGATTACACATCACGAAAATAGGAATAAACAATTGAAATATTAAATTATTTAAGCTCCTGGCACGTGTTAATTGTAAGCACAACTCTTGTTAATTTGTTCCTTCTGCGAAACGTTGACACTGTCAAGTGTGTAAGCACAACCTATTCCGTCGCTAACTCTTCAATGAATTGTGACTGACAGTCATCCTAGTCAAGACTTTTTGATGGACTTAGTTGGATGCCGTTTCGAGGAAAGCTTGAATTCTTATTGGTTGGTGACTACCCTACCCGTGGACTAAAGGGCGGCACTTCTAGACAGTCAGGCCTCCCTCCATTTACAAAATACGAGGGGTTGATCGGAGCTTGACAATCATCACATGGCATCTTCTTACTTCAATGTTACATTTATGCTATTGGCATCCTCTTTTCTCCTAACCCCATTTATGTGTCAGAGGGGCCCATGAATTGACCCCTTCATTGTTTAAAGTCTTTACTGATTGTCTGACAATGTCATCAACTTTACTAGTAGTTAACTCTATACTTCCTTCTTTTTTATTATTTTATATTAAATCAAAGGTAGATGATGAATAAATATTGAATGATAGATAATTAATTTATTTTGTTTTATAATTGACTTGTAGTCATTTGAGATTTTTTAAAAACAACTAAAGAAAGTTTTAATATTATTTATAAGGATCAAATTATTTAATAAAGTTCATTTGATAGGTTTAATTTTATAATAATTATTTTTGGAGTTGATTAAGATCCTTAGCAGCTCCATTGTGCTATTCTTTTTCCATTGAATTAATTTCATTAATCACTGAACGAGAAGTATATTAGAACTCCTAGAAGAAAGTATTAAAAAATAAATAAATATTAATATTTTAATTGTTAATTCACAATTATTTTATACATAACAAATTAATTCTAGAGTTCAAGTTTTGGAGTCACTGATCAATAAACTTTAAAATTTTTAAATGCTTTTAAAAAATCAAAGCTAAGAATTTTGCATTGGAGTCATTCTTTTTTTTTATATTAAATATATTTCTTTATTTTAAATGTTTAAATAAAATCATTCTATCAAATATATTTAATTAGTACCACTTTGTTAAAATAATTTTTTAATGTAACCTAGAAATAAATTTATAATATATTTATAATTAATTAACCTGTGTTATTTCCACGAATTCAAAAAACAAAAGTACAAAATAAAACAGAAGATATGATTTTAATAAATTAGAGGTAACACGAACATCTCTTCTGCTACTGATTGACCATCATATTTGCCACCCTACAATGTGCGTTGCCGCCCTTCAAGTACGCAACACACGAGGGGTTAAGCTGTGCGCCACCCTTTTCATTGCGGCGATATAGACAGACAAAAAAGAAGTCACCGTCACGCACCCCTCTATTACACAGCCTGCTCTTTCCTCTTCTTTTTATATACCCTACTGAATCCGTCACCACCGAGACTCTATCATTCGCATACGTTATAACAGATTTTTTTAATGAATTGCTCTCGTACACTAAAAAGATTAAATTGTTGACATCTTTTTCAAGGTGATCCTTCATTAATACTATCCCTATATCACTTTTAAAAACCCTCATAATTTATTATTCCCTAATCCAGGTCTTTTTTTGCTGCTCAATAACTGCTTGAGATCATAAAAAACGTATGATAATGAACTTCAATATTTCATTTAACTGAAATCAGTCAAAGGATCCTCTAATATAAAATTTTAACAGTTAATAAATCTTCTTGACCTCAATTTAACCAATACAATCTATATCTTATTGTGTCTTATATGGCCTTCTTAATTTAAAATGACATAATATTGGAATGAGGTTAAGTTTTCATAACCAAAGTTTTATTATTATAAAATATTTCTTAACAATTAAAAAACATTGTAAATAACAATTATGTGAATGAAGTTGAATTTTTTGCTCACATGCTTCAAACACAAATATTAAGTTCTATTATTTTTTTTATCACTGTTGAACAGAAGAAATTCGGTTATCTATCAAATCACTTATTGACTGCATTTCAATAATTCACCCTTTTACTGCTTGTAAATGATGAGGGGATCATCTTATCCATCGTTGAGGGATCAAGCATCAGATATAATTCAAGATGGAGTCATAGAGTCAGAGAGAAGGAGAAAAAAATTAAGTGAACCATATAATATATTGTATTATCTACATAGAAAGAGAGTGTGTACATCTGCAGGAATATTTTTCTGTTCTTTGTGTTTTGCTTTCGACGCATACTCCTTTTGAAAATAGACCATCAGCTAACATAATCACATCCATGCTATGCAGTATATTAATGTAAGTACATACACATACATATTTTGATGTTCCCTGATCTCATTTAGAAATTTACCTGCTTTCTAGATCAAGTAATTCAGTGCTCAACATGCTAAGTATTATATTCCTAATATGTACCTACTGATCTCTGTATCTTCATCATGTTGACTTGCTGAAGAAAATTCGACCGTTTTCATTAAAGGAATTATTCAGGTGAAATGAAATTGGTGGTTTGGAATTTTTTTCAAAATTACACTTTTTACTGAATAGTTTTATTCAGTTGGATGATTTGTTAATTGGATAGAAAAATTGAGGCTTCCCTCAATAAATTAAATACTTTGGTAATTGTTGATTCAATTTTTTGACTGGATTCTAGTAAATATTTATTCATTTTTCCATCTTTATCTTGAATGATAATAATAACATCACTATCAAAGAATCTAGTATCTTTTCTACAAATCTCAATTGATGTAACAAAAAATAAAACTGAAAAGGAGAATCTAAACAGAAAAAGTTGTAGATGTTGGATGATGTTTGATGAAAAGAATAAAAATCTATCTACTTCTTTCAATAATAGAGATATTTCTGTGGCTTGGCACTTATATGAGTCTTGGGTGGCAACCATTCTTTCTCATGCATCTTCGGTAACTCAACTTATTTGTGATTGACGAAAGAAATGAGTAGAAAGAATAGGTAGGACAAAGAAAGAAATAACAGACCCTATAGAAAAATTTGATCCTTGGTTTGGCGTATGCTCGTCCAACCATACGTCGTTTTGGCTTTAGCGCAATATGTCGGCAAGATTATCCACGTAACTATCCACCGAAAATCTCTGACACAAAAGCATATAGACTTGCTTCAATATCCCCATGAGCCGAGCAGTCAGCTTGCAGCTTTCAAGATTTCAGACCTTCTGCCAAATACGAGACTCGAGTCGCTTTGTCAAGAAGGCAAACTGTGGCTAAACGGCTGGTAATAGGGACAGAATCAAAATACGATTGTCTGCAGGGGTATACAACTAAAGAAGACCTATTCTACTTTTGATAATAGCAGATTGGATGAAAGCTGCTAAAATGTTACAATGGAGTCAATGTTGTTTTAGGCTGATGTGTCGCGTGTATTTTTTGTCATTTTGTCGTTGACTTAATCGTTGCTGGATCATCCTTATTGACATTTTTCGACTCAATTATTTTTACTGTAAACCATCAACAACTTCCATAGGACCATCTTCCTTTTTTTCTCTTCTTTCCCAAGCCAGAATTAATATCAATTAGTTTACAGTGTAAATAAACTGATGTTTTTCAAGAGAGTGTTAAATTTTCCTTTTCACCATGTAATAATATACTCCTAATGCATTTAACTGGTATTATATCGACAATCCTGACAAATTTTCGTGGAAAATTGTTCATAAGAATCAAAGTTTTTTTTACATAATATACACATGCAGATTATATCTAAAGAATTATTTGAATAAATATAAAAAAAAATTGAATAGAATTTTTTTAGTGGAAAAAATAAAATTCTCTGAAATTTAAGTCAGTTTTCTATTTTATTTTATTTTTTTTAATTCTACTTTCTTTGTCAACTGGTCTGCTTACGTTAATCCAAGTGACAGCATTTCTAAAATACATTTAGCTTTTTAATGATTTACGGCTCATTACTAAGCAATTTTTTCCATCAGTTATCAAGGTCTAAAGTCAAAAGTGACATTTCTGTTGTCAAGAAGCATTTCCTCTTTCCTTTTAATTTTTCTAGAGCATTTCAAAAAACCAGACTCTGAAGAAAAGATTATAGATCTAAGCACATACCCTTGTTCATCAGAATCCGATTTTTTTTTTCACAGAAATAGTCTTTAGAAAATTACTTAAATTTTTCAATTGTCTAGAAGTTCTCCAGTGCCATCATGGAAAATTCAGAAAATAATATAATAAATAAATTAATTGTTTGTCGACTCCAGTGTTGTTAAGATGTTTTAGCACATTGCTATTCATCTGAATCCAACATGATGATAATTTAGCACCAACTATTATGTAAGGTACCAGGTCAACGGGTGGTCTGGTAAATGAGAAGAGAGAATATTTCGGTATTTTGATCTGTACTCAAACATCCTCCTGGACCGGAAGGAATCATTGAATCCAGTATCAAGCCTGTCTGCGTCTACCACTGAGTCGACGCCAACATAATAGAAAAAAGTCTAAAAAAGAAGTAGGAAGTGAGGCTCGTGCTTAGCGTCGAAAAATTTTAATCCAAACTGCAGAATCCCTTCAGGTATATATCCAGGAGTTTTTTATGTCGCCGCTATCTCTCGCAGCATCTTACTTTCTTAAAGCAAAATAATAAGAGTGGACTAGCGATGAATCGAACGAAGCCTGTCCAATAGTTGGCTGGTAATCCCAAGTCGGCTATTCAACTGTTTGCGCCTTGTTTTACTGGTATATTGCATTTAATGAGGTTCCCCTCAATAAGACCCGTCTTTGGTGACGAGATGCTCTCTGGCCTCTCTAATCTCATCCGGTGTACCAAGCGGCATCTCCACAGGACCTAAAAGGTGTCTTTTCTTCGTAGTTCAAGTCGATGGTCATTTACTTATTTTTTCTAACCAAGAGCTAAACAGCTAAATGGTAATAAGAAAGTTTTCCATACCAGATTTTATGGACCTATTGTCCTACCATTTTTTTCGACGATCGTTAGATATATATTTATTTTTAATGATGGCAAAGTGTTAAATCTTGCTAAATAAGACGTGCTTTTTCTTCTTTTGTCTATTAGACTTGCAAATACTCTTATGCATCCTGTGAATTAGTCCAATTATAAGCTGAATTTTAAGATGGATCCATGAATAATATATGCTCATAATTTTGGTTCAGGAATCATCCTTGGAAATTGGTTCAATGCTGATCAAAAAAATGCTAATTATCATTTCAACTCTACATTGATTGACAAATCATTTAATTTCACTTTATAATTATTATATTTACAATTTTTTCTGGATGTCTAGATAATTTTTATCAGTCTGAATTTATTGAATCAATCTAAATGTTTATATTAAAATAGATGAATTATTTAAAAAAAACCAAGGCTTGAGTTAAAATGTTTCTATCCAGCATAATAATAAGGTCTAGATCAACCTCAAATAAAGATGTAAAATCCTCTTGCATTAGAGCTCACGCGTCTTTTATTCTCTTTGGAACTTTAGCACAAGAAGTTGAGGAGAAATGGGGGACAAGCTTTCTCCCCTTCTGTTGTTACCAATCGAAAGGAAAGATCTTGCAAAATTAGGTTGACATTTTTGTTAGGAAGCGCCTGCATTGGAATCATTGGAGCGTGGAGACGACAAGTCGAAATAATCCTGTAGCTATCATACGGTTGAATAGTTCAACACTATAGGATCCTGCGCCTCGCAAAGCCTCGGAATTGAAAATAAGGCCCAATGCATGTCTTCAGCCTCCACAGGGACCCTTCGACAGTCTCGCGTAATGGAGGATAAGCTGTGCCAAAGGACTCTGACTCCAACTTATTTCAATAATATTTTATTCCTTCCGCTCTTCCATCTTACCAATGACATTTGGAAATTCTTTCACCTGTATTCTAACTTTTGAATTTATCACTTTATCTTTCATTCACTCCTTTTCTTCAGATCATTCTTTAAATCACTATAATAATAAATTTTTATTCTTTAAAAAAATAATAATCTTGAATTGAAAGAAATAAAAAGCTTTCCATTACCATCATCATCATCATAAGCACTTCGTAAAATTAAATTCTAAAACATCTTCAGTGGATAATAAAATTTTTTAAACAAAGATTGTTCTTCAGATGAATCAATAAATTGATGCAATTGATCTAGATTAACTTTAGAGCAAAAATTCAGAGCATGAGAACCAAGAAAATTACTTTGTCCATTCTGATGTGATACACCAACCTGTTGCTGTATTAAAAAAAAAGTAATCGATATATTTTACAATGCGGGGGTGCTGTGGGAATTTTGGAGCATATGGCCAGGATACAGATCACACTCATCATCAGGATTCTCGCTCCACTACATTAGCGAGTATATTATTGTATTTTTAATATTTCTGTGTGCACAGGTATAAGGGTTTGCTTCGTGTAGGTATTACGATCTCGTTAAAAGGGGAAAAAGTGAATTACAGAAGTAGTAGCCTGATTCCACCATATGTGAAATTTATAAACTCATGAGAACTCCATTCATTCCTCGTTTAAACGTAATTTAACATGGGAAGTCTGCTAGCTGCACAATTCATTTTTTTTCAATTGATTTATCATCAACAAAATGACACACAGAAATTAATTTTTATTGCCAGCAGTAGTAGAGCTTTTTATTAGTTCATTCTCTAATTATTTAGAATCTGTAAAAAAAAAAATTTATTATTATTATTGATTTAACCTTCAGTAATATAAAAATACTAAACAATTATTGGTGTTGAGAAAATCAAAATAAAAAAATTAGTTTTGTTGAAATTGATATCAGATTTTGAATTAATTATTTCCTTCAATGACTGGTTTAACTAGCAAAGCTACTTTGTGTAACATTGTAGAATCAAATATGACTAACAATTGATATAATTGAATACAAACTAACGTTTTCGACGAATATAATAGATGTGCTGTGCCACGCCATGATTACAGTTGACTCAAACCACTTGTTTCAGAGTTAGTATTCTTCACTGGCTTGATAGTTTTGATACCATTTACCCTTCGAGTGAATGCTTTTTCAGCATGATTTGAAGTCACGATAGATAACGTGACTATGCATGCACCCCTACAAATGTTAGAATTAAGCACTGTGTATTATTAAACATCATGTAGAGTATAAATAATTGATCAACTAGACATCATCCGTGGTGATTTCACACGAGAATTAAAGTGCATGTGTTGATGATATTTGTCACATTAACTAGTCACTTCATGCAATCAATTTTAGAAATTCGTGAATTACTTTGAAATAGTTTTCGATGTTGGAATAAAAATATTTTTAAACTGATTCACGGAAGAGGATCCTAACCTCTTTTAGCTAGATGATTTTTTGATTCTGCATCAAGTATGATACAATCACAGTTCCTTTTACATATTTATATTTTTTTAGGATTGAAAATAACGTCAGAAGTGATGGCATTGAAGTCGAATTTTCACTTCTCCAGAAGTGGTGACAGTTGAAGAATAAAATGTAAATATCCAGTTTAACCTCCTTGAAAAAACCAAGATTCTTTTCTTATGAGTTTCTTTCTTGCGTTGCGACTGACAAAAATTGTAACGGCAACCGGTTAATGTCCGTTAGTCGGCCGGAAGTTTACTGTTATGAAAATGAGAATATACGAATTAATATAAGAGTCGGTTAAATGGTGTGCATATTTAAATCTTATCCTTAAAAGTAAAAGTATAACCAGTCGAAGTAACGAACTTTTTTTAGCTAAGTGGGCGTGCACGCGTCATGTGAGTGACGAGTGGCTGCACTGGCTCGTAGATCAGAAATCAGAGCTGTTCCTCAAGGAATTTCTATAGGACGCTAAAGTAAATCTCTTCTCCAAGAAGAGAGTACCTTGCAAGACATCCATCCTGGGCGGTAACATCCGGCCTCTGGTTACGCATTCACCTATCTTCAATCCTGAGTATCAAGACTGAGTATATATTGAAAAAAAGAGCTGCCTATCATGGGAATTTCTTCCACTAGTCTCTACTCTCATCATCACAAAAAAAATTTGTATTCAATGAAGATATTTTTTCAATCAAATACTCAACTCAATATACTATTTTTTTACGTCAATTGATCAACTCTATGCCTGGGTTATTATAATTTAGTGAAGGTAGGATTTGAAAAATATGCTCACTAGTGAGGACTACCCTTTCGACAACAAAACTTGACTGAAAAAAATTTATCGTTGTTGGAGCAATACCTTGTCCCTTAGATTATTTATTTCATTAAATAGCTGTAGATATCATCTAGATAATTGATTGATGATTTCTAAAATAGTTATCTTAATAATTAATTGTATTTTAATCAAATAAATAATATTCTAATTTCATGATCAAAGATGAGGTTATGAACGTGTGATGTCGCGATGTAGATAGCTATTATAACAATAACAATACTTACAAGATAATTCTTACAACTATAAATTTTTTTTTGTGATTGATTTGATCAATAAAAAACTTGATCTCAAGAGCAAACGGGCTTTAGTTCGAATTTCTTCAGAAAATATTCGTTTATATTTTTTTAAGAAAATAAAAAATATTTTTCTACTAAAGTCATATTTTTTGCCAGTAGATAAAGCCGTATTTGATCAGACAATAGTTAAAAATAATTTTATTTTAAAATATTTAGATAAAATTTAATAAAAAATAATTTGATGCTCAGAACTTTGTATCATCTATTACTTCAAAAAAATTCTAGTAATTTCAAATGATACTAAGTCATGATCCTCCATATTTTTTTATTAAAATTTATCTTAATAATAAAAGTTTAAATGGAGAATAAATACTTAGCTGTTTATTCTTACTGGGAATGTATTAAAAATTTTCAAACTACCCCAAGTGTTCTCAGAACTCTAGAGTAACAAAGAAAGTTCATCCCTCAATCAAAGACCGATTAAAAAAAATGAATAAATAATGTTAAAAGTTAGAGCGTAGTAAAATGGCGACAAGTCATGACATCATCCATAGCCAAAGACTATACGATGTTGGCTTCCCTCGGCTTCTCCATCTCAGAGATTGCTCTCACCCGCACCAGCCACCGTGATTCGTGAATGGTTGGCTCCCTGTAAAAGTACAACAGCCAGTGACGTAACTCGAGCTCACCGTCATTGCTGACAGTGCTGTCAGTCGATCTTTTGTACCGTATCCTCTGCCTCACCCACTCGTCCCAGTGTTCAGCGAAAGCCCGCAGTGTTCCCATTTTTGCCTCCTCCACATCTCGAATTACTAAACTCCAATATAAGTACGTTCTTTCTCTGTTTAACATAACTCTCACCCCCTCTTCTTTCACTTGCGTCTTCACCGGACGATTCGCCTTTTGACGAAGTGCTTCTTTAGTTTGAAACGCACGTTATTCAATACCTTTTACAACAAAGAGCTTCCGGAAGCATACCAGATTTAAGGGCAGGTACCACTCTCTTTTCTCTCTTGTCCTTCGCCTCCTACACGACTTAGCAGAGAGTTGAAAAATTTGTCTAGTTTTTTTCCTCTCAACTCAACTTTTATCTTGAGGGTGAGAACAGAGACAAAAATGGCTGAGTAAAGAGTAAATACGATTAATGGAATTTTAGTCATAAGGTTAATTTTGGGGTTAAGTAAGAAGATCATGCCCCCCTTTGGAATCAAAATCAAGATATTTATTCAATAAACTATGGTTTAATTGATTTAATTTAATTCAATTCAATTTAATTGATTTAATTTAATTCAATTCAATTAATATAAATAACAAAACTTTTGCATAGACAGAAGTAAGTTGCTAAAGATTTTCATAGCCTGGTAAAACTAACCTTAAAAATAAAAACAACAATTGGAGTTTGTGCTTCAAAAATAGCAATGAACAGGTTAGCTACTCTTGATAATTTATAGCATGCCATAAAGTTAAAAGCGTTTATGGAATGACAATAAAAAAAATAATAACACATCATTTGCTTCCCATACAGGAGTTGCCACAATTCATAACAGGCCTAATAAATATAAATAAGGTTAAAGAATCAGAAATAATGTTGATGGATTGCTGAAGACAGAGAATTTTTTAGTTAGAATCAAGAAGAAAAAATGTTTCTACCTCATTGATGACGGTATGAAGGTTAGAGAAATTACTTCCATGTGTCTGTAAGTAATCAGTCATCAAAAAATTTTGAGGAATAAAAGGCTAAAAACTCCTATATCAGTTTTATTGTTTTTGTAAACAAAGTCTACAATAGTAAATATTTCAATTTTAGATCTATTTGAACAATTTAGTACAGCAATATTACTTCCTTTGACAAATAATATTTATCGTTATAAGTAAGAAGGAAACAGACAAAAATACTTTTTCAGTCAAGTCGAGCCAAGTTTCCATCATTTTCAATGTTTACATATAGGATAATCATCTTCTCTCAAAGCAAAAAAAAATGTTGAGAGGATTCCATAACGTCAGAGGCTAATAAAGTTCATTGAAATAAGCTTTATTTTCTATTGTAACATTGGTCAAGGAGAAAAATTATTTTGGTGTTAGAAAACTACCTTAGTGGATGCAATAAACAAGATCCTCTCTAGCCTTTCAAATTTGAATATTTCAGTTTTAGACTACATAGAAAAAGTGTTTTGTTACACGTAGCTTAGGTGGGTAAAAGATTGAGAAAATTTAAATAAAATATATCATTCCAACCTAGCCATTAGTAAATTTGACCTACAACTCATCGCTGTCTGGCTCTAGGTTTTCCCTAAACCATAAATTTTTTAAGCACGCGGTGATTCTGGTAGCGTTACTTCTGGCTTCTAAATTCTGTCAGCCTTTGACTTCTAAATAATTTATTTGGAATTGACTGTCACTTACCATTTAACTGCATTTAACTACTAAATAAAAAATTCAGTTATAAATATTATGACCACTTTCTTCAAGTGTAGTAAATCGGATCCAGCTACTTGATAAGTTGCTCCCAACTTCCAGTCTTCAATCATTTAGGAAAAAATGTTATCAACCGAATACAATAATAAATGTAAGTATAAGAAAATATAAAATTAAAAAGAAAAAAATTGATTGCAAAAATTCTTTAGTTTTCTATTTAGAAATGATTGAACTCTTGGAATGTCTAAATATATTTGCACTAAACCTGAAAGCATAAAAAAATTCACAGTGAAAAAGTGATCTATTTAATGCATGAAAAATGTTGATTGCAGCTATTTATTTTAAAAATAGTTCACGGCTTAACTTTTAAAAAGTCTCTAGTTAAAAGAAAATTTATTGCCTGCTATAATTTATTGCAATATTAACAAGCTACTTATCTAGGATCAACACTGTCAATGTTTAATATAAAGCATTTTTTAACCAATTGAAAAATGTGCAGTTTCAAGTTTAAAACAATTTGTTTGCATTTTCTAAAATGAATTTTTAACTGCACTTGTCTGACTCAGGAGTTTAAAATAAGTGTAAGCCTCAAGATCAAGATAACCAGCAGAACTGCCGCAAGATAATGGTTCTTAAGTAGATGAGAGAATATTATCAATGCACCAGGTATATTTTACCTATTTTGAACCGCGTCAAAAGTCGTAAACACCGGCGCCGAAAAAATACAAAAAACATTGTAAAATTGACAAATAAAAGAGATTATTTTCTGATTCTTGGTCTCTGAGAAAACTCTAGCTAATTCTTGGAAATTCCACTTTCTGCAGTTTACAACTAGAAACTACTTAAAAACTTATAGCTGTTGTAAATGGATATTATTAGTCCAGTTCTGAAAGAATAAAGTTAACGAAGTATTCATAGATGTGATTCATTTCTTTATGCTTCCTGACGTCAAAAAAGTCCCAGTCTCAACTTTTTGAAAAAAAAAACAGTATTTTTACTCGCACCATAAATTAGTTATTAAATAGTTGAATCCAATAAAACTATTATTTTATTTTTTTGGTTCTTTAAATAAAAATCACTAATGAATAATATAAATAATTATTTAACAATAAATTATTCTGAAAGATCTTCTAAAAAAATTCTAATTATCATTTCTCAAATTAATGTGATACAAGTCAATTATTTTATTCATGAATTTTTTTCCATCAAAAAAGTTCACTTGAATATATATTCCTGATGATTAAAATGTCTTCCTACATCATCAATTACAAATCACTTATATTTTTTTTTCTGGCATTAGTCCATATACATTTGTTTCACTCCACCTTTATCCTGAAAACCTCCTGCAGCGAATTCCATTAGCGTATTCATCATCTTCAGCACCTAATACAAAAGAGTGATGATTGTTTAGCACATCATGCATAAAAGAACAAAAAAAAATATTTAAAATATGAATAAAAAAATTTTTTTTTCTTTACAGAATTATTTTTATGTGATGTGAAGTAAATCTGATGCAGTTCCTATGGTAAAATCATCCATAAATTTGTTTTTATCACTGATAAAGTATGATCCAAGCCTTGGTGATGATCAAGAATCTCATTACAACTCTAAAAGCAAGTCCACTAATTTTAAATAAATAAAAATTAAGTTGTCGATGACTTGTAGAGAATATAATAACCGTAATAAGTTGATACATGCAAGTACATACAGGGATAAAAAAGATACAGGCGTTGATATGATGATCTGAGGGTGAACACATAGATGTAAGAGGGTTGTTCATTTGCCACGCCCCCTTAAAACACCCCCGCATGCGTGTTTGTCATGATGTACCATCTTTCTTCAACACACGTGAATTTATTGTAGACCAAGTTGACACAAAAATGACATCTACTTTTACTCAGTGTATCACTGGTGCAGTCTGTACACGTGACTATGGAATATCTCATGGGAACTCGACGAAGTGGTGTCGTCAGATGGCCATCATTAGTCAATGAGGGGCGATCCGAGATATGTCAGATGGATACATTCATACCTGTGTCACACGATGCTAAATTTGTCCGAGATAATGATCTCTTTTCAATGGCTTCATCTTCAAAGCGTGATTCATATTTTTCCTATTCCTAAAAAATTAAAAAACTATTGATCGATAAGCTTGTAATACAGATGTTTGCTGTCAATATTGACTCTCATTTGTTCGACATGGTCTCATACTTAATATTTACCTTGTTTTTATCAGTTAAAAGCTATTAATAGTTGCTTTAAAATAAAATTTAAAAAAATCTATTAGAGAAAATATTAAATTATTTCTTGTAAATGGATCCTTTTGATCTAGTTTTGATGTTTTTCAGCATGACATTTCATTCGAATTTTTTCATTTCTAAAAAGTAGAACATGTCTCTTTACAACTGAATGAATTTAAGTAGCAGAACAAAAGAAATAATTTTATTTTTACCACTAAAACAATGTAAATAAAATTTTTTAAATTCATTTTAGAATATATTATTGAAGAATTACATTTTCTTATTAAATTTAGTCATTAGAGAAAATTTTATTTAGTAAAAAATGTAATGTAAATATTGATAATTGCCCTAGAATTGAAAGATAAAAAAATAGAGAGATGTCGAGGGTCGAAAATAATAGCTGTTACTGATGATATTCAGTCTTATCCAGGTGCTCAAGTGTGCCTTTACTTGTAAAGAATATATTTTAGCACATTGGCTGTGGTACTCGTGCTTTCTAAACCCTCTGCATAAACTTCAGATTCAGGGAGGTCGTCTTTTTTAAGCACTTGTAAAACAAAATACTTTTGTGCTCAAGTCTATTAACCCGCATCATTTAGTCCACGTTAATTCTCTTTTGAAATGATCAAAGAAAAATGTCAATTCGCCATGAAAAAAATATTTGTTCTATACAATCTATAAGTACACACATATGTCAATAAAAATTATTAGAAATATTTAAATTTCTTACTTTTAATTGAAATAAAAAAAATCTAATTGTCTTGCTTGTGTCATTAATATTCTGAAAAACAGCAGGAGCTTATGATTAATTTGTCATTTTGTTGGTCTCAGTTATTTATATGTCAGAGACGAGAGTACAATTATCATGACAGATCACTTAAAAAAGTACTTTACATGATGAAGTGATAGAATATTTGTTACAATCACACCAATATATCCTTGATAAAAAACCAGGATGTCTCTGAGATTAATTGATAAAACATCCTTCATCATTTTTTACGTCCCATTGTCCAGCATTTGACAATTTTTTCCCTGTAAAAAATAAATTTCCTTGAATAAATTTCGATATTTCGGAAAACTAATCCAGTAGATTGGTGGATAATATTTAAGCTGAGTATTTTTTTGTTCATTATGAAATACTTATTTAAAAAGTAAAATCAAAAGATCGATGCGACTACAAGGGATGTAGATAATAAGAAGCGATGACATTTCTAGATCGTTTTGTTGTTGGATATAAAAATAGTAAAAAAAAAAAAGAATGAAGAAAGAGAAAAAACAGAAGGGATGAATAGAAGATGGATGTTTTGAATGGACTAGGATTGAGTATTTTATCGAAGATCTCCATTGGCTGAATGCCTCTGGAAATATTTTTTTTTGTTCTGAAGGCGTTCTCTCGCGGGTTGGAAATATGTCAGAAGGTACAGTACTTGAGAAACGCGAAGTAGGCAAAGAATAAGAAGTAAATGATGGAATACTTCTCAAGGGGTTATACCAGGCATGTATACGGATATAACACAGGTGGACTTTTTCTTCAATGTTTCGTACCTTTAACACACCACTAATTTATCCTCATTATCCTGTTCGAGACTTAAGATATTCAAGGATAATTTTTTTTCTCCAATATTTACTGTACTGCCATTGTGTTTGAAAGCACACTCCCAGCCAGTTATAACCCGACTAAAAGATTCCAAACATCAACCATATCACTTGATCGCAGATTAGATTGGAATGTTGGTGAGCACTTGACTAATGTTTGTCCTCAGTTCGGACATGGATGTGAATATTTTCTTGAATCCTTAAAATAAATATTTACCAAGACATTTTAAAATGTTGGCGTCTCTATTTAATTGCATTCCCACGGATTATACATAACCTGTAAAATATTTCAATTGTTATTGCAAAGTGTTATGCCCCTACTTAAAGAAATAAAAGGTTAAATTTAAAAAGTAGTAGTAAAATTTAAAATTATCCTCACCATAAATTTGTGTTGATAGAAAGTATTTTTATTTTTTTATCTAAAAAGCATTGAACACAATTGATTGAAAGGAGTGCAAAAAAATACAAGCAGTTATCTTCGTAAAGAGAGAGTTAATCGTTCAGTCCCATGTATGGATGTGAAGTCACGTGTAGGCCTTCCGGGGGTGGTGCGTGTGGAGCAAGTTTACTTTTTACTCATCTAGGATCTGTCTGTTCCGGGGTTGCGCGCCCTTTTACTTTAGCCACTTCTAAGTACTCTATTGTCTGATTCGATTATCGCGACTGTCATTCCGCGGAGTGTAGGGATTAGTATTTCAATTATTTGCACAATGAGAGTGTCAAAAGGGAGTATGTGAATTGAAAGCTTGGGTAATATCGAGTACAGTCACGTGGCAATGTTTACTCAAGTTCCATAAGCTTTTGGATCTTGTACTGACAGCACGAGATTGAATTTAAAATTCTCACTACAGTTGACAAATCGAAGTTTATCTTGCACTCTTTTGCACAGTCGGTAACATCTACGGTTGGCAACAATGAAATTCTTTATGATGTTCTTTTTTATCAATAGTCGATAACATGCCATTATTAGTTCACATTTGTGACACTGCTTTAATTTGAAGTTTGAAATAAACAAGACTGCATCCGTGTGCATTAGTCAATTTAAATAAACAATTCTAGAAGAAAAGAATAAGACATGGAGCATATTTTAATGAATTAAAAAAAAATTTTTGGAGTTAAATATTTTTACAAATGAACAGCACGCAATATTGGAAACCTTGAGAAAAATTATAGGTTATATCTCGATGAATTCTATGTCTGCAGGTATTATTATGTTTATCGTTATTATTTTTGTTGTAAGACGTTGCCTGGGAAGCGAAGTTAAATTGCAGGTGTGAGAAGTTGAGAAAGCCCATCTTATTTTATGGGCGGTGCGATGTCAACGAAAGCAATCCAGGAAACTAGTGCCAAATTAAAAAACTCAGTTACATCTATAAAAATATAATTGCAACTTCAAGATGATATTCCATCTTTTTTTATTAAATATAAATCGATAATTATAAATTTTATTTCTGCATTTGATGCAAAAAATAACAAGCTTGTTATCAGCGTGAAATTAATAATGAAAAAATTTTCAGGTTGGCATACTTTTAATCTCTTATTTAACAAAAAAAACAAACTTATCTTTATCTCGTTAGTTTAATGAAGCACATTGTGTCGAGAGTGATAATAAGGCTTGGGTGGAGTAGCAGGTATTATAATTCACATACAGAGCAAAAAGCATGACTAAAGAAGAGCACCAAACGGAATCGCAGGACCAAGGACGTTCAGTGCCCTCGCAGTCCAAAAATACTTGTGCATACCTAACGGATGCTTCGTGTTCTCCCACTCCATCCTCACCTTGTCTCGCATGGCGCCATACATATTTTAAGGATACAAATGTATCCTTTATCTCACTCTAACCGAGCATCGCCCACTACATCATTGATCACAACCCGTGACAGTTTTGGCTGTCAGCCTTCGGGCTGAGATGTTGAAAATTTTGTCTGCATGTTCGACTTCTGAAGTAATCATTATTTTTTATACTTTTTTTTTTTGGTAAAGTAGGAAGTGAGAATATTTTATGTAACCGCAATGCATAATTTATTAAGGCGAATATTATTCATGTCAAAAACTATCTCGAAAAAACTTGTTTACATCATGTATGGTCTTTTGAAGAAGCAATTTCGTTTGTGTAGGTATTAATCATTATTAGTTTAGTCAATTATAACTCTTATTAAATATTTATTATTAAAAGATATTTATCATTTATCATATAAATAATTTTATAGGTTAGGTCTTGATTTGTTAATGTGAATTTTCAAAAAAGACATCAGGCTTTTTTTGTTTTTAATTAAAAGAATAAACAAACCCAGAAACTCACGGTTAATTAAACAATTGTAATACAATTATTTTTTCAAGTCAACGAAAATGTTGCACAAGGGTTGTTTATGTGTTTTACAATTTTACACACTTTACCAAACAAGCAAGATACATGGTTAACGAGTTTCTTTATCACAGTTACATAACAGCAATACTCGTTCATTCTCCAACAGCCACACAATATGATTCTCCTTTTCTTCCTCTGTATTCTAAAGCTCCTTCCCTTTATTAGGTTCCAGAGAGACTTGTGCAACAGTGGGTAATTCGAGAGCAAGAAACGCAATCGAAAGAACAAAATATACTCCAAATGAACAGGTAAAGTGAACATGTGTTTGAAATGTAAAAAAAAATTAAAAACGCCTTAGAAGTAATTTAATCATAGTTAAAAGTTGATAAAAAATTGCAGAGTGTTCAGTTGAGATGATAATTAATTACAAACTTCCAAAATATTGGCTTGGAGGAAGGCAATAATTATACACCAAGTCGAGTATGGGTTAAGCAAATAGATGGTCCTGGTAAAATTGCTGAGGTCGATGAAGCTAGAACTGGCCCTCGTAAATACACCTGGGGCTGAAGAATAATTGATCGGTGAGTATTCGGTGAAGCTAAACGAATTATTTAGTAACGTTTTATCGACCCTGTGGGACATGAGCCTGCTGCAGTACTATTAACTATCACCGAGCATTGCTCTCGGGTATTACCATATATTCCAACTGCTGGAAAGGATATAACTGCTTGCGCCATGAAGAATAAATTCATTTGATGGCTTATTCTTATGACTTTGTCGATTTTATGAGAATGCATTCACATTTAGAATATTGAATGGTTGTGACAAGTTATGCGTGCAGAAGAACCAAGGCTTGATATAAAAATAATGAAATATTTCAGTCAGCTTTGAGGTCTACGTGATTTTTTTTCTTGCAGTCAATGCTTTTCTTATTTAAATTTTTTTTTAGAATTTTTGACAGATCATTTTAAGATTTCAGTCAACTTGTTTCATTTTATTTTTTGCGAATTGTTAGCATCAGAAGAATTATTAACTGGTTCATCAACTTGTTTCATCTAAATTGCTTTTGAGAAATTAAATTAAACCATTATTAGAATGCTAATATTAATCTTAAAATTAATATTGATGACTTTTGCTGACTTTAAAGTGCCTATTCAGTTTAATTTTATTGAAAATGGTTGAGAATAAGGTATAATCTTTAAACGATACACCTCCTTGGAGGAGAGACGCCTTCCTGAGAAGATATAATCACATAAGCTGCTGACCATTATCCGTTGTAAAAGTGTAGGCCTCTTACTTCAGAAGTTAATAATTTCTATTGAGAAAAGACTGCAGAAAAATAAATGATATATTAATCTCTGTAACGAATATGTTGATATTCAAGATATAGATTTGATTTGAAATGGATTTCAAGCAGATTTGAATCAAGCAAAAATTATTAATCGAGAAAAAAATAAAATTGAAACATTCAATTTCATAGGAGCATGTGCAACTTTTATTGACAATTATAAAGAATAAGGTATATTCTTAGCCAGATGCACCTCTTTCAAAGCAGATATTCTTGTTCAAGGAGACATAATCACATAAGCTGGAGACTAAGTCAACAGTGAAGTCTTGAAGTGCACGCCCATGCTTCAGGCCACATACCGACTGATCAAGGACCACAACTAGCGAGAATTAACGACTGATATGTTTATGCAAATTTACTGCAATAAAAGGTCCCTTGTCTTCTGTTTAAATTCATCGATCACAGCAAATTACTTCCATTATATTAGAGACGATGATCACCCTATTCGTGTTTCATTTATCTTCTTGATGGACTCAAGTGACTTGGAATATGATGCATGTTGCTTTAGTGTTGTTAATAAATCCTTCCTATATTTTTCTATTTTTCATTTAAAAAGTTTGAGTGAATGGATCAAGAAAAAAACTCTTAAATTGTTTATAAATTACAAAAGATTTATTACAAAATTGTTCTGTAATGAAAAAGTGCCCTACTATTATCAATATACATAGCATATGTATTCATGAATATTACATGCATTTTGTAAGATGAAAAAATTTAATTCACATACATTTTTTATACTTTATCATTCGAATATTATCTTTTTTCATTTTATAAATTATTTATCAATGATAACTTTCAATTATCTTTGACACAAAAGTAACAAAATACTACCGACAAAAATCAATTAAAAATGTTATTATGTTGATACACAAATGATTTAATTTAAAGGATTTAAATCATCCTATTACATCAATAGACTATCTAATTTTAGAAATTCATTGATAAATTGTCAGTAGTATAATTTAAAAAAAATAATAACCAATTCATTTTTTTCTATAAAAATTGACTAATTTATCTTGACATTTTTCTATCTTACGTTACTGAATAAAATTACTAAAATTAATTTATGACATATCATCAAGATTAGCAACAGTATGATGCTTGAGCACTCTCGACTGTTTTATTTAGATTATTTATACAAGTACAATCGAGCATCAGTCGCCAATAGCTACATATTTTTTCAAAGTTATCATCACATTTTTCAATAGCACTTACGATCTCAACATATCGTTAATAACAACGTCATTTCATACCAATTTTACAATACAAAATGATTTGTTTAAATTTCAATCATAAATTAAATAACAATAATACTTGGAACCATTTTATCAGCACCATAAAATTTCTAATGAAATACCAAAGTTGAGAAAATTAATTTTCTAATGCACAATGATTTCACTTAAACTATAAAAAATTTACTAAAATCAATGGTTAATTTAACAACAAATCAATAATTAATTTAATTTAATTGAGGTAATGGACAAATAATTCACTAAATAATGAATGAATTATATTCTACTACATTACAGTAATGATTGATTTAATTAAAAATGTTACTTATATAATATAATAATTATCATTAATAATAATAATAATCAAGATATGCATAATAATTATTAATTATTGGATTACATGAACTAAAAATAATAATCAATACTTAACTAAATCTTTAAACATTGAAAAAATAAGAAGCATTTGGCGCTGACCGAAAGAATCTGAAAATATTTCAGATGTTGAGATGATTTAATCTTATTTTATACTAAATTTACTTAAACTATTATATTGTAGAGTAAATAATTGACAATGAAATCATAATATTCACTCGATTCACTCAAGTGCATTTGCAGAAACGCTGCCGCGACAAGTCAGCTATTTGATCATTTATACATGGCATGTTAACGCTTTTTCGTCACAGAAGCATTTCTACTACCTTAAAGACTAAAATATTGCTATGACTTATGCTTGTTTATCATTCAATTTAATACATAAATTAACACATTTTTATTTATCATCCCATAAATTATAAAATTTATTTGATTATTTCATTCAATTAAAACAACTCATCATTTTAGAACTGATAAACTTAGAGTTGATTCAATGAAACCAATAATTAGTTGGAATAAAATTAACATTCATCAAACACCAGCAGGTGTTTATGACAATTTTATTTATAAAATTTTATAAAAAGTAACACAAGGCACTTTTGATTATTTTTTTTTTCTCAGACTCAAAAAGTCAATTTAGATTAAATTATAGTCCTTTAGAATTAATTGAAAAAAATAACTTAGATAAAAAAATTGAACTTGTTCACCTGGATATTAAGTTAACATAGAAGAATTGAATGTGATAATTTCTTTTTTTAGCTTAAGACTTGAACTCAGTGAACCAAAAATACTTTGAATCATTTTTTTAGGTTCAGATATGAAACTTCATACACTTGTGCTATTTATTCCGTTATAATAAAATCCATATCGAGTATTTCGAGTGAGAACTAGTCACGATATGACTCTACCGTGCGAAAGGGTAGATTGAACATCATTTCTCACTATCGCAGACTAAAGTCTGGCATTAACAAGAAAACTTCATCTCGTGTTTCAGTAATATGAGACCTCGGGAAATTGACCGTTATTGATGCCTTTTTATTTATGGGAATTATTAACGATTTATCTAAAAAAAAAAAAATTCTTGCTATGTTGCTTAAAGAAAAAGGTCGTGTCTACAAGGGTGAAAGGGAAATCCTTAGAATCTAGTTAAAATTACGAGTTGAGGCAGTTGAGTTGGCAAGAGCGAAGAAAATAATAATCAGTCGTTCATTTTGCCGCTATTTTAGAGGCAGTAAATTCCAAGCTAGAAAGTGCTTTCAAAGAGCAAGAAACTTCATTAAAGCATCGTAAATGAGTCGAGGATTGATGGTCCCATCAGCAGTATACCTTACTCCACGCAAAGTTCCATCATCATGACTTACAACACCATATTCGCCAACGATAAATCCATCAGGTGTTCTTTCTTCGACTCTGTACTTTCTGTAATTTCTTCCTTCTTCAACATAACCAACCTTGTGACCATCTACGACATCAACTGCTGGAACATTTGGCGCTTCAGTTACTATTTGAGGACCATGAACGTTTCCATTGCTTCCAACACTCACAGCTTCATCTACTTCATAGTTCTCTTCTTCAGGCTCATGATTTACTGGTTGCCCATCCAGTCCATAAATTTTACTAGGCTCACCATACACTTTTGCCGGTTCAGAATACATTTTCGCTGGCTCGCTATAAACTCTTGCTGGTTCGGAGTAAATTTTAGATGGCTCACCATAGATTTTTTCCGGCTCGCCATAGACTTTTGCTGGTTCACTATAAACTTTGGAAGGTTCACCATAGACTTTTGAAGGTTCACTGTACACTGTAGCTGGTTTTGAATAAATTTTAGCCGGTTCACTATAAATTTTTTCCGGCTCTCCATATACTTTTGATGGCTCACCATAATTCTGAGCAGGTTCACTGTATATTTGAGCTGGTTTTCCATATATTTTTGAGGGTTGAGGATACACTTTAGGTGGTTGATTGAATAAAGATGCATCATAATGTCTACCTGCCTTACGACCTTGATGAAGATGAACATCATCTTCTTGATCATGATTATGATTTTCAGAAGTTTCAGAATTTTCTTCTGGCAGCTCATAGCTTTGTTCTACTGGTTCTGATCCCGTTGCCAGCCCTACAGAATCTTTAGGCGCTTCCTTGAGCTTGACAAATAAATTTGACGATGTAGAAAAAGGTATTGGATGAGAAATAGTTGGTTCAGGTGTCACTGATGATCTAGCATGCCAACTAGTTCTTGGTAATTCTTCATCAACCGAGAATTCACTTCTATTAGATTCAGAAACAATGTTACTTAACTCCTCAGTAACCAGTTTAGCTGAATGAGGTGTTGAAGATGTTAATTTACTTGTAGCAGGCCTGTTAGTTGTTGTGACTGTAGTAGTTGTTGTCGAAGTACTTGTAGAAATTGTACTTGAAGTTGTAACTGCTCCTGATGAAGGTTTGGTATTTCCAACTGATGTTAAAGTGTAAAAGGGTGAAGATCCAACAGGTGGTCTCGTTACCACACTTAGCTGATCGTTGTCATAATGTTCAACCCTGACCTTGTATGGTGTTGCCTCGACCGTCGAGGTTACGCTCACTCCAATGACTTTTCTATTCACACTTTTACTAGTAGGTTTGGTCCCATTACTTCTTATTTGCTGCTGGTGATGTTGATGGTGATGATTATGTTGATGATAATGATGAGTCTGAGGAGTCAAAGGTTTCACTCGAACAATATCTTCCGTTCCTACATCGTCAGGAGTAAAATTATGTCGATGCTCTGAGGATTTATGACTAATTGGATAAAGTCTCGCTCCGATTTCTCGGTGACTCGGACGCGATGTTGTTGGCCTTGGACTCGAAGGGGCCCGAGATATCCGGTAAATAGATGCCTCGTTTTGACGAGATTCAGCTACTGCATTGTCTGATGGCGCGTGGCCACGTCTGAATCCTCTTCTTCTAGGAGTTGGAGCCATTGCTCCGTTGATGAAGACTGATAAAAATTCAGTACCAGCCAAGATGTCGTTCCTTTTGGCTGGAGCTGCGCTCGTTTCTTCCCATACAAGTGCTGCATTGAGCAGTACCTAAACAAAAAAAAAATATTGTTAGTAATGATTATTTTATTGATGACATAATTATGAAAGAACATGAGAAAATGTGAGGTAACTAGAATTTCATTGCTATTGCAGTGAATAAGGCCGATAAAATTTCAGATTTTTAAATGTATGTAATTGGTAAAGCAAGATGTTGAACAAAGGCCTTGAATGTAAAAAAAAGTGCTTGACATGACTCTGTGGCTTGTTATAAATTTTAAAAAATGATTCCTTTACTCGCAGCTTGTTCACGAGCTCTTGCCACGAGTCAACTTTAATGCATACCCCGTAAATCATTTGTGAACGAGTAAAAATATGTGACACTGATAGAAGAATATCTAAATATATTGTAATGGATGGAGAAAAAGGTTCATCTTTGCATCGAAATGAAGTTGTCAAAGAAGCTAAATACTTTTGTATTTTTTGCAAAAGAGAATCATTCACCTGGAACAATCATCAGAAGGTATTATCAAAACTAGTAGGATCAAAATAAAAGTATTTTTATAGCACATAAAATACAAATGACAAAGTAGTTAAATTTTTTACTACACACATAGCCTATAAATTTTTACCAATTTCTAATCATAATAGGAATCTCAATAAAATAAATGTTTCAATCCTATTATGCCACATAAGAAGAATCATCATCATTCCAAACATTTTATTTTATTCACAGTCGTAACCATGTCTAGGATCACACAAGCTTTAAGGCAGTAGATTGCAGAGCAATAAAAAGTTGTATAGTATTTAGGGGTGACAGGAATTAATATTACCTGCATAAAAGAAGACTATGCAGATAAACAGTCATGTAACATAGCAAAAATAATAGACAAATTTTAATAATAAGAGGGGAAAATTAAACATAGGTTAATTTCTGTCCACTGGAAGCAGAAATTTTAAAATATTAGATAATAAAAAAAAAAAGAAAGTAAACATTTTGAAATAAAATAACTATAAAATAAAAACACTATTAGAAGTGCAATAAATAAACATGAGCAATTGTTTGACTTGAAAACTCTATCATTCAGAGCCAACGTTATTTACTAAATAATTATAGAAGACTGAAATCCATTAATCACCCATGAAAACCATTTATTCGTAACAAGACATGGTGACTTTTAAAGGGAAGGATAAATCAAGTGCATAAATATGTTGGACAGTCAACGACAGAGGGTTGGAGAATGACCAATGATACGTATCTAACCTAGCGAAGCTAAACACATATTATTCTCTCACTTTTAAATACTTTTCGTGCATTATAGCCACAACGGAGTCTGACATTTGCACAGCAGAGTCGTACCACCACCTCAGGGACATCCGATCTCTTCGCTCGACCCGCATGCAACTCAAGATCTCACAACCTTGATCCACCATCTCTTCTCTTTGTCTATTTAACGCATTTGGATTGTCTGAGGCTTGATAAAAAAATCCAAAGAGCCAGCATCAATACTAGCTTTTTGTTAAAAACTCGCCAAGTGTACGATCTATGCTGTGTAAAGAAAAAATAAAAGCCTAATATATCCAACGTCGGCTATCTTTGAAGATACTCAACATCAGAATACCATTATAAACTTGGTATCACTTCACATAGCATCGTATTTGCGAACAATTACGGAACATGAATCGTGACACTTTCCAAGTGCAAGTAATGTATTTATTCGTATATTGCAACCTACGAGAGCACAGGTAATAAAAGGACAAAAAGCTGAAGCTGTGACTTTAATGTAGGCGTCCCATTTAAACGCCTTCATGTCTCTCGCAGTAGTGACCAGTAGAACTAGAATGGTTTCCTGTTGAAAGGAGAACACGGTGTTACTGTCTTATAAGTCCATGGGGTCACGTTCTCTGTTTCAATCTATTCTGTATGAACTTATGTCAATGAATTAGTAGGTTCTACAATCAACCTAATCACTATTTAATATCATTCTGACTCATTAATTAGCATAGAACCGAATTTCGAATGAATCTGTCATTGTTTGTTGCCTTGAAACCGAGATCAGTCAACTTGATTCACTGGCTCTAGACGAGATATATCCTGTTAAACCCACGTGAGAGTTTTCTCGATAACTTAGAGGCCAGTCGATATATGTTACCATTGATCTTCAGACTTGAAAATAAGTGAATATAAATTGAAGCAGAGTCCAAGCCCACATTGAGGGTTCTGAGGAATCTGGGGAAGAAACTGATCAAGGTCACGATTGATTGGTAACGTATGTAAAGCTTTGTGAACACTTCACCAGGTATATACGTATCATGTATGCTTAAAATAAACGTATGTAAGTACTGGATGTAGGGTCGCATTCATGTTACTCGTTCAATACAACGAGTCACACGGTATTCCAGCACATTCTCTTCAACAGCTCTTTCTCTCCCATCGAATCCGACTAATTATCTTAGTACTTCATATGGAACAGTCTCTACGTTACGTTGACCTTGAACAGGATTGTTTCGGATTACTAAGAAGCATCTTAATTACCTGACTGGTGACAACTTGATCAATATTTGCATGTCTGCTTGTAATAACACATGCTTGATAGAATTGGTAGCTTTCAATGCTGATGGAGTTCAACTTGAATCCAACTGAGTTTTAGATTTTTTAACTGCTCAATACTAACTACATTCTTATTCATTTTTATTTCTCTTAGTCAAGAATATTTAAAACTGGATCTACCAATTTTTACAACATTCTAAAGTTTATTATTACTAGAGAATCAGAAATGTCATTTAAATATTTAATTATTCAATGAATAGTCAATAATTGAAATATACTTCCTAAATATTATAGTCAATTTATTTATTCTAAATTCTTTAGAGTAAAATAATATAAATTTCAACGATTGTATTTTAATTGTTCATTTAAAAAATATGTAAAAGATTTATTACACAGTTGGAAGTTTCTCACTTATTTTCACACACTGTAATGACAATTTATATCCATAACTTTTGAAATTCTTCAATAAATCACATATCTATAAAGTGATAATTAAAATGATAATGGACATGTATTTAATTAATTATGATGCTGAGGTCTCGGTCAAGGGAATCAGGCTCTTCTCTTCGATAAAGCAATATGCACACAAGCTTGAACATATTTTTACTCTTCATTCAGCGTTACTGCCTCAAGCACTAACCCGACCTTGCCCAATTTGAATCGCTTATTAACTGTTCTCTACGGTTACTTTAATTACTCTATTCACATTTAGTCTTTATATTTTATTTGATGTTTAATTATCATTAATTACAGAATTAAAGTAGTGTATGCGTAAAAATGACCAATATTCTGTCTGTATATATAAATTTAATTACACATATTAAACCAGGATACATGAGTTGAAGGTAACTAATAAATATAATAGTTATTCTCACAAAGACTTTGTGAAACTTTTTTTCAAACTCTGATTCCAAAATTTTAATACTTTTCAATTGTTTAGATTGTTTTTTAATTTGTATTCTCGACTTTTATTTCTATAAATAACAAATATTCTGTCTTTCTCTAATTTATTTCAGTTAAATTAATTATTTTAGCCACTGATAATTTTTTTTTTTTACTAAAATAAAATTTTGAAAATTACTTTTCTAATTTAAGAATATTTCTTGCTATAATTCCAAAGAAGACTAGTAGAAAACCGTGATAGATTTTATGACATTTACTCCTTTCTCTTACCATAGACAATATTCTCCTAACAAAAACGATTCTTTTTCAGTACAGGTTTTCTTTTATACATATAAGTATTGTAGGATAAAAACAGCTGTTTTATTTCTCTCTATTCAATCCAGGTACTTATCTAGTGACAATTATTGGTCTCCACAGAACTCTAGTGTTACCTCATCGCTGGCTACATAGAAAAAAAAGGTAAAATTGAATATAAAAAAATTCAAAATTCAAGTTACCTGGAATTTTTTTTTGCAAACAAGTAATAGATCAAGTGCTATTTAAGATGATTTTAGAAATCCATTGGTACAGAATAAGTCTTCTATAATTCATCAGATTATATCTGATGCTCTTTACTCCATGCATCGTTTCTCTTGACATGGCTTCATTCAAATGATTCTAATTCGGACTATAGATGCAACTTTCCTGATTATAAAACCAATTGATTGTATTTATATCATACAATTTAGAATTATGTAACCATATCATATTGGTTAACTTGAAGATAATGATAGAAATTAAAAAATCCTTAAATTATTCTAATAAAAATACTTCTTCTTCAATAGCATGAAATTTTTCATAAAATTTCGCAACAATAAAATATGTATTTACGCTTTGTCTGGTGGTCAGTCAGAAAATGTTAATAAGACAAAGTATCCTTTGGTACCATAATGATGACGACAATAAATTAGCTGTGACTTTGGAGTAGCTGATATCAATAACATTCAAGTGCTCGCAAACTGCCAACGTGGCAGCGACTTTCACGCGTGTATAATAATGGGCGGGGGCGGAATCACGTCTGATTCATGTAAAATTGCATGACCAAAGTTAAGCGCATGCATGTATAACATTTCTTCAAGTTGTGAAGTCACACCTTTTTAGACTATCGACGACGCGACCCAGCGAGGACGACAAGTATCTTCATGAACTTAAAACTCTTTTTCGTTCTTGTTAACATACACAAGACTACGCCATGCGGATATGCTTGCTCTCTTTCTCCCAACGATTGTGTAATTTGTATGAAATAACTACGATATGAGATTGCAGCAGTTTGTACTGTTTACGTTTGAGAGACCTTTTTATCCTGAGATTAGATCACTTGTTGATATTGGGTATAAACAAACGAGTTTGCTCTAATCACTTTTTTGCACCATTGCTATTATTTAGAATCCTTTAGTTATTATTTGTTGATCCTTTTTTCAAATTAATTAATCAAATTATAACATTTTTGATTGCTACACCAAACTTTTTTGCAATGGAGATATTGCATGTCGATTTAGGCTATGTTAAAATCATAAAGAGGTTATACATTGTTTCGTGAATTTATCTTTTTAGATAA